CGGAAGATTTTCTTCAATTTTTTTTTGCATAGATTTTCTTCGTTTTTCGCTCGAATCTTTTTTTTTAAATCTAAAAATTCTTTAAAAAAATTTCTTTTTTTTGGTTATAGAAGATGAATGATAAGAAAATGAAAATTTTACAGAATTCTTTGCGCTTAAAATTCATTTGAAGTAGAATGAAGGCAAAAACGATCACAAAACGTAATAATTACGATTGCTTTTATAAATCATTCATTAGTTTTTTTAACTCATTTTCTTCATAAATTGGAAAAAAAATTTTTACGCGATTTATATTTTAAAATAATTTTGTTGCAAATATTTCTTTTTTTTGATAAATTTTGTATGCGAAAAAAAATTCATTTCGAAAAATTCGATTTGTCGAAAAAAATTTTTGCCAAAAACTTCCATACATTTTGAAAAAAAGAATTTTAGAAAATAGGAAAAAAAAGATTTTATTGAAAATGTTTTATTCATTTTGAAAAAAAGAATTTTAGAAAATAGGAAAAAAAAGATTTTATTGAAAATGTTTTATTTTGTCAAAATTCTATATTTCTATGATTAATAAATTCTATAAATTCTAAATTCTATATTTCTATAATTCATAACAATTATAATATAGAAATTTTTTAAAATATTTAAATTTTTTCTTTTTTTTTGCAAAATCGCAAGCGATTCTTTGCAAACGATTCCTTAAGTGTTAATAATAAGGTTCTCTGTAAACTTTTATTTTAAAAGTAAATTTTTTTAGAAAAATTTTAAAAGTAAATTAATGAAAAAAAGGACTCTAAAAGGACATTTTAAAAAATGAAACTTTTTTCTCAGTGATTTGTTGGATTGTACCGTAAATGTCCCTTATCTTTTCAAGTAAAGTGGTTTTATCATTGGGAATGATAAATATGATATGACAAATAATATAATTAGAATAATTCATTATGCGAATGATAAATAAGCTAAAAATTCAAGCATAAATATAATAAAAATATTTTAGTGTTAGTACACGAAGTAGTTTTACAGTACATAATGATGATGCGCAAGGAATTCATGATAAAGTGTCTGTCTGCTATCTTCGATGGCAATCAGGACTCGTGCACAGTTCGTTTGATGTTCACCGATATCAACGAAAAAAAAGGGAACGCTTCGATAATGGATAATAAATAGGCCTTTCTCGCTGTACAAATCACCATTTGATAAAGATTGATTGCTCAAAAATAAGCGAATTCAATGTTGCGATTTTTTCTCTTAAGAAATATTCATTAAACTGTTTCAATTCCTTAAAATTTATTTTATGGCACAAAAAAAATTTCTTTCTACAAAATTTCCAATTAATATTGCATGCGTAATTTAGTTTTTTCTAAGAATTTTGACCATTAATGTTTTAGGTTCGCGTCGTTGGCTTGGCTTGTCGTGCTGGGCAAATTTTGCATTTGGCAATAGGCCGAATTTTTTTACTCGGACCTGAAATAGAATAGCGATATACATCGAATTTTAATAAATCGTTTCTTATTGTAATATTTCCTTTATCTCCTTATAGCATCTTTTTATTTGCAGTCTCTTTAATGTATACCTGTAACATAGTACACAACAACATGCGAATGTGGCTGCAGCCACAAGTGAAACAGAAACTGCACTTGGCTCTGTTATAGCTCTATTCTCGAATAATGCTCTGCTGAAAGGATCTCAGCTTAGCTTGAACCATTATGACTGGCTTGAACCATTCTAGAAATGGTGATTGTTGGAGAAGTCGACAAAATATTTTAGTTATAGCACATTTTTTAACTCAGCGCATGCAATAATTAAGAATTTTCGATAAAGAGGCATCTTCAAGAGAATTCATTATTTTTTTTGCTAAAGGGCAAAACAATTTCATCAGTGAGAATTTATTCAGTACTGTTGTTAGTGGTTTATCACTTTATAAATTAATATATGATTCATATGTGGTTTATCACTATCACTTTATAAAATAATTTGTGATTCATATGTGGTTTATCACTATCACTTTATAAAATAATTTGTGATTCATATGTGGTTTATCACTATCACTTTATAAAATAATATGTGATTCATACGTGAAAGAAATTTTGCAGCAAATATTGCATAGATTTGTATTTCTTAAGAAAAAAATGGAACCATTTAAATACATATAAATATAAAATAAAAATAAAATCAGAAAAAATAAAAAACTATATATAAATGGCGGTTAGCGCCCCAACTCGTTCCTCGTTTTTGCCCCTCTACCTAGAATTATCATTTGGATAATAAGAATTTCACTTCTGTCGTGGTCTGCAGTCATTGCCTTGCTTTCCGGCAGAACTACTGCGCTACTCTTCGCCTACATATATAGTAAATATTTGTATAAATATTTGTATAAATATGAAAATTACTTCTATTACTAAAAACTGGAGAAATTACTTCATCTTTAGGTTATACTTATGAGTTAATAAGCAGTGATAATTTTGCCGGGCGCAGATGAGGTCGTTTACGTTGGCTTTGTGTTTGCTTAAGCTGACAGCCGCAAGCAAGTAAGCGAACATGCAAGCATGCAAACATGCAAGCACCTCTCCTTTCGTATTGTAAAATAAAAATCATTCGTTTAATTATAAAATCTATCCCGATGTTGAATTGAATAAAAACGAGAAATTTGATGAATGTGATACGACCGATTCAATTAAAATTCAGTTTATTTTATATGAAATAGTGGCCTACGAGTGGATGCGTGTATAAACGTTTCTACGTGTGCGGCTCTTAATGCTTAGCTTAACTATGTGCACAACTAAGTGCATGTGCGTGCACGTGCATGTTTGTGCATGTGTATATATATGCCATTAACCATTATTGCAATATATTATTTAAAATTTTTCAAGAAGAAAGTGAATTATTAAATTATATATAAAAATGAGAGAGAATCGAGAGATAAATTAGTGAAGGGGAATTCGGAAAATTTTATGGAAATTATCGATCTTGTTATAGTATATATATGTGATTTGCTTTCCTTTATTATATAATAATATTTTATTAGTATTATTTTATTAAAACTATTTTTATTATTTTTATTAAAATTTGCTTTTATTATTACTAATATTATTATTGTAATATAATTATTATTGCAATATTATTATAATAATATTATTATTACAATATAATTATTATAATATAATTATTATTATTATCAATATTATTATTATAATATTATTATTATTAAATTTATATCTATTTATTTATTATATATTTATTATATTTATTCAAATCGATTTTCCATTACTTTTTAAAATTTTCATTTATTTAAAATTTAAAAATTTATATAATATATAAATAGATTTATTAGACTATTAACACTAAAATGACTTTTTTTCCTGTTTCGTATTTAAGAAATTCGTTTTCTAATCTGACAATCTCGGAGCGATATGCGAGGCATAAGAGAAATAATTTCCCCCCCCCCCCCCCCCCCAACTTATTTGCTTGCTACCCTTGGCATAGGAGGAATACGCGACTAGGCCTTTACGAACTGAGCGAAAGGCTAAGAAACAATGAGGACTAATGCGAATGAAATTCTGTAAAACTGTCGGCATTCGGTGCCGACCTGCAAACTTCACCTTCAGATTTATTTCTTTAAAATGCAGTATTTATTTAATTTCAGATGAATTAGACGGCACAAATCGACAATTGTGGGACTCGTTTCGTTTCTTCTTGGATTTCTTAAATTTCCTCTCTTTTCCGCACATTTCACCTACGCTTGATTTATTTCTTAAATTTCGCTTCAAATTTTGAAATTTTGCCTAAAATTAATTCTTCAAAAAATGCAAAAATGCAATATGCATTGTTATAAATATTATAATACTGTAAGTTTTTTTTGGTTGATTTTCTTTTCATTATCTCTCCTTTTAACTAATCTTTGTTATTATCACTTTATCACTATTTAAAGTGATACGATCGGTCCAATTATATACAAACACAAATATCTACAATCTATTATTCTTATGTTATCGACTGATATCAACTGATAACTGATAAAATGTGCAACTACAAGAATATTTTAACGTTTATAATTACCAAAAAATTTGATAATATTGTATTTATAAGTCTTTTCACCGCAATGATTTATTTGCTAGTAAAAGTTTTCGATTTGCAGAAAATTTGCTGTAAAAATAAAGTAGCTGCGACAAAATAAGAAAGAAGCCCGATGAAGATGTACAGTTTTTTCAGTCTTTTTTACATTCCTTACAATGTTCATTCTTTTCAATTTTATTTTATTTTTGTAATTCACATAATTTTTATTATAATTCACTTTGCATAGTTTAAGCAATCAATAATTAGTGCTCCTCGCAAATCTCTCAATTATATTTCATTTGCATTATTTCCATTCTTATAAGCAAATTTTGCCATTTCTATATATTGTGCTTATATACAAAATTCTTCCATCGGAATTATGCTAATATCTTTTGTGTATTTATTCTTATAGAATTTTAAAAAGGATCGATTTTTCTTATACTTTTTTCGAAGCATAAATTTTTAATATTATTATTTATTGAAAAATACAATTTATAAATAAAGCATTTAAGTTTCTCATTATAAAATGGGGGCAAATACGATGGATTTGCTGTAAAAACTAATCTTTAAAATTCGATGAACTTCTAAGTAAGAAATTTCGATCCCTCAATGTTTTTGTGATATTTCTTATTAAAAAAATAGCTGCGTTTTATAAAATTAGGATTTTACGTGAAACTTCATATATCATTTTCTATTATTCGGCTTAAAAATTACATTTTTTTCATAATAATAATCAATTGGAAGAAAAAATATTTTTAATCTTTTTATATTTAGAAAAAAAGAGAAAATCAAAATTTTTTACAATTGTTTCTTATATAAAATGGCAAATCGTTTCATGGAAATTGTTTACGAAACGTAAAACCGAAGTGCAGTAAACTTTTTAACTGAACAATATTAATAAATAAATAAGAAAATAAACAAAACTAAAAACGTTTAAATTAAAATCATCGTCCAAATTAAATAAATGTAGCGAACATATTCTGCATAGTTTCCTCGAATGCAAAATTTCGCTTTGAACCAGTTTTACACATTTGAAAAAGCTTTTTAGTTATAGGATCACTCTTAATATGGCATTTAGCATGACCAATGGTTTCTTCAGCAAGTGCTCTAAATAGGATTATAATTATTGGTAAATTTTATAACAATAAATGATAAACGAAAAAATGCCACAAAAAATCACCTTGCATCGGCCCGTCCAACATCTTCACGCATTTGCAAAAGACCACTTAATAATTCCGAATGAATATCAGGAAATTTCCGGACAAATGCAGTACTTTCAAGTGCGAGCAAACTTTTATCTCTTAGACTTAATATATCAGCCATTGCAAAAAGAACTGCTGTTAAATCGGCAAACTAAAAAACACTGGAAAAATTAACGAAAAAAACATGAGAAATACTAGATGCCTTATTTCATAATAGGCTTTCAAACAGAAAAAATTCAAAAAATTACGATAAAAAATTTCTCTAATAACAATTTAGATTTACCATCATATCAGTGTTGCTTAAAAGACTTGCAAAAAGATTAGCGATCCTTTCCGCATCTTTTTTAAGAAGTGCTGCAGCGTCACTTCTCTCTTCATAATGCGAAAATGATATTTTCCTAAAAAATAAACCATAAAAATTAAAATTAATGAACAAAACACCTTAACAAAATATAAGATATTTCCGCACTTCAGGATATTTTAGTCAAAATTTAAACAAAATATTTTTCTCTTCCGTTTGAACCAAAAAATAAAATAAGACAGAACCTGCTATCGATACCGATAATGTATTCTCCAACAATTTTATATTGTAATTCCATCATTAAAGCACATCGTAAGTGAGGCCGTAAACGTTTGTGATCAGAATGATAGTCTGCTATAGTCATACAAATCGTTTCGATAGCGGAAGAACCTCCAAGCCTAAATTAAACTTCTGTATGAATTTTGAAATGATCCATTATAAACTTGGAAGTCTTTCAAAAAATGAATGAAATGATTAAAAAATTAAATAAAAATATTCACTGAAGTGATATAACAATCCAAATATATGTAAAGTACAACTAATAAATATATATAACCATATAAATATAATTTATATAACCAATAAGTACAACTAAATATTTGTATAAATAATCATATAATCATTTTAATCATACCATTTTTTAGTTAATAGCTCAGCAAGATGAGGAGCGATATCTTCATAAACTTCATCAAGAAGACCACCAACACTATAAAAAAATATAAATAGATTAAATGGAAGATTGATAACTCTAATCGTTATCTTACTGAGTATTAATGAGTACTTACGCTGACTGCAAAGCGATATTCCACCGCTTCTTTAGCTGGTCCACTTTTTCTAATAATTCTTGCCTTGATACACCAATCAATAAAGGACTTCTCGGTGACTGTGGAACATTTTTACTTTGTTCCTCATTCAAAGTTTCATTATTTTCAGAAGAAACAACATCAGTTTCCATAGTAAGACGAATATGCTTTGTCAATTTTTCGGTCGAATCAATACAAATATCCAAATTATTGGCTATAGCTATCTAAAAAATTTAAATTCACTGATGATATGTCAAAAAAATGATATTTGAGAAATCTAAACTTTCACCTTGAACGAGAACATTACAATTTGAGAACAATTTGAGCGAAAGAATATGAAATTAAAGATTCCTTTTCTTCAAATATTACTCATCTGTGGTTAAGTGGTTCCAAGTTAATTGGAGATGGACGTGCAGATGGTTTATTAGCAACTATGCGAAGGATTCAAGGATTCAAAGAAAAGAATATTGGATCCAAATACAATAATAAAAAGCACCATGGTCGGTGTATATTCTTTGAAGTAACTACGATCTTCAAAATGTTTCGTTTTTAAGGCCATTGTTGCATCTATAAATCCATCTTTTATAAATCAAATTTTTAAAAATCCACTGGTCGGAAAAAAAAGAAATAAGAACAAAAAAATATTTAAAATTTTTATGACTAATACGCTCTTAAATAATCGAATTTTAATTGAAATTTTTTTAAATTTTATGACTTTATTCCTCAACCTCAAAACGTCTAAAATGGCAAAATCTTATCTTTTTCTTATGATTCTTATGATTATTGAAGAAAAAGCAAAGCAAAACTATTGAAATTACGATTTTTGAAATTAATGAATAATTGAAAATTTAATTTTTTGGTAAATTAAAACCTTTATATCTGCTGGCAAAAAGTAAAAATTCCTCGATACTGACATTAATTACATTTGCTATAATATCGGTGGACACAACTTTTGCCAAAGAAACCAAAAAATAAAAAAATTATAAGCTAAAGAGAATGATACATCATAATAAATTTGCGTTATTATGAAAATTAAAATAGCCCAGTAGTTGCTTGTACCTTGATAAAAATAGTGCTGGCGACCCAATGGTCTTCTAAACCAAATAACTCCAGATAACAATTTATTTAGTAACGCCTAACCTAATCAAAAATTGTTGACCATTTACCTTACTTATTAAGAAATTTAAGAGTGAAATTTTTAAAAGATTCAACTAAAAAAAATATTACCGTGTCTTCAATCATTCCGAATAAAATGCTTGGCAATTGAGTGTAAAAATACCCTAAACTTTCCTCTTCAGGATGAACATGTTTGTACCAGTCCTTAAAAAAATTGAATAAAATATGAAACAAATTCAATATGGCAACAAGTATGGAAAAATGAAAAAACAAACATCTTTCTCTTGCATAAGCGTTTTTTCAAGCCACTCATGAATATCCTTGCGGGTCATTTCTACGAATCTAAAAGAAATCAAAGAAAAATATCATAAGCAATAAAAAATATTTTAAAAGGAAACCATTTATGATACTTAAGAGATCTAATACAAGTAAAGTAACAAATGAGCAAGGTAGATAGAAGATAAAAAAAAAATTAATCTTACTGATCGCAAAGTTGTGTAATAGTGGATTTGGGCAAAAGAGGATGATCAGCTGTTAAAGCAGCAACATTTATTTGCAACCGAGGATTACCCAGCATTTGTTCGCTACTGAAAATTTTTACACAGTTTTGAAACTGAAATTGTGTTTTTCAAATTTAGTTATATTTGGTCCATTTCTTTCTTGATGACTGATAAGAAGCATTCCTCGAAATTTCTAAGAATGTCGTCTAAATGCCTCATTCTGGTAGCAAATGCAACAAGATAAAATTAGAAATGGTATTTTTTGATAGAAAATTTGTTCGATAGCATATTCATCATCTTATTCAATCTAATCTTTAGTAAAAACCTAATCAATTCAACTTAACTAAAAAAGAATTTATGAAATTAAGAAAAAAATAACGATAAGAAAATTTATTACCCATACGCCTGAATCCAACTCAGCAACTGAACTAGTTCGTTTTTTTCTAAATTTTCAGAAGCAATTTCACGAAGCTGAAAAATTTTTTGAATTTAAACAAATAAAAACAAAATAAATTTTGTGCTTTTTTCAAAGTTTGAAAAGCATTCTTACACGTGAAGATAAGCAATTATGATACATTCGAACGAATCGATCATATATGTTATAACTCGGTGGAAAACATTGCACTGCACCACTTTTAGCAACTTTTAAGTCTTCGACAACAACAAGTCGACAAATTTCCAAATATCTAAAAAATATTATATATTATTATGCAGTATTATTTTCAAAATTAATTAAGAAAATATCCTCTTAAATATTTTTGAAAAGTATGAACTATCAATTTATTAATAGTTAACTATTATTAGCTTATTGCCCGTTGCCATTGATAATTAATTATATAACAAAACGCTAAAACAAATAAAAAATATAATCTTGATGGAAGAAATCAAAACCTTGCAAGCCACTGCTTATTAAGAGACCTATCTTCCAACTGATTCCCTTCAATCCGATGCCTGACAGTATTCGCAATAACTTCCAAACATTTTTGGCGCCACATACGCGGTCTTCCAACGGGCATAAAATTGTTCGAAGATGCCTTACGATCCAAATAATATTTATCGATTCTAAAAGCGCAATTTCGATTAACCTAATTTCAGCGGAAAATATATAAATTTTTCTCTTATTGTTCATTGAAGGAAATAAATTCAATAAATTCTTTGAAGGAAAAAAGAAAATGGGAAGAATTTTCAAGTTATAAAACAATAAATAAAAAAAAGACATACATAAAAATTTTCAATCACTGAAAGACATACCAGTTAAAATATTGGATAACAATTAAAAAAGACCTTTCTTCACGTTCAATAATTCGAAGTGCTGTAACGAGTTGTACTGGGCCTTGATCTAAGCCACGAACTGCTTCTAAACATCGCGAACAAATATACCAAAGCTGTTTAGCCAACTCTTGCACAAGCTTTTCAATGTCAGAAAAGTAAGTTCTAAGCAACTGAAATTCGATAATATGAAATATATATATTTATTAGAGATGATTTAAAAATTAAAGGAAAAAATAATCCCAGTAATAATTGAAGAATTTGGGACCTGTGACCCTTAAACTATAAAAGTGGCTTCAGCAGATTCCAGGAACAGCATCAGAGACTCGAGATTGAAGATGATCCTTATCAACCATAGGAGTAAGAGATTTGTTTTATATAAACTATATAAATATATAACTTCAAATAATTATTCTCTTCCTTAGCTTCTGTTAGAATCGATGACTTATATGTTACCGTTGAAAAAACTGAACTTTAAACATAAGGAAATAAAAAGTTACATTAATCTCGTACTGCACGTTGCTTTGCTGTATTTTGTGAAGCTCATAGGTCAAATCATCACGAGCGTGTTCTAATTCCATTATACTGCAAGATATTTATAAAAATAAAAAATACATTCGTAGTAAGTCATCGTTTTTGTGTTAGGCGTAAATTTTACTATTTTTTAAAGTTTATCTTTTCCTTTTATTTGTTCTCTCGAAAATTCTTCAAACTTACACATTATTACCATAAATTATTATCATAATTATTACTAAAGTATTGCCATAATTTTGTGATATATTTCACGATATAAATGCGATATAATCACGCAATCCAAATTTTAAATTTGAAATTTAATAATCAATTTAATCTTTGATACGAGTGAATCTGTCATAAAATCTTGAATAAATCCTAAATCTTAAATAACTGTCGATATACCTTTTCAAAGAGGCGATGTGCATTGCATTTTCCTTTTCCCCTATAAGATTTAATCAGACTGGATCATTTATCATTGTGCGAATCAGTCCAGACCGATGTAGCATTAGAGATTTTGAATATGCTAATTGCGCCTATCTTTTTGATAACAATTATGAAGAGCTTTAACATGTGCTATGCGGCGAAAACTGAATTTCACATTAATATAAATATAATGGGTCTAATCTAATAATAATTATTTTTATTATTTATTAATCCATCACAAGCTAGAGAAATATCAGAAATATCTTCTTGGATCTATTTTTACATCAAATGACTAAACGAAAGACACAGTGGTGCATTTTCTCAGGAGAAGGACGTTCAGACAGCTGAATTATAAATGCTTTTTCCGTCTTGCGAAATTCGTGTTGAAGTGTTGAAGTAAATATCAAAAAGGAAATCCCCATTTATATAGCTTCAGTGGGCACAGTCCTACTAAATGGCTATCGAACATGGCCAGTTAGAGTGGAAGATATCAGAATGATATCCCTCTTCAACTTCAATCCTCTAAGGATTTGTATGCGACAACCGAGCGGTAGAATCTCTCTCGACTCCATCTAGATTAGAATGCCATTTGTACTGACAACATAATATAGATTCACCCATTCTAATTAGCGTATGTTTTCCATTGCCTATTGCACTTCTCACTACCTATAATGGATAGCATCAAAATGAGGAGCAATTAAAACCCTGATATCACGAAAGATTTTAAGCGCATAGATGGTTCAGTGATATATGGACCTAGAAGATGGAAAGAGTTTCTGATTTGGCAATGAGGTTTGGCTTGAACATACCTTTGCCAGCAGAACCAGCAATGGTGCGAGGTGTCAGAAGTCCAAAAAATAAAAAAAACTAAAAAGCCACAAAAACTCACAAAAGATACAGAGTCCTATCAACCTTCACCTCCTAAATAATCGTCTCCTCACCACAAAATAACCCAAAAAGATAAAACGTACTTTTTGTGCGCATGTAATAATTTTCCCTCAACGATAAATTCGTGAGTTTTTTCGACGATTTCTGGAATATTGTAAATATGACGAAGATGTTCCATAGCAGTTGCATACTGACTATGTTTAATATTTGCTTCACGTAAACGAGCCATTTTCTCTTTTAATTCCGGAAATTTTCCCAAAGTGTCGTAAATTTCTTGCAGACTGAAAAAAGAAAAAAATTCAATTTAGCATATTAAAAAACTATAGGCAAAACTCTTTAACACTTTTTATATCATTTTTTATTTTTAATTTATATTTTTTATATTTCATCCTGAGTCGTACATTCTTCCTCAAGCATCACCATTTGTACTACTAATTCTGCCTTAGTTGACTTTACTGCTGAGAGGAAAAAATTTTGCCAGAGAATTGCTTAAGAATAGAAGTATGGAGTTTAAGTTCCATTCAAATTTTATTTTTACTGATAGAAGTAAATCAGTGATGCTTGCTGGAATTCAGCTGAAGCAAATAACCATTCGATTAGCCTTTAAAATATAAAAAATCTGTTAGAAAAGAATACTTAGCCTCAACAATTTTAACATCTTCAATAGTCGTTGATAAGTGTCCAATAGCTGTTCGTATACCTTCAAGTTGTGACTGCACGCCAGTTCGAAGCATTGCTTCCACTGCTGCCTAATTTTTTCGCTTATTTTAATTTTGCTCAAAAAAAAGAAATAATTTCTCAATTTAAAATAAAAAATCTATAATAAAACCTTTTTTCGATCAGCACGTTTCTTGATGCTTTCAAGCTTTTCGAGTTGATCGGCGCGTTGAAATAATTGCGCAACTTGCACTAATGCAGCCGCGTGCGCTTGCTTTTCGATAAATTCTGCATCCATTTTTCATTTACTGTAAAAAACGCGAATTTTTTCACCAAATTTTTTTCATATTTTTGATAAACTCATCAACAATGACAGAAAAAAAAAAATCATTGAAGGTATATGGCCATGAATATCGGGAAAGCGATCGAAATTCCAGTCAGCCAACGACAGCCAAAAATGTTGCGGTCCTTTCCAATAGCTTACTTTCTAAAAATGCTTTTAATGAAAAGCAAGAAACACGTTTCAGATAGGGGCGAAATGGAAATTCAACATAGTTACGTCTGTTGAACCATGTACTCATCACTAACACGTCTCAGTTCAGCAAAGAACCGCTACACCACGAACGTACTCTTATACCACAACGCCGAATATATATATATATATATATATATAAAATGTAAATAAAATTATTTCAATAAATAACTATTTCCACACTATTTCCTCCACATAACATCGTTATTCACTATTTCTTATTCCTGCAAATCATCGCCAATATGCCCAATCCCACCACTTCACACCTGCCACTCTATGTACTAAACCTTATCATCGATCACCTCAAAACTCCGAGCCACAGTCAAAACCTGTTCCTTGCATTTTATTATGTAAAGGTTCCTCTTTTAATTGAGATTATTTCTCGACTATAAATGGTTACTTTTACGGTGCACTTATTTGTTAGTTGTTTCCATTATGAAGATCGTAGAAAATTGCAGATCAATTTATTAGCAAAATTATAACAATTACAATTATTTATTGTATATGTATTTGTTTATTATAATTTATTTATAATTACAATTATTAGTTATTACAATAATAATTAGGGAAATTTAAGTAAATAATAATTCTTCTTCTAACAGCTCTCACCATTCTCCTCTCACCATTACTGATTAGGCTAACCCTGTTGCCTACAAGGGTAAGACGTCTCCGAGCTGCTCGTTCCGACGCCATCGCTAGTAGTAATAAAAGCCATTCCTTTTCCATCGTCTAAGTCCATATATTGCTGGTCCACCTATACGTTCGAAATCTTTCCTGACTGTATCAGTCCAGGTTTTGACTGGCCTCCTCGCTTTTGGCGCCAACGATCACAGGGTTTATCAAGTAATGAAATATGAGTCAACTCCTGTGGTGAACGACGGAGAACGTGCCCTAACCAGCGAAGGTGACGCGCTCTGTGATAACATTATTAATGCAGGTGGTATTTGAGCGAAGATGGAATACAATCATTTGCGATTTTATCTGCTCGGCGGATCCGTAGAATGTACTTTAGACATGAGTGGTCAAAGGCTAATAGCTTCTTAATATCTACTGTCATTGACCATGTTTCGCATCCATATAGCAACATCGAGTGAATTGCAGATATATGGACTCGGATTTTTGTCTTTATGGTGTTTTCGCAACGGTTCCATAGAGATTTCAATAACCGTAAAAATGTATTTCTAGCTGTCGCTATCCGGATTACAATTTCATCCTTTACCTAGCCATTTGGGATTATAGTGACCGAAGATCGAAGGTAAAATTCAGCACTTCCTCGATCGGCAATGAATTGATAAAAATAGGTATTTTATCGGCATCTTATTCACATTGACTTTAAATCCAATTCTTGCTGCAATTGACACATTGTTTAACATTATTTGCATTTCATTACAATTGTCAGCAAAAAGGACTACATCATCAGCGTATTCAAGGTCTTTGATGCTATACTCTGCACACCCCTTGAGTGGCGACAAACGATGCCCATTACCCAATCTATCGCGAATATTGTAGCGGATAATAATAATTAGTTTATATTCTATGAAAATTTCGCGGCAGTTCGTTGTTATCTACCAAAAATCATTGTTATGATATAATGTTCAATGATAAACTTGCTAGGAGAAACAAGAAAATAATTAAAATAAGAAAATTTAATCCTGAATACCTCTGTGTTTTCATTATGGCTAATAGCTGCTTGTTGCAAAAGACATAGATGAGTACTATCGCTAATTTCCGTATACTACCAAACGAAGACAATTATAATTCTCCAGGCTGACCTTTATCCCTATAAATTCTTTGCTCCGGGTCTTCTTTCTTAAGTCACCTGGTTGGTTAAAATATTCTTTTTTCGGATCTTTGGCAGGTTTTTTCGGCTGCCTATAATAATGAACTGAGATAGTCTCTCTTCCAATGCAATAAGTGAAATTCATGTTGATTCTTTTTGGGATGCGAAATTGGGATGTGATTTGTCTTTGGATAAATCGTTAGCGGTCGCTCCCTTCCCCCTCCTCTATCCCCACTGGGATAAAAAAGAATCGCAGATAAGCAGAAATTGATCTGGAACTGATAAATCGAATGCGACTTTAAATAAATATCTTTTGCCAGAGAGCCTGAAGTATAAATGGGTCACCGGCTTCATTCGCACTTCACTTGGACTATCACTGGTTCGGCTCATTCCACAGGCTAAGATATTTCCAAATTTGCAGACCAGATGCCATTCCTGAAAATAAGTGAAGCCGAGCCACCACGTGTACATAGCTAGCCATTCGAAAATCTTTCCTGACCGAGTCCAGCCTTGATTGGCCATCTTCGCCAAGAAGTGCAAAACACTTCCTACTGTTATTGCCTTGCATTTGCTTTTGCAATTCTGATTGCTTATCGTTTCGACTGGGTTGTTATTATTAATTTCCAATGAATTAATAACCACTGATAGCTCAGGTCCGGTTATCACGTGTGAGACAATGATTCCATCTCCAAATGAACTAAGCCTGTCATCCAGGTGGCGCTGCGATTTGTCTAGCCAAGTGCCTCGAGTTTCTAGCCAGAGAAGCGTGCCTAACCAGAAATTGTGAATGCCAACCATCCACTTATTCAATACATTAGGAACCAGCGGAACCAGCGGAAGAAATAGACACCGACACCAAAACACAACATACAAATGATTAAATCATTTCCACCCCCTCTCCCACGATCCCCGAATAAATTTAAGTGAAATAAACTACAACTCTGACTAAAGCATGAAAGATCGACAAACGTTTTCTATATTGCAGCCGGCATTTGAAACTATAAGTTTCAGCTGCAAATTGGCAGTAATTATTTATTTCTCTTTCTTTTTCATTTTTTATTTTTTTTTGTAAATTTATTCAAAATTTCGGATCGTTTTTTTCCAAATTTAAATGTCGTTTATTTTATATTCAAAAAAATATAAAATATTTAAAACATAAAAAATATAAAAAATATTTAAAAATTTTTCGAATGATTTTCAGTAAATTGATAATTGATAAATTGATAATTTTTATTTATAATAATAATAATATTTATTGAACGAAATTATATTTTTGGTTTTTGTTCGATCGATTTGTATTTGTTTGGAATGAAATTTCTGATTATTTTTCTTGAATGATTATTAAATTATTGAATTATTCGATTATTTTTGAATTTAAAAGTTTAAATTTTTAAAATTCGATTATTTTCTATGATTTTCTATGAATTGTTTTCTACGATTTTATTTTAAAGAACGAAGAAATTGTTGAGAAAATTTTTTTTTTTCAAAACCTTTTATTTATATTTATTTAAATGACATTAACCAAGCAACAACTTTTCGTTTTTATATTTTAAAAAAGTATGGCTGATGCGGTCCTTTATGGTCCTTCTTCAGCCCTGTGTACCGTTGACTTAAAAGATTGGAGGTGTGAAACCAGCGGATTAGCGGACCTTTGTTCAGCGACTTCTGGAAAGGTATATGCCAGTAAGGAAACCTTCCCTCCCCTTCAAACCCCCTTTCGCCCCCAACCTTTCATGTCAAATGGCATTAGCCTTTCTGCATAAATATATTTATATTTGAGCATTAAATTTTTCTTGATGATTCCACTAATTTGATTTTTAAAAAATTGCAAATTTTTATTTGCAAAAAAACGAATGCGTCATTTTAGAATTCTATTTAGAAAATCAATTTCATTTTTCGGAAAGAAAAATTGCGAAAAGAATTTCGTTGAATGAATTTCGTTATAATGCAGTAAAGTAAAGTTGAACGGTTATTTAAAATTTTCATTTTTTAAAAGTTTTCTGAAAAAATTTGAAAAATTTTATTTTAATTCGTTTTATTTATTTATTCATTCCATTCAAATTCAACTAAATTTGATTTTAAATCATTTAAAATTTGATTTGCATAATCGCTTACACATTCATTGTTTGTCCAATGCGAATGACATAAATGAAGTTTGCAACCTGTAAATTAAAAAAAAAAAAGTAGAATTATTTACTTATTAAGAGAATTTTATTGGAAATATTCTTTATAAAAAATAAATGAATGCTTAAATGATAAGCAATCACCTCTTTGTAATAAAATTTTGTGGTCCTAAATTGGTTCTTAGATAGAAATTAGAAATTTCGCTAGCGAGCCACTTGGCAATAAACGGTTTATTAATATTTTAATATTTTCCGAATTTTTTTAATGATGAATTTATTATTATCGAAAGCATGGAATCGATGAGTCTGCGAAGCTTAATGCTAATTTTATATCAAAAATTTACAAATTTTTTTCGTAATTTTTTAATTTTTATTTCTAATTATGATAAAAAAAAACCTTCACAAAATGCTGAATCAGTAATTTTTTTGCAAAAATCGCACTGTGCTCGTTTATATTGTATTTTATTTCGAACTTGCTTCAGTAGGTGTTTATTCATCGTTTTTATTTCATTTATTTTTGTTACATTTAAATTTGCACTAATAATTGCTGCGTGTAACTGTAAAACAATTGTAAAAATTACTCGATTTATGGGAAAAAAATAATTTTTTAAAGAAAGAAATGAACTGATTAATCGATTATTCGATGAATTGTCATAGGAAGGAAAGTAAATTTAATTGCAAAAAATGGAAAAATGAAAAATAAACCTGCGGATTGAGGACGCGACCAATTTTCATGCGTTGGAGGTTTGTTTTATCTTCGTGCGCAATTCGTTCAATTAATTTTTTTATGGTATCTTTTTTTAAATGTTCTTCAAATGCTATAATTAACATTGACAAAGCTTCATTCGCTTTCATACTTCTATAAATCAATAAAATTTTCTAAAATCTCCATTAAAGCATTTCAATTTTCTTAATCAATGCGCAATTAAAGTAATTTGTTTGTATAATTTAATACAATAATTTGATAAAATTGTTTTGAAATTTTTTCCTTAATAATTTAAAATTAAATTTATAAAATGAGAAATTTTTCAAATTCAAAGAATTTTTCAAATTTCGAATTTTATTTAAAAAAAATTTCTTTTATATTGATTTGGATTTTTAAAAATAAAATTTTTCATTTGCAAATCCGAATTTAACTTTGAATTTATTTATTTATTTAAAAAGGTTTTTAAAGATTTACTAAAAAACGATTAATTTAAAAGAGGTAAATAAATAAATAAAAACGAAAAAGTCAAAGAAAAGTATTTTCAAATATTTTCCATAATAAATGAAATTGAAAAAAGAACACCAAATCATCTGAATTAATGAATAGCTTACTTAATATCACATTGATTTCTGATATAATTTTCGCATGCATTTATCAAACATTCAATTTGATATTTTTTTGCCAAACGTATTATCGTTTTAAAATTTTCGTCTGAAATTTATTTCATTATTAATTTTTGCCTTTATTTGTTTATTTATTTTTCTTTTAGTGGTTTGCACCATTTCTGGTCAAATTGGATCCACTGGACTTTCGCCCGTTATAGGTTTTGGCAATTTTGGATCTTCGGAAAATAAGTTTACATCTCACCAAATGAGTAGAAATCTAGCAGTGGTATATCGATATGAGAAGAGCAACTCAGCGAGCAATTTACTTCATTTATGTTATTTTTGCTTTTTATATAAATAATTTAAAATGTATTGAAGATATATTTGAAAACGAAAAAATGAAAATATTTTAATAAAAATAAAAAATTTAATAAATATATAAAATATTTTGTCTTTTTGAAGCACATTTAAAAATTAATTAATTTAATTAATTAATTAATCAATAAATGAATTTTCAAAATAAAAAGAAAATTAAATATTATTATATAATAAAATAAATAATTATATAATAAATATTTGTTGTAAATTATTTATTATATAATAAATTAAATGAAAACAATTAAGAAATAAATCATTTGATGAATTTAAACAAATTGAAATGGTAAATTAAAAATTAGTTCAGCTTTATTTATAAATAAAAATATTTCAATTCAATATTTGCAATGATAAGGAAATAATTCTTAAGAAGAATAACTTATCCATGGATGCATAGAAACGTCTTCAAAGCGCCGTATAATACTGGAAATCGCTTTAAAGCTCTTTATATTTCCTAAATTGCCCTTCGAATCCTGTTACACTATTTTCATTCGCCAAATCCCCATCACTGTCCTATCCTATAACCTATAAATTCTAACTTATAAATTTCCCTTCCTCCTCCACCACTAATTCCTTTTATGCCGCCTTCTGCGATTCTACAATTTGTAGCAGAAGATTCACATTTGTCCATTTGATGACTTAAAGCAATATAATAGGGGTGGATGGTGTTAAGAAGGTATAATTGGTTCTAAATTGATAGAAAAAATACGATGAGTTTTTGGGGTGTGGGAAAATTAAGGTGGGTTTCACAAAATACTGCGGGCTTTTTAGAGTATCAAAGTATTTCAGCAAGATGCTCGGAATTAGCAGTTCGCCCACCCGAATGCATATAGGTGAATTGATGCCTCTGAATCTTCGTTCTAACGAGCTGAATGTAGCAAATCTGGAATTTACCAAGAAATTTGCTGAACTATATAGATTATCGAAATCTTTTTCTTGGCCAGTGTTCCTTGGCTTGTTTGAAGATTGTCAAATCTCAAGTTAGACCAGCGTTCCTTGGCTCGCTTAAGGACTGTCATATTTCATGTTCCATTCCATATATTTTCGAATATGAAGGATTTTAAAGAAAATAAACTCACTGTTGATATTGCAAAAATTTTTGAGACATTGTAAAAAATCTGCAATATCAGCGCTACTTTCATCGACAATTTCGCGTAATAATTCTCCATTTTCAAAATCTTTTTCTTCCAAAATTTTCGCAAATATTGGTGATAATTTTGATAGCCATTCAGCATCAATAAGGAATATTTCGTCGCGAACGAGTAATTTAAATGAACGATGAGAATTTTTTGAAGATATTTGTAAGTTTTCTTCATCCATTATCGCTTTATTATTATTTATTATTGCCATTGTTATTGCCATATTTGTTTATTAATAAAATAGAAAAAACATAAAATTAGGAATTTTTCGAAAATTTCAAATCTAAAAAATTTAAAAAATTCTAAAAGAAAATAAGAAAATGGAAAATATTGATAAAACGATTTGAAAAAGCGAATCTTAACGAATAAGTAAAATATTTTTTTAAAATGGAATCGAGCAATTCAAGAAATTTAATAAATTTTTGTATCCAAAATTCAGTTTTAATTTAATTTCGAAAAAAATTATCAAATTTGAGTGGAAATATACAATTTAGCCGAGTGGTGTATTGCATAAATTATAATTCTAAGCTAATTTTCGTTTCACCAATTATTTTTGAAAAATCCGAGTAGTGTGTCGAGGATCTGGGAATTTTATTCCCCGATGAAGATGCCTCATGATTGATTGCTGCGGCCACCAACTAATTAACTATACTAGTAGTTGTCCTTCGGCGAGGCAGAAACATCTGAAACTTTACTGTCTCATCAAAATTCTTTCTATTTATCGCTTTATCATCTTCAAATCTTGCTATGATTTTCATATATCTCACCAATTCCTATTATTTTTCATTAACAACATCTCTCTCCTCTCCCTCCCCTCCCCCCACCCCATTCAATATGGCAAAGCATTTTTGCGATTTCATTTTTATAAGCTGTAAGAGGTTTGATGGAGTATTAAGGAACATAAAATAAAAGCAGCCGTATTATGGATTACCAAAAAAAATATGTTGTTTCAGTGATACCGAAAGTCCAAGCAGCAGGCGGATTTAGTAGCGGATGCAAAATCCTAATAGGATCCTAATAGGTGACGCAATAGGAATTTTGAGGATTTCACTAGGTTTCAGCAATAGTTCCAAGAAGTTCCACTGCTTTTTTTTCGGAGATATACATATGCAAACCATTAACCAAACATTTCATTAGATAGATTGTTAATTGCTTACATTGTGTAACAAAATTTTTAGTGAAAAGTGAAAATTATAAATAATTTCAAGAAATATCTATGAAATTCACATAAACTTAACCATTTGAAAGCAATAAAACGATTGAAAATAAAGGAAATAATTATAAAATTAAAATTAAAATTAGAAAATAATTTTAAAGAAACTGGAAAAACTTTCAAAATAAAATTTAAATTTAATAATGATTTTTAAATTATTTTTTAAGTTTTATTATTCATTTTTCTATTTTACATTTAATTAATTTATTATATAAATTTATAACTAAATTTACATAAATTTTATGAAAAAAAACGAATGAAATTTAAATTCAAAGAAAAAAGTTTCGAATTTTTTTTGGAAAAAATTTTTAAACTCGGAAAAAAATTTATAAAATTTGTTAATATTTATTGATAGCTTTTTTAGGACTAATTTTGAATTTAAAGATTAATTAATCATTCGAAAAGAAAATCAATCCGACGAATAAATAATATGATTTTATATAAATCTAAAATAAATCTAAAATAAATAATTCCAAAATATTTTTTAAATTTAAAATAATTTTAAAATCCATTGAAATCTAAATTTTATGAAAAAATTGCAAGTATAGAAGGTTTATTTAAAGTTTAAAACACATTAAGCAAGCAACTTAAGTGATTAACAGCAAACAAGCAATAAATATTAATGTTTTCGCCGTTTGCTGTTTCAGTCATAAAATTGACTTTTTATCAGCGACCTTATCGATCAACCTTTTCCTTAAAAAATTATTTTCCATAATTAACAAAATAATAAAATGAATATTCATTGCACACATCATTTCCGCTTATCGTTGACTGTTGACTGTTAATAAGAGTAGAAAATTTTTCGCCAACGATCCACCGGCCAGAAATTTTTGCCATTTAGCCATTTGCAGACAACAGTATAAAAATTGGCCAACACCGCTTAAACTCTTAAATAACAGATTTATTCACGTCGGAGTCAGAAAGTGAACGTTTGCCTCTCAATCTGAGTTATTATCCGCTCGGCTATCTTAACTTAGTGAAATTGATATTTGTGAAGTGAACCAATTATGTAAATTTAATTTTTTAATTTTATTTGCAATACTGCAAAATATTTGCAATATTTTTAATTCGAATCCCTATAAATTAAATTCATTTAAATATTTAGACACTTTATTATATTTTATTATAAATATTTAAATTTATTTAAATATTTGAATTAATTCGAAAAATTTGATTTCAAAATGAATAAATAAATAAATAAAATAAGCGTATAATGAAAATGAAAAAATAAATAAATTAATGAGAAGAGACACGATTTTTCTGAAATAATTAATCTCACTTGAAATGATTAAATGTTTAAAAAAAAAAAAGAAGAAAAAAGTTAAAATTTTTAAGGTAATTAATCATTAAGAATTTTTTCAAAATTTTAGGAATTTTAAAAAAAAACGTTATCACATATCACAATATCACCTCTCTATTATGCCATTTTCCATGCATTATTTCTGACTAGACTCGTTCTAATGGCCAGTGAATTCATTCAGTGATAAAAAATATGCGCGAAACGAAACGTGAACCACTCAGAAGGAAATTTCCTCCCTCGTGAAAGCACGATCATGACGATAGACCAGTGAAAACTCTACTATCACTCCACTACCCTCTCAATTTTTGAAAATGAAATTTTTTATAAACATTTTTCCCATGAAAAAAGTGATAAAATAAAGATAAACACAGTGATGATAATGAAAGAATATTCTCGCGATAAATAAATCTCAAATATATATATTCTTCAACATGATCAACGATTCCGTGGAGTTTAAGACCGGATGAAAGTGATCGCTGATATTTTTCGCATAAATCGCATTCTATTTGTTATTGAAATACTTGGCCACGCACGACTAATAGCTATTTTGTTTGAGATAGTTTAAAGAAAAGAAGCATTGAACTGAAAACAATTATGCAAATATAAATACTGCAATAAATAATAAATAAATAATATTTACAATAATAGGTAAATCTCAGACGAATTTTAAAAATTCTTTCGTTCGCCATTTATTCTTCACGGTCTGTTTTTAATAAATCGTTCATTTATCAAATCGCATTCAAAGTAAGATTAACATTGATGGTTAACATTCACCATTTCTCGTTAGGCGAATTATTGCGGTAAATAATTTTCGGAAGGAATTACGAAATGTAAGAATTATAATATGCAGATGAGTTGCTTTTTCCTCTATTCAGTGAATTTGCTCTTATCGACTATCTCGAAACTAATCTTATTACTTAAGTCTTAAATCTCAGTAGGATAAATTCAGTCATCATAGCCACTCAACTATTAGCTTAGCGTTTCATTTATAATAAATATTTTCACTGAGAACTTAAAAATATCATTTTTCATTTTTTGAAATAAAATATGTAACGAATATTTAATGAACGAAATATTTAATGAAAAATGGCGAAATTTTAAAAGAAATATTTTTCAAAACAAAATAATTATAATAAAAAATAAAATATATAAAAATAAAAAGCGAAAATAATCAAATAATGAAAGAAAATAATTCATCGAAATTGTTCTTATTTAACAGAAAATCTGGCAAAATTCAAGATTTATTTGAAGAAAACGAAAAAAATATTCGTTGTTCAGATAAGCCATAAAATACCTTAGAAACTCAATTTTATTAATAATAGTTTTACTTAATTTTTCTAAAATTAAATTTCATTTAAAAAAAGGAAGAGAAAATTGGAAAAAATAATTAGTCTTAAATCTAAATTCTTGGAAAATCAAAATTTTTACTTTTCAACAATTTTAATTTATTTTATTTGTTGTTCATTTTAAAAATCTCTTCTATTTAATTTATTGTATTAAAAATATTTATTTTATTGAAATTGCTCTTATTATTTATTAAATTTTTTTAGGAAAAACAAAATTTTTATTGCATTTTCACATGCATCTCATATGTGAGCACTAAATTTTTTTAGGCCTTTGTTAATGAGAAATTTTCCACGCCAACGATTCGTGTTTTTCATTCATAGAAATCTATAATTTTAAGCTTATTTACAAAATTCACTTTTCGCAGTAATTAACATCAACATTAATTAGCGACAGGAAATCTTTCAATTTAGAAAGCCATGAAAATAATCATTAATCATCTGATGAAATGAATAAGTGATTAGTGCTTATCATTTGTGATTAGACTTATTCTGCTAGCTGTTAGCTGTTTTTATCTGCTGAATGAACAATGATTAAATAGAAGATTTTAGCAATCCGAAATTTTCAAAATTTTATAATTTTAAGAGTCTTCAAATTAAAATTTGATAGAAAATAATAAAAAGAGGAAGGAAAAAAATTTATTTTATCGAAAATCAACTTTTAATAAAAAAAATTCCCATCATTTATTTAACAGTGGAATAATTCTTATGAATAGAAAGAGGAAAGAGCGGAAAAAAATTCAAAATTCAATAACTCATTTTAAATTCATTCATTCAAAAATTCAAAAAAACAATCAGAAAAAATGAATCGAATATAAAATTAATCGAAAAACATTAATTTGTAGCCTTTTTTTAAATTAAATTTATTTTATAGTTAGGCATTTCATCTTTTCTAAATAAAATTTATAAATTCTCAATTGCTTTTTATTTTAAAATATTTCATTTTTGAACGAATTTCAGGTATATTTCAGTTAAGAGAAAACAAATTGGATTTTAGATGATTGGATTTCGCAGTTGAGAGGGACCAATACTGAGAGGGCCTTTTTCCCAACGAAGTATTATATTTCTCCCACTTATAGCAATAAATTTTTTAAAGGTCTCACCATTAGTGATTTGACTCGTTCTGCTGGCTTGCAGTACGAGACTAATATGCCAGGGATCTTTGGCGATAGAAGTGCAGGTGAATCGTCAATATCACCTGAATTTTTGGGTAGCCTGTGAAGAGTGGAATCTCAGCATCGGTCCACCGAATTGAACAGCAACCCACTGAGCCATTCTACTCTTTAACAGTTAGGAACCACTGGTACCTTAGGCTATCTTCACTGATTGTCAGTAATTTTTGCCAAGAAATTATTCGGCAATAGAATTACAAATTAATCACCAGTATCACTTGATTTTCTGATAACAGCTGAATTATTGCCTCTCGGTGTGGTAATCTGAAGTATTTAGCACCCCAAACCTTACGATGAGAATACCACAGTGATATTTCAGAATGATTTTCAAATGCGTTATTCTCATAAAATTCATGAAAATTGTTTTATCGTGAGGGGCTTTATTTTAAGGACGTTACAAGCAGAATGCAAAATCTATGTGCACGTCTTATGCATGAAAATCTAAAATTCATTTATGAATAAAAAATGGAAAAAAATAAAAAAATAAGTAAAGGAAATTCAACGAAGAGAACTGAATCGAAGCCAATATTCTGAAATAATAATAAATATTTAGAAAACATTTGAGTGAAATATCTGATCTTGTGAAAAGCGTTATCAACAAGCATTTGCTAAATTATCATTCTTCAAATGCGTCAAATGCATCGAAATTCATTAAAATATGTGAATTTGACAGTTTTCTCGTCAATTTTCTTTTCGGTTAATTCCATTAAAAATCTTTGAACTCTTTTTTTACAATTTTCTCGAAAATTTGATGTAAAATTGTTTATCAACAATATTATTTAAAGGAAGAAATATAAACAAATTTCTAATATCAATCAAATTTTTAAATGACAAATTTAGTTTTGCTATCGGTTAGGAATGCCAAATTACGTTGCATGAAATGGTAATCTAAGCAAAAATATGCTAAATTTTTTCTTTTTTTGCCACAAAACCCTCTTTGCATATTTCAAAATGCTTAATTTAATTTAATTTGTGGCTATTTGGATTTTGCATTTATACAAAATAGAGTAAATGCTATTTCGCAAATGCCGATTTATATAAAATCAATTCGATATATTATTTTTGTATAAAAATTATGGATAACCAAAAAAAATATTGTTTATTCTCGTCGAAATATAATAAATTTATAAAAAATACAACAACAAAATACTGTATTTTCGAAAAAAAACAAAAATAAGATCGCTGTTTTGGTCCTTTAAATTATAAATTCTTCTAATATCGGATGTAATAGGGGATTGCCGAATTCTCATACGAAATATAGCATTCCTATATTTTTGTTGCAAATGGAAATAAAATTTTACGGGATCTAAATAAAATAAGAGGAAAATTTTGCCGATTTTCACTCACTTAATGAACTCGCAAACGCTGATTCAAGCAGTAACATAAAAATTGCCTAATTTTTGACGAAAAACTAATTATTCGTGTCAGTGATTTTCTGTAAAAATATTTTACTTTTAACTTAATAAATTAATAAATGTTTCGCATATTTTTCTCAGTTAACAACCTTTTTCTTTATCAAATTTACCAAATATTTTGCTGCTACTAGAAATAAATTATTTACTGTTGCCGTTTTTCAGCCCAGGCCAAGCATTAACCCACTATTACTATATATTTATTTGAAAACAACCGAGCTCTAAATGTGAGCTATAAATAACCGAGCAGTTCGACGACAAGTGCCCATGTGCTTGCATTTATGACAACATATAAGATATCAAAAAAAGAAATCAGTGGTATGACAATACAAGAGAAAAGTGGTGAAAGCTAAGGGGAATTATAGAAGACACAAGACGAACTATACTAAGGGGACTTATTGAAGATTTTAATCAATAGCATGAGGTCCAACAATATCAATTGCATAATCATAAATATTAAGAGGATGGCATCGTTGAGCAGACAAATATTTTAAAACGGAAATTTTCGAACTACTGTCTAATTCTTTAAAAATTTTGTCTCGAATTGCTTGACTTTTCAAATCGTAAATATTATATTCGGGCATTGGTATCGTATTGTAGAAAACGAATGCTGTTCTTAAATAAAATTCTCGAAATTCGCTTATTTCTTCTTCAATTGTTTTCTAAAAAAAGTGAAATTTTATTAAACGTTAGCAATTTTTTAAACAATGTTAGTATAACATTGTTAAAAAATATTTATATAATATATATATTTATGAATATATATTTTTTTAAACAATATTTTTCTAACATTATTAAAAAATAATAATTAATTATGATAATAAAAATAATAGTAATAATATTTATAATTATGCAATAATAAGCCAAAGAGTTCTTAGACGAAATAAAAGAGATGGGCCGCCAGTATCATCCCTCTAATCCATTATGGCCAAATCTGTTTAAAAGTCCTCTTTTTAGAATTTTCAAATTTTGAAAATCCAGAGGAATCCAAAAGAAAATATGAGACATTATAAAAATTCTATGGTTCTCAAAACTTTCCGAAAATATTTTTATGAACTAAAAATAAAATAAGCTGACCGTGACTTTTTTATTCTGCGCCAATTTCAGCTTATTATTCCATAATTTCCTCATTAAATCCATCAAATCTTGTTGATCTGCAACACTCGGAAAAGTTGCCAGAAATGGCTCAAATATGAGCTCTAAATAAGCAGTATTTTGTAAAAAATATATATTCTAAAAATAAAATATTTCCAATTGTTCAATGATTTATTAAATTTCGAATAAAATTTACTATTTTTATCATTAATTTTCTATCAATTTTTTGAAAACTTCAGAATTTTTTGCGAATAAAACATCTACGATGGGTAGCTGAATAGATTATTTTGGAATAATTTAAGAGATAAGCGGCGATAAAATATTTTGCCGATTCTCCATTTCGCTGCGGAAAAAAACCTTTTCTCGACTTATTGAGTATGCAAAGATGAGGCGAAAATAAATAAATAATAACCTGTACTCAGTGGATTATCGCGTTTCTTTAAGAGTGTTTCGCCTAATGAATGCCGGTAATAATAAAGAATTCTTGCGAATATAGGATTCCATATAAGGACATCCGGAAGAGAGCTTAATTAAGGTTCTATAATCACTAAATTTCCAAAATTTTTAGGAGTAGTTCGTTATTGCATTAGAAAAAAATTATTTTATCGCTTTTTATTTCTTTATTTTTTTCAAGGGAATTCACAGTTACTGATAAGACTCGTTCCACTGGCTTGTCGCACAAGACAAATATGTTAGAGAGGCCCCTTGGCGATAGATATATGGGTGACTCGCCAGCATTATTTAGATATTAGATAGAAGTATAAGTGATTCTGTATAAGTGATATTTTTTTCTTTGTTAAGCGACACTGTTACCTATTCGATTCGAACCCGATTCTCGGTGGTTACTATCTTTCCACTGAGCCATCGATTCACCATTTTTTATTTAAAAAAATTTGCGAAAAATTTTTTAACGCTAAATTTGAAAATATTTTTAAGTAGATTTTTGTTAAATTAATAAAGCAATTACTTAAAATTTTCTTAGTATAACTATGGTAAATAGATTTATTATTATGAAAAAATACAGAATCACTTAACTTCTATCGTCAAATGACTTTGCGACTGTCAAAGTTATTTGAAGTCAAAGTTATATGTCAAAGTTATTTAAGTTAATAGTCAGTAGAGGTAGCTAAACTTGAAAGACATTGCATGTTGCTAGAAAAGAATAATTCACTCGATATACGCGATATTATTTTCTGGTATATCGCTGACTCGTAAAACAAGGCGATACTTCGTAATAGATTTGTCAGCTAAAATTATAAAATTAAAAAATACTTTTGAAAAAAAAGTTTAAGAATTTGAAAAGTTCTGTATCAGTGCGATTTTATTAGATTTAAAAAATTTCAAGAAAAATCATTCCCACCTGAGATATTATTGATAAAGAAATTTCCGCTTCTTAAATATTGAGAATATATCCTAAAAAAGAGAAACTCTTATTTAAATAGGCAAACTCTTCATTTCTCTTCATTTCACTAGTTCCATTTATTGGTTTACTATATTTATGTTGATTGCCCCCTCCCTCTTCCCCTCATCCCCACCGCCGTTCCACAATCACTTCAATTCGAAATTTGCTATTGAACGGTACTGAATTCAGAAAAGAACGAAAACTAATAAATAAATTACCAACTTGTTTTGCAATAAGCATAAACCGTCTGATCCAACAATTGGCATAGTAAAATAACCGATTGGCTTTTCTATGAGTTCATCATCCTGTAATTTTTCTAGAATTCAGCTAAAATCAGTCGTCAGACATTAAATTTTTTCACGTATTTTATTCGAATTTGATTACTGATAGTTAATATTTCTATTAGACTCACTTATAGTTCTATCGCTGAATAATTTCCTAGCAAAAATTTCTAATAAACCAGAAATGGTACACTTTTTTTGTTTATATTCCTAATTAAATTTTAATTTTTTGAATATTTTTGCATTTTAGCAAAAAATTAGTAAAAAATTTAAAATTAACTTAAAAATTGGAAATATTTTAGTTTACATAAAATATTACCTGATTAAATACAATAGAAGCCTCGATAAGAAGCATTACTTCTGCTTGATAATAATTTGATCTGACAAAAAAATCCGAAAATTCAATCGAATCGCATTGTTTATCGACCTGTTTCATTAAAAATTACCCATAAAAAATTTGTCGTTAGATGAGGCATGACAATGCATGATAAAGAAATACCGTTTTGAAGATCCAGGTTTTCTCCGTTCGATGCTTAATATGCGCTTTTATTGAATGAACATTACTCACCTAAAATATTCATATTTCAATTGCTTTCCAATTGCTTTACTAGAGATGTTGAATATTTAAATTGCAGTGCTTCGCATAGATAAGCACGGGTTTTCTTTAATGGAACCACTATAGCCGAATGTATCCCGCACTAATCATTATGCCCACATCATGTTCCGATAAGTTTAGCAAATCTTACCAGTTGCCTTCCTCTTTGCCCACTTGTATCCAGTAAGCATATTCTAATTAATCTACATTCTATATTACTGTAATTAACGTCAATATTTTCTACTCGTATCAACCGAAATATTTTATTGACTCGAACACGCCGCTTTCTTAGCTGAAATTTAGTTATTTCTCGAAAATTATAACGAAGTTTGTGGTTGCAACTTTATTACTTTTCACATGGCATTGCACATAATATAGGGAAATGCCTTATTTTTGGTACAATTTCCTGTAAAACATGCATATGAGAATTTCTAGTAATCATAGTAACTCGGGTGGTGCTGTGCGATTCACCTGTACCTCTACCGCTCCAAGACGCTCCCTGGCATATTTGTCCACTGCGACAAGCCGATGGAGCGAATCTAACCAGCAATGGTGAATGCTCTTGAAAAAAAACGTGACGCTTAACTAAATCTTAATCTTATAAACTGAAAATTTAAATCACAATTATTAAAAACGTTAATGTTAAACTTGGCTGTGTTAAAAACCTTTAGCCTCGCCAAATTAAGCCCCATAATTTCCAAACTAATGTTATGCAGTAACTTGTCAAATGAAGAGGAATAGAAATTTCTCTAAGCCAATGATGCTTTTTCATAATTTTGTAAGAATGAATAAAAAAAAGATTCTAGGGAGATTTTAAAAAAAATTTCAGAACAAACCACTTCCATACATAAAAATAAAATATTTTTATTGTAATATAAGGTAATGAATATTAAAAAAATATTTATAAAAATTATTAAATGAAAAGCTGAAAAGAATTATTTGCTAATTTAAACGTACTCTGTTAGTTTCATAATTCCAATAAATGTCATGAAAGCCAAGATTTGATTCGCTTAATTTTGGCATAATATGGCAGCAATATGTCAAATGTATATCTAAAAAATACTATATAATGATTATGACTGATAAAAAACTTCTTATCACTGAGATTGGATTGGAAAATTTAGAGATGCATCATCTTTAGCTACAAGTACAACCAATTAAGAAATGATAAAATGATAATAATAAATTAGACGATATTGCGTGCATTACCCTAAGGATAATTTTTCTATTTTTTCAAAATTGTTTGATACTATTTGTAAATAAAAAGAAATGAAAAAAGAAAAACCATTTTTCAACGCTTCACCGAGAGATTCACTCATTTTCAGCGTTTCTTTCTGGAATTATTTTTTGTAATTTACAAGAAAAGTGGAAAAAATTATAAAATTATTATAAATTATTATAAATAATTAAAATTAAAATTAAGATTAAAACTATACGAGTTTTATTAAATTGTATTATTTTAAATGTTTTAAATCCAAACAAAAATAAGAAAACTTCGGCCTAAAAACCAAAATTAAGAACTCAAAAACCTTAACGATACTTCCTAAATTCTGTGTCATAGTTGTTGGTGATGCGATATTCGTCATAGAATTGTATATTTTTGAGTTGTAGGCTACTGGTGAAGAATCTTCGGATATTTCCTCCATAATTGGTGGATTACAATTGTTATTAGATTTCGTAACTTCAAGTATCTCAGGCTGATTCACAACGACATGTGTAGCCGTCGTTTTTTCAGCAAATGTCAATTTTTGCTCGCATTTTACAGAATGTTCTTCGTCAGCCGTTGTTTTTTGAGCCAGTGCCAGTTGTTGTTTGCACTTCGCAGAATATTTTGCGTCAGCCGTTGTTTTTTGAGCCAGTGCCAATTGTTGTTTGCACTTCGCAGAATATTTTGCGTCAGCCGTTGTTTTTTGAGCCAGTGCCAATTGTTGTTTGCACTTTGCAGAATGTTCTACGTCAAGAACCGTGATATCTTCGTCGATTGCTGTCAAAAAAGTTTTGGGAACGAGTCCTTTTTCACCGTTCTTATTTTCGGCCAGCCACCAACCATCTTCTCTAAAATGACTTTTTATAAGTTCCATTTAAAATTATATATCACAACTAAAATTTTGAATATCTTAAGGATTTCGTTTTTCATTTAATGACATATTGCTATTATTAAACTATCATTATCACTATCATTATCACTAAATCACAATCACTATATCACTATATCACTGTATCACTGCAATTTTCCCACCACCTTAATTGTAGCATTCTTATGATGTCACGCCAAAAGCAATATCTTGGAGAAAAATTTAAAAATTTGATTCATATTTTTAAACTAATTACCATTATTTCAAATTAGAATCCTAAATTTTTTTGGTAGCTCGAACAGTGTGGCAAAATAAGGATTAAAGGTTGAAGGGAGACAATTCGAGTTTCGATTCTTGTCAATCGACAATAATCATTATCATTAAGTTATCATTAAAGTTATCATTAAAAAATAAGTGCAATTTCTTTTGCGAATGCTGACAACTTATCTGTCTACACATTTATCAAGAAAACCCCGTCATGTTAATAAGGCCGATGCTGAGGTTCGATTCCTTGCATTGAAATATTCTTAAAATATTGATTATAAATTTATTACCTGATTGCGAGTATTGTTAGTACTTCGTCTCTGGTAATGCTAAGATCGGTTTCTTCTTGTGCCTCAAAATTTGCCACAGAAATAAATTTGTTTGTTTTACTGATATTTGAAGAACGAGGATCGTATCTGAATATTTGTGGTCTGCAATATTGCTTACCAAAATTTTAAACTACTTACTCATCAACTATAAATTCATCACTTCCAACATTCAATTCTTGTTCGTCATCACCGACCAATTTAGGTAAATCGCTTTCTTCGCTGCTTACTTTTTCATCATTATCATTCCTGCAATAAATGCTAAATGTTTAAAATTTTTTGGCAGAGAAACAATTAAGTTTTTTGATGAACTGTTCTAGCTAGATGGGTTCAACTTCCCTACGATGGAATTCCAATGCTGTAGATATTTTTCCTTCTAAATGATCCCCGAGCTTAGTAGGCAGTGGAACCAGTCAGAGATACTGCGCATTATTTGAAGAAGAAGATCTTAATATTTCGCTAATTTCTGCGCCGTAATATTTCATTTAAGGATAAAATAGTGTTAGCTATGAAAATGGAAGCTGAAAAAGCTTTTTTCATCAGTTTTGAAATGGATGCAAAAAATTTTTATCGCGAAACATTAGAACATAAAAAATAACCTACGAATTAACAATTTGTGATTCAACTACGGTCGGCGATTTGTTATTCTGAACATTCTTAGGACCAATGGATAGCGATGACAATCTTTCCTAAATTTTTTCCATTATCAGTGGGCTAAGATTTCTCTAGATTAATGATAAAGAAGCCAGTGGACCACCGCCTTGAGCAAACATCGCACTGCCATTTTTTCTCCTTCAAGTCCAGGCTGTAACTTTTTGTGATTTAAATAGACAAAAAGCAAAGAAAAGAATTTCCAGGAAACTGTTTTAATGCATTAATTAACCAATAATTATTAAGCTTAGGTAGCGCCTGGTTGCCTTTGTGCGCGAGCAGACTTTGATGGTGCAAATAATGAACCAAATTAAGTTAAAAAGTGAATAATTATAAAACTGCATTAAAAATGAATCCGTTTTTTACTTAAAATCAGATTAATAAATTATGCACGGGTAGTTTTTACAAAAAAATTCTAAGTAGGGACGATTGGCACATTAATATAAAAATGAAAGTGCGCAATTGACTTATCGCTGCTATCTTAGCTACTGTGAAGTAAGTAGAGTATAAAATTACCGAAAGTTGACCAAGTTGCTCAATAATATTTGCTTTATTTTCGGCCTGTTTCGAGTCTTTCTGATTAACTTTAACTTCTTCAGCCTTTTTCGCGTAACTATCAATTTGCTTCTTCAATTCTGTACATCGATGAACAATATTTTGAAATTCATGAGAATTCGATATAAACAGCGATTTCTGTGATTCCAATTTTATTACCTATTACAGAATTTTTTATTTCAATTTCCTTTAATTTAACTTATATAAAATTGAATGAAGAAAATTTATTTGTATGATCAATTATCAATTATCAATTTATTCATAAAACTTATTTATTATTATTTATCTTTTTTGCGTCTCTAAGAACGATTTTAAACTATAAAAAATGGAATTTATCAAAGGAAAGTGTCCATTTTCCACTTTTTATAGAAAACAACAAAAAACATATATTAAAATATATATTTTAAATTTTATAAATATTCGCATAAGAAACCAATGTGATCATTTATAATTAAATCTAAAGAATTATTATGGAAAATAAATTAAACTAAACTTAAAGAATTTGAGACTTTGAAAGCCACTTTAAATAGTAAAATGCCTATTGCCTTAAGGCAAAGAAGAAAAGCAACCTCATTTTCGAATTGAACGAATCGTTTTCGAACATCATCGATAGACAAAAGACGAGTGAAAAGTGAAGCCATTTTAAAATATTATCAAATTAATATTACACTCAGCTTACAAGTACTCGACTATACTCGATTATAGTTTCTCGAAGATAGATTCCTCGATATTCCTTAAGCAGGTTGAGGGTGAATCAAGGATAATTAATTTGTATACAACACGGAAATGAATGGAAATTAGTAACAGATGTCAGCGTCGCCAACGGCAACGTTCAATTTTGATAATTATATTTGTTTATTGATTTCGGTGAAATGAATCTTTGGAGGAATGCATATAATAAGGAATATCGAGGTACTAATGAATGCAATGTAGTCTGAAATCAAGTCAATTGTCATTATTACTAATTCATTTTGAAGCATTACATATCAGATTGATGTTGCCATCTTTTCCACTCAAATACATTTATTGCTTGGCGACAAATCCAATATCGACAATATCAATAAATGTTCAGTTTTCTCAGGATTTACTCAGAAGAGATTTACTCCAGTTTATTGTTTTGTTCATCAGGCATTTTCTTGGCCAATATTGTCTTATATAGTCGCGCTGCATTATCCTAAACTTTAGCTGGAAACTATTTGGTAATTTGCAGTGTTGGTATGTGTTTCGATTTGCCCGCAAGAAAATTCATTCCATTCTAAATCGATCGAATTCTGCCAAAGTTCTCAATATCTGTTGATGCTATGAACTTTTCATGATCAAGTCTGAAATATCGTGCTCATCATGCTTTTTTTCTCATAAATAGTTTTAAAGATCATAATGAAAATAAGCTTATTGAAGATTTTTGACAATCGGCCGAAATCATATTTTGGAAAAACCCACGCAATAGCTCGAATTAGGCTGAAAAAAAAGCGCATGAAGAAATCGACAATTTGTATATTGTAAAGACTATTAGGACTTGTGAAGGTTTTACGCTGAAAACCTGGAATGCGAGATGTACAAACAATTTTTTGGGTTAAGATTGACTCATTCAATATTTCTCAATATTGAATTGAAACATTAATGGACAATAAAAGATACAAATTGCTTTTCTCTTATTTCAATAGCTTAGACTTCAAGGGTGAACCAGAAAACTATCGCTTGCGCTTAACGATCATGAAATTATTTCTCAGGAAGATTTGGTACGAATGAAATTTGTCCCATTGGTACCCACTGGACAAATACTTTTGAGAAGAACTCTTTCTGTTTCATTGATTCCAAATTTAACGCTAGAAAAATAACATTCTAAGATTCAGCAACAAAAGTTTTGTAACATCTACTGATTCGTCGAAGAATATCAATGAATATCAAAAATGACTTTGAAAAAATCTTTCGGTTTTAAAAAATGATTACGACTTGACAGATGGGCGCCATAGTTCTTATGCGATGATTTTTGATGGAATTCAATGTTTGGCAAGAGTAAGCCTATTCTTCAAAAATCTAATGTGCAGTTCTATCGTCAAGTGACAAAATTTGGCAAATTTGGCCTGATAAGTACTAGCAAAGCCTAGTCAGAAACAGCGGATAGGAAAAAAAACTTTATCTTGATTTAATTCGCGTTGAATTCTTTTTCTATTTCGACTTAATGCTTGGCTTCAGCCAAGGAAGGAAATTCCTTCTTCGGTCTACATTTTTTTAAAACAAACGGTAATTGTTGATAATCTTGCGTAGTTCATGTGATTTTGCTTTCCAAATTCAAAATTCTTCAAAATTCGACACTCATCTAATAGTTGGCACCACTGCTGGTTAAACTGGCTTAGCTGTTTACAAGAGGCACAAGAGGCACAAGTTTCTGAGGCACTCCATCCAATACCAACAGATGAAAGTTCTGACAGTTCTCCTCACTTATTTTTCTACCATCTTTGTCCATGTATCACTGGGTCATCCATGGTTAAAATCTTTCTCAGCTGTATCATTCGAGGTGACAGGTCTCAATTTTCATTTTTTAAAATTGCAGTCAGGACTGAAAATGAAAAATGTTTTTTGTGGCAGAGCTTGATTTATCATTAATAAACAAACGGTCATTATGCATGTTCACTATTGGCTGTTTAATGTTATGAAGATAAAATTCCACAAATCTAACTTAGTTTAAATTTAACTTAATTCAAAAAATTATAAATAGCAAATTAGCAAGTAGCAAATTTTAAGAACATTTTCAATGATATTTGTTGTCATTTCTTATCAGCAGATTTATTATCAACAGAAAGCATAAACATTTTTACATAATTTTTCCTTTGTGTTCTTTTCCATTTATAAATAATGTTTAATAAATGAGTTCTTTGTCTTTCTCTAAATTATTAGAAGTCGAATTAGAAAGAATCGGTTGAGAAGTTCTGATAAAACTGTTATACAAATCAAAAATTTTATATTATTATATTATTTTGTTTCTATTGTTAAAACCTTTCTTTTCGTCAATCTTTTTGCAATGCGTTTGCTTTTCTATTCTATCGTTAATAAATTTAAAAATTTTTAAAAAAATACAAATTTTTAAAAAAACAAAAAAATAATTCACACAATATATTAATAATATTGAATATTGTAGATTTACAAAAAAAGAGAAATATGAAATGAGTATATATAAATATATGATATATAATATCACTATAGAATTCCTTGATATCAATTTATCAGTAATCAACAATAATATTGTACCTAATGCGGTGTATGTTGGCATCGACCATTATCATTCATCACTATTCAGGAGATATGTATTTGTCTCTAAACATTTGCACGAATTTATTATCAAAAAATGAATTATCAAGAATCACTCGCAAAATTTTGGGACGATTTTCATTTATTTACAATTTTTTTTAGGAAAAATTGAAGTAAAATAAAAAAATAAAATGGATTACACTTATTCCTATGATTTTTTTTAAAACGATATTAAATATCAAAAAGAAAACATCAAAAATATTACAGCTGAAAGGAAGATTACTGATCGTCAAAAGATGAAAATTTCCCTCCCTCCCAACCCCCTCCTCCGCTTTAATCTCTTCCTCATGCTGTTTTTTCTAATTTTTATTTTCACTTATTAGCAGCAATGACTTTCACATAATCTTCACCCTTTTCATCATTTCCACAGTTTTTAATATATTTCAGTTTCAGTTGACCAGTATTCTCTTCATCTGGTATATGAAATCCGAAGGCAAAATGATAGAACCACCCAGCAAGAACTGCTCCAATACATGGACCGATGACTGGTAGTAACCACCAAGTAGAATACGGGTAGCTGAAAAAATTGCATGATGGAAAGCCTTCGAATTTTCAATTTTTCAGATATACATAATTCGACACTTACGTGAAAACTTCCGATCCGTAAATGAAGAATGTGAAAAGCCTAGGTCCAAAGTCTCTAGCGGGATTAATCGGATAACTGCAGTTCCATGCAAATCCGTGTCCAATCAATGCGACGACTATACCAAAGAATGCAGGTCTTGCTACCTTGGGAATCTTGTTTCGGTCGTCAATACCAACTGCCACAAAGAAGCCTAACAGCCCCGTTGAAACAATCTGAGATTAAATTAATAATGGCACCAAGTTTTTGACACTGAAGCAAGTTTGAACAGTTGAATAAAATATGAAATAAAATTGAAATAAAAACATGAAATATGAATGAAATAAAATTTTTTTTTTCAACTATAGAATCGTAAAAAATTCAGAGTTTTAAGCTTTACGAATGTAAAAATAATTTTAGTTGGAAATAAAAATTTTTCCTTATATTCCCTAAGTAAAAGGAAAAACTAACATACAATTATTACATAATTGTACAACTCTGAACAACTTTTAGCTACCTACAACAAATTATTATGGTAGAATTTTTAAGAGCCCTCACCATTGGTGATTGGACCCGCTCTGTTGGCTAATCGCACTGGACAAATGTGCCAAAGCTACTCGGATTTTTAGATAGATTTATTCCTCTACCGAGTAGAACTCCAGCCTTGGCTCTCTGAATTAAGCAACAATCCACTGAGCCATACCACCCTCCACTGTGATAAGGAAAGATGCAATCGTATAAACAGATCCTTTTTTTATCATTCAAATGCTCACGTAAACTCTGAAGCTTGAAGAGTTTTTTGGTTAACAAATAATTATTTAAATTATTTAATTATTTAAAAATAAATCAAATAAAAGTTATTATATCACCTGATTTAGTAAAGCTCCACTGATCGAAACAAATAATTTAGGATATGTGGCAAACACAACAGCTGTGCTATTAGGGCCGACGACTGTACGGAGATTGGGTCCCCCCTCAAATTCATTGATCGCATCTAGAAAACATCAATCGAACAATATGGAAGTGAAATTAAATCATTGATGATGCATACCGATGTAGGTGATATAAGTGGCTGCAGCGCCAAAGAAGGCTCCCGTGATTTGAGCGGTACAATATAGCGCGAGCTCCAGCACGTTTATCTCGCCAAACGTGAATAACATAAGAGAAATGGCTGGATTCAAATGTCCTCCTAAATGCGTAATTAATGCTTTCTGTGGATTTCCAGTTTTTTTCTGAGGAGAGGGCGATAATTAATATGAAAAAATTGCTTTACTAATTTATACCAAAATAAAATTTTCGAAAAAAAGAAGAATACCAGATAGTTTTGCAACAGTTTGCACGACAACGATTATATTCAGACACCATCCCCAGTTAATATGCATGAAAGTATTCATTTTTTGCCGCGAGAGGAAATATTGTGCTTCGATGCTTTCACCGATATACTGCAAGTATTTTTTTTCGCAAAAAAATTAAAAATGAAATGAATTTTCATTAAATATGCCTATGAATTTTAATTTTCTATTTAATGGAAAAAATATTTAAAAAAAGGAATTTTTAATAATTAAAAAACCTACTAAAAGTAGAAAAGTTCCAGCTAATTCCGCAAGCGTATTACGTACCACTTTGTTTTTTATTTGAAACGATTTTCGAAATTGTTCCGGCCGAGTAACTGTCGCCATTTTCCCGTTAGAAGAACCTAAAAGCGAACGGAATTTATCAACGCAATAAGAATATTCGAATGGCGTGTAGAGCGCATGAAAATTTCCTGATTACTTTTACACTTGAAAACTTTTTTTTTTAAAAAATTTATTAAAAAAAGATTTTTGTTAAATAGGTAAAACGAGTTTGTCAATTTAATGAAAAAGTTCAACTAGATTTCGTGACTTCGAAAAATTCCATGAAATTTTCCTTTGACTGAAATAAATCCTTAAATAAATAAGTTAAATATCCTTATTTTTTTCTCTTCTCTTAAAAAAATCCTCTAAGAGCCGCAATTCTTTGTTTTTTAGAGCACACATCAATGAATTTTAGACTCGTTCTACTCGCTTTACGGACTTCGCAAATATACCAAGGTGCTAGGGAGTTCTTTGGCGATAAAAATATAGTTGAGCTGCCAGAATCACCTGGATTTTTGGACAGGTTTTATTCTGCCGGAAGAAGAATCTCAATGGCGGTGCTCCGAATAGAGCAACAACCCATTTTCTATTCTGCTCTCCTTCTGTTCTCTTCGTAAGGCGACACTACCCGAGGAAGCATGGTGCGTTGGTGGATTCGAATGCAAGTCTCGATGGTAACTGTCTTGCCACTGAGTCACCGATGCACCAGTTCTTTTATATATATATATATATATAAAATTTTAACATTAACTTCTTTTTTTGACAACAAATGACGGAAAAATATCATTTAACTTTATCATTTCGCTTTTTGATGCCGTTTTTTTTCAGTTTTATAGAGCGCGAACCATTCCTGTGATTCGCTCTACTGGCTTGCCACACCAGCCAGAATTTTGACAGGAAATGACTCAACGATGAATGGTATATTCCATTTTAATTCATAATATATCAGTATCGCTCGAGTTTTTGAAATAGGTCTATTCCAGCTGAAAGAAAAATCTCAGCCAGCATCGCTGTCTATTTCAAAATGGAGAGCAATAACCTATAACAAATTCAAGCATATTTTAATAAATCAAGAAAATTATTGTAAATTTATGAAATTCATAAAATCTTGAAAAGTAGTCGTTTCTTCCATTTGCAAATATTTCGTGAGTTTTATACTAATTTTTTATTGAAAAATATTGAAATATTATTGAAAAATAAAAGTTTTCCATTTGTCTATTTATTTTTTTGCAATATACTTATATCAAATTTTTGTACGAAATCATGTGAAATGCAATGCGATATTGCGTGCATTTCTTATTGAAATGAGTCCGGAATTTTTATCCGGAAAAAAATGTGAATTTTCTCAATCCCTCTCCTTCAAACAATCGATTTCCTAATTAGAAATATTATTTTCCATGAAATTTTTTACATGCATTATTGGAATAATCGACGCTAATTTTATGCAAAGTACTTCAGTCCGTTTTAATTTTTTTTGATATATTGGATTCATCGACTAAAAACTTTAAACTTTTTCAAAAAAAAATTCTAACGATACAATGGATGCTAAACAATCCTTCTTCATTAATTTTCAATATTTGATGGAGGCATTTTAATGAACACAATTTGATATATATTTGATATATATTTGCTAATTTTTAAAAAAATATTTAATAATAAGAAAAGCTAAAAAAGAAAAGTGGAAAATATCGAGGAAATCCAAAAAAAATCAAGAAAATGGACACTTTATGGACACTTTGATAAAATGGACACTTTTGTCTACTAAGATTTCGTTCGATAATATCGGTGCTTAATTAATAATTAAATAATAATATCAATAAAATTAATATTAAATTAAATATTATTAAGTGGATTAGCACAAAATTTTAATACTGTGAATATTTATGACTGTTAGAACAACTAATTGTAAAGCTGTGGGTTAGCGACTCACCTGTGCCTCTATCGCAAAGGGACTCCATAGCCCATTTGTCTAGTCCGACAAGCCAGTCTAACCAGCAATGGTGAGTGCTCTTAAAAAAATGGATTGTAAAGCTGCAAATGTCGCTAAATATGGAAGAAAGGGATGTCAACAAAAAATGGATTTCCATTTAGGAAGATCATCAAAATATATGTCAATATTATCATAAAATATATGTACTAAATACTAAACTATCAAAATATTAAGTACTAAACTTAAGTATTAAGCTTATCCAAAAGGAGTGTTTAATCAACTGCTTACGTTTACTTAAATAATTCTCACCATTGCTGCTTAAACTCGCTCCACTGGCTTGTCTTATTGGACAGTATACCAGGGAGACCCTTGGCGATAGAGATAGATAAGTCGGGGAATCGAACCCCAATATCGGCGCTTCCAATTGAGCAACAACCCACTGAGATACTTTTACTCAAGAACACTTTTAAAAAAATTATTTTAGAAATAGAAAAAATAGTTTTTATATTCGGCGATTAGTTTCATAAAGAATCTTATTGAATCGGCACCAATAGTCACCAATTGTGGATCAAATAAAATTGAAAAAGAATGAATGAAGAAAAATATCGCTTCGCAAATCGCTTTTCTCACAATTTAACAGTAACTAACTGGACATGTCAGTCGCCAATCAGTCAATCAGTTGAGACAGTCGTACAAATTTATATAAGGGGGGGGGGGGGGTTCCTTAAAACAATTTGAAATTAATTATTGCAGTAGTTTAACATTTTAATCAATTTGATTGATATCTTTTGATGAAAGTGAAAATTAAATAGAACAAAATTAGGAAAGAAAAAAATTTTTTTACATCGATTTTTAAATGATTTTCGATTTTATTTGGAAAAAAATATGAAAATTTAAATGAAAATTAATTTTATTTTTCTATTATTACGAATTATTATTAATCATTATTATTATAAATAAAATTTTAAAAAAATTGTTTAAATTTGAAAAAAACATTTGACCGATATTCGAATCGTTCAAAAATTTTTTTTTTCTAATTTTCCATCGTTTAAAATATTTTTCATTCGAATTATTCAAAATAAAAATTCGTAATTTATTATGAAAATCAAAAAAACTAAAAAATTAAAAAAATAAAATGAATGAATGGTTAATCATTTAAAATTTGCAATAAAACATTGCTATATTTCGTTGTTGAAATAAAAATTTTAACATTTTTCTAAATTTATTTAACATATTTTATACAGTTTTTTAACGCTAAATTTTTTAAATATTATTTATTATATAAAATTATCATAAAGTGAGATAAAATTATCTTTCATAGAATTTTTAATTGAAAATTTCGCTACTTGGAAAGATCAACCATAGCCGTTTTTTGCTAGAAAGCCACTTAGTCATGACTGCAGTGCAAGTCGATTGCGAATAACACCAGACTTTTGGTTTGGATTTGGTTTACTCAGGTCAGAAACAGAATCTCAGCCTCAGCGCTCCATTATCTCATTCAGCTGCTCAGTTTACTATAATTCATGAAACTAAACTAAAATATTCAAATCTATAAGGCGAATCATTCCACTGTTTATACTTTCGAAGAAATCGAATCCAACCAAATTCAAAAAATCGAATTAAAAAATAATTTAAGACAAAAAAGTTTCACTATGAAGGGTGCTAAACTTTGGAAATTTCGCCAAATTAAATTATAAGTCCAAAATTTCTTAAAAAGTTATTTTACTTAGTGGCCATAATTGCTTCCACGAGAATAATCCATTCTTCGATAGCAATTAACTGAAAGGGAAATCCGAGTGAATACTGGTTGAACTGTTATCTTCAAATGATCCGCTGTGAGAAGTTCAAAGGAGAAATAAACCAGAGGTGAAAAAAAAATAGAATTCTCTTTCCGCACTTCTTGCATCACAAAGGATATTAAATGTGCTGATCGATGAATTGATTTACGAAAAAAGCTTTTCTAAGTGAGTTATTACACAAGTAAAATACATTACTAAAGGCTAATAATAACCATACAGTGATTATAATATAACGATGATTAATAGTGATAATAATAACAATGATATTAATAATAATAATGATAATAATAATAAATCTTTTTTTTCTGAGAACGCTTATCATTTCCACTTAGACTCGGTTTGTCGGATCAGACAAATTTTGCCGTTGAATCATTTGGGGATAAAAGTTAGTCACCAGTATCACCTGGATTTTTGAAAGACAGAACCCTAGCTCTGGCGTTCCGAAAACACAGTATCTCTACTCCAATATGTCTTTGGTGCTGCAAAGAGGAAAAGAATGATCAGATAAGAAAAATAAGATAAATTTATAAATTTTTAAAAATAAGATTTCTCTAATAAATTAATTATTAAATAAGTTAAAAAAATTAAATAAATTTTAATAAATTTTAATAAATAAATTAAATAAATTATTAAACAAATATAAAATAAATATAAATAAATTATTAAATAAATTTAAATAAATTAAATAAATTTTTGTTAAATCGTCGAATAATAAACGACTATTTGCATTGTACCGTATAAATTGATGAAAAGAAGAGAATTAAATGAAAGAAAATGGATAAAAATTTCTGAAATTTAAAACGTTTTCCATTTTCAGTGGCTTGGAATCTATGTAAAAATAATGAATATAAATTTCAGTTATATTAAAATTATATATATTTGCAATTTAATAGATTATAAAAAAAACTGAAAATATTTTTTAAAAAAACCAGCTAATTAATTACAAAAAAAGAGGGATTAACATGCGGCGAGGATTTATAATATTAAATATAAGATTTATTTAATGAATTTATGATTTATAATATAAATTTTACATTTTATAATGAATAAATTTTGATAAGCATAATCAATGGTTTTCAACTGAATATTTGAATAAATTCGATTAATTTAGTAAAATTGCAGTTTTGGAACCTAATGAAAACCTTTTAAACTTGTTTATGTTCCTTATTTCTCCTTATCACAGAGATTATAATGGGGCAATGAGAGATTCATAGCAATAGCAGTTGCATTATCAACTTGTCATATGTTACTTACTTCTATTTATTGTAAAGGCGAACAAGGAAGCCGTAGTAATAGCATTTGAATATGTCGAATAAAATTTTATGTCTCTCATCTATATTAGTGCTTAACGAGGGTATTTAAAGTGTTTAAATTTCATGAAATCGAAATTAGAAAACGAGAAAAATTTCTTAAACAGTGATGGAACTATGCAAAAAAAAATTTGCGAAAGATATGTTGGAAGAAAGTTGTCGAAAAATTTTTTGTAATATTTAAGAAAAAATAAAAATTGAAAAAAAATGAAAAAATATAAGGAATTAAGAATTTTGAGCAATGAACACTGAAAATGTGGTTTTTTTCTCAAAGAAAAGAACCAAAAATCTTATAAAATTTGTTCTGAAATATTTAACATGAATTTCACGAGCAATGAACGAACGTTTCACTTTATTTTTTTAAAATTGATTTAATTTGGAAAATTTTTGTAAAAAGCAAAATTTTTATGGAAAAAAATTTGCTTTTATTTAATTAATGCAAGAAAATGAAATTTATATTTGTGTTAGCTAATTCGATTTCAGTCAGAGAAACAGCAAGTTAATCTCATAAAATCCATGCGATTTTTCATCAATTCTTTCTAAAAATATCGTTTTTCGTTTAATTCTTTGTTAAAAAATAACGAAAAACAAAATTTTATGATAAGATTGATAAAAAATAGATCCAATCAAGTATCTTATCATTTAATAAGAGAGAATTTTTTTCGTTTAAATTTCCATCCTTCATAGTGAATGGAATACTTTTTGTGGTCCATTTAAGGTGTTATAACGTGTTAAAAGTTTTAGGTATTTCTTATAGTATTGTATTTTTGTTGCAATTTTTATCTTTTAACAACAGATTTTTTGCTAACAAAGAATATGGGATTGAAGAATTTTTGAGTTATTTAGTTTAGATTAGTGGGAATTTGTACTGACTGATAGAAAACGTAGCGCTAAAAATTTTCTCAGAAAGCAGCGCAATTCATTTTTAATGAAATTATTATTTTAGCGATCAAATTGAACTAGCGAACTAAAATATTTGTTGGAAAAAATACTCTTTTCACCTTAAAAATATTAATTTTCAATCAAATAAAAAAAAACTGCTCAAGGTTGAAAAAAAAATGGTAATTTGCTTTATTATTGCCTTATAAATCTTTAAAAAAAATTACAACCGGAATTTCGAAATTTTTTTCATTTTTGTTTAAAAATAAACTGTTCAATTGATATAACTTTTTAAGGTTTTTCCTTTGCAATTTTCTCATTTTTATCATCACAGTTTAAAATTTAATTAACCAATTTTAACCTTTTCTTCCACTTTTTTTTCCATCTTTTGATTACCTGATTATGACAATTTTAAAGGATTTTTTTTTAAAAAATCGTCCTCTTCATTTTCTTTATTCTTATTATTATCACTATTATTATTATTATTATTATTATTATTATTATTATTATTATTATTATTACTATTATTACTATTTCGAATTACTTCGTTTTAATAAATAGGAAAAAAATTTAAAAAATTTTTTGTAATATTTATCTTAATTTTTATAAATTTTGTTCCGATTCATTCTCATTTTTGAATGAATACAATACAAACTATTCATTCATAGCAAATTCGTTACAAATTCAGAGAAGCAATCGCTTTTTCGTCAATTCAAAACGTTATTTTATATATGCAAAAAAAACTACATTCAAGAACTTTTGAAACATCTCGTCTATGATAAAAAATTTAGATGCTTTCACGTGAATGAATAGTGATAGCCACGCAATCTGCCGAATGATAATGATAAAGTTTTTCAATTCGAATCAGAAAAGATTTATATTTTAATTGCAAATGATAAAACGACATCTCTTATTTCTTAGTGTTTGCAGCAATTAGAAAATAGAAAAAATAAAGAAGACAATTAATCAATGGAATGCAGTGGTGAAATAAAATATCATTTACCATTAGTCAAATTAAAAACATTACGAAAATTTATTAATGTAAAGTAATCAATGTAATCAATCGGCTTTTTTCGATTATTAAAAATTGATGAATCAATAAAATATAATAAGAAATTCGGATAAGAGAATCACCTCGCAATATATATATAGGTGATGGGGGTAGCGGGGAGAGGAGGAGAGGAGGAGTATATGTTTCCATCAATCACCTCTTTTTCACTTTTAATGATACTTTCTTTCATACTACCAAGAGTCAACAACTGAATTCATGATGCAGCCGAACAATTTCGAAGATTTCCCAGAAGAAATTGTGATAAGTCAAAAATTATAAAAAATTTCGACAAATCGTAAAATGAATCAATTTCGATGAAATCTGAAACAAAATAAGCGATACATTGGATATCGCCATTATTCAATAAATGAATCAGAGAACAAAAAAACAGCTGAAAACAATTTCGAAGAATGTAAAAATTTTCATTTTTAGAGGTTACAAATCGAAATATTTCCTTTAAAATGTTAAAAAATCGGAACTATGCAATTTTTTGATAAACAATATTAGAAAAAATTTGGCATAAAAAGAGATGAAATAAAAGGTATATTTTCATCGAAAGACGAAAAATCATATTTTGTAACAGTTTTTTTTTTAATGGTTTATTGAATGCAATGAATAAAACCTTACTCTTTAAACAAATTGCATATTCATAAAATTCATAAAATGATTTCTAATATTTATATTTCTAATTTAAATAGTACGAACGTTAAAGCCATACATAAAACATGAAAAACGGTAAATTGCCATTCAAAAAATTTCTATTCATCACACAGCTCTACTTAACGCTTCACATACTTCAATAGCAATCGAAGCTTGTGCTTTTTCCATTTCATTCGTACTTGATGATAATCGTCGTTGCGCATCGTCCAATTCAGCTCGTACGGCCTAAATCAAAAATTTGTGAAAAAAATTGGTTATTCATTCATAAAACCTTTTAAAATAACTTAATGCATGTTATTCCAAAATGTATCGGCGGCATTGTTTGTTCAGTAAAAAAACTTTACACAAAAGTTTAACGAAAGCAAAAAAATATCCAAGTTTTTGAAAAACCAGTAAAAAATGACACTTCCTTCTTTGCACTTGTTCATTTTTATAAAAGTTCAGCAGATGATTCTGAATCACAGATAATTGCAAATAATTTCATAGTATTATCAAGTAATTTCTTAATAAATTATTGTAAAAATGGACTAAAATACCAAATAAAATTTCGCTAATGCATAAATAAAAATATTTTTGTCACAATGTGCCAAATAATTTTCGAGATAAGTCAGTGTCGAAAAAATTATTACACAAATAAGCTGTCATCGAATTTCTTGCCGAAGATTGACATACTTTAAAAAAATACATATATTTTCTTGAGGAGAGTTGCCAACTTGAAACATTATTAACAGTCGGAAAACAGTCGGAAGCTTACGCCTGCCAAACCAGAATGAAAACTACAGAGTACCTAGAATTCCGACGATCATCAAATACAATGATTTAAAGCATAAAAATAAATGACAAAATGATTTAAAATAATAAAAAATTCTGGATTTGTATAGAAATTTCAATAAGCATTTGTAAAATTCAAACCAACTAAGGAAATTCCAAATGAATTATATGCATATGCAATAAAATGTGTTCGGTTATTTAGGATTTACAGCATTTTTCATTGTGAAATCATTTCCATTACACAACACAAACAAACAGTATGAAATTAGCAAATATTTCGAAGCTAACACCGAAAAATACGAGGTTATTCGAGATTATTAAGAAATTAAGATAAATTATATACTTCACAGAAAACACGAAATTTCTGCAGAAAATATTAATTAATTCAATAATTAAATGGCAAAAAATTTAGAAAAAAACCTCCATGTCGATATCTTCCAATGGACAAATTTCTTCAGCCAGCACTTGACAAGTACCATCGATATTCATTGACAACGTGCCAGATGATACAAATAAACTACGAGATGTTCCATCTTCAGCGTGAACTTTTACAACACCCGGCTTTAAAACTGCTAATAATGGAACGTGTTTTGCCAACAAACCAACATTGCCGCTCATCGTCGGAATGTCGACTTGTTTAACTATTTCATTCTTATAATATGCGTTATCAGGTGATGCTAAGGTTAATAACAGTTGCTCGGAGACAGCTACTTTTGGCGTTTCAGTTGCAGTTGCATAATTCCGAATCAAAATGCCCATAAAATTTTGAGTTAATTTCCAAATTCTTAACGACATAACCGAAGAAATCACCTGGAAAAAATTCCAAAAAAACAATGAGAATTCGAACTCGAAAAATATTTCCAGCAAATATTAATAAATTAAATCAAAATATTAAGACAAACCACTAATAAAAAAACGAAAAAAGGCAAAAATCAGCATTTATAACTGAAGAAACTGCACACCTTACCTTATCTAATATAAATCCACCTTTCGTAACAATATGAAAATATTTCACTCTACTAAAATTTGAAAAAATCAAAGAAAATGTATATACTGAATTCAGAAAAGCTTCAGGCTTGGAGAATGGCCAATTCTCAAATACTTTGGCTCCGGATAGGGGCTAATATATTTTTCCGTCTCATGAACTCTATTCAATGGATAAATCATGAAGCCATTAAGGAAATTAAATTGGTATAAAAGGAAAAGTTCCTTTTTAAATGGTTGCACATAGCAACTGTTATACTGTTAATATGACTGACTGAAGAATAGTATATCTGACCACTCTGTCTAAAGCATATGAAGCCAGTCACACAGAATCCCACACGATAGTATGTCACCTTTATCCGAACACCATTTGCCTAAATAATTAGCAGTATTGCCAAAAACGCGACAAGACCATAGGTAAGTGCTCCTCTTCACGACAAGTAAAGCTTTCTTTTTCTTCTTCTAACAACTCTCATCATTACTGATTAGGCTGGATCCGCTGGCTACGTCTCCAAGCTATTCGATCCCAAGCCATCTCTGAAAGTAACAGAAGCCATTCTTTTCTACATCGTCTAAGTCCCTAAATCGCTAGTGCCCTTATGCGTTCAAAATCATTTCTCACACTCATTAATGCAGATCGTGATTGGCCCTCCTCACTTTGGACGCCATCCATCACTCAAGTAATGGAATACGTATCAAGTTCTGTGGTAGGCGACGAATAATGTGCCTTAACAAAGAAGGCACGGACTGCGATGGAAGAGAATATCTCGCGATATTTTCTTTGTATATTTGAGTAATCAATTATTAAGAATGGCGAACATTAATAAATCATCAATAAACAGTTTAACAAAAAAGAACAGAAAAAAAAGAAATCGGTGGGTGATAACGAATGCAAAAAACCTATTCATCTGGAAAGTCACACCAAGATGCTCTTTGAAGCAGCCAGAAGGGATATACAAGTGGCCCAATTATGTGAGAACCTGAAAGAATAAAAAACGAATCCCAGGAGGGGGGTCGGATGCTTGGAAACGTCTCACCATGAAGCCAACTTTACTGGCGGACGCTTTTCATGGAATTTTTATGAGAAAGACTTTACGTGGTGCATTTTTATGTTTCTAATAATACTAACAAAATGCAGTTCTTCCAACTAACTTCTTGGAAAATCCTCCATGAAAAGAATGAGAATAATAAACAATGCAACTAAAAAAAATCCCTCTATTATAACGACCAATAAATATGCCATCAAAGCTGAAACCGATTTATAGAAGAAAATACGACATTCTATATCGCAGACAAGCCACCGCGATCTGCAAAATAGACATTCTGTCTATCAATGCAAATTGACAAAAAATACCATTTCTTTCGAATTCATTTCTGGCAACAAGTACGACTAATGATAAGGCAGAGTTTGTCAATTTGCTAAGATTTTGAAGTGTTTGCGCTGTGTTCAGGCGGAAATCCGTTTTTTGTCCTTCGTTGATGCAAATTTTGCGATGAAATGAAATTTCCCACCAAACAGTTCCGCGCAATTCCTTTTACACCTTTTTTTTCAGCGAATAGCGAAACTTTTCTGTTTTAAATTCATAAAAAAATTGCCTCTTTTGAATTATAATTTAAGGAATATTTAAATGAAATCAGTAAATTTTAAATTGTAATGAAAGGGAAAAGGAGAAGAAGGCGGGACAGAGGAACAGTGGCTGAGGGAATAAACCTACCACTGAGCCAACTGTGCGCCAGGTGACTAGTAGAAATTTCCAGCCGAACTAGGAGCCAGCATGGCGAGCACCAAGCGAGGTTCTGATGAAGGAGTAGCACTTTGTTTATCAGTGGTGCTGCTAGGAATAAAGGGACTTATTGGGCATATTGAAGGAAGGAAGGAAGGTTTGCAGTTGCAGTTAATAAAATTGCTATTGTGCTGTTAATGGCAGATGAGACGGCGAAACGATTCAAATTTAAATTGGCGCTAAGAATATTTTTTTAGTTTATTGCAACTTAACTAAAGAGGATTACAATTTAGAGAGGGTGCGGTGGGGGAGAGGAAGAGAGGAATTATGAGGAAAGAAGGGAGCATTGCTCTTCCTTTCTTATCATTTATATCACTAAGGTTCATTTCTTAATTTAATCGGCCTCTGGTTTCCAAATTAATTAATAATTATTGTAGTCAAGCTTATTTCGACTTTAGCTGTTATCCTCGTTCCCCTCTGTTACGAGCGGATCTCCACACTTCTCAAAGACAAAGGTAGCTGCGCTTAGAGTTTTCCACATAGTTGGTGTTTGACCAATTCCATATTTCACCATAAATTTATCCAATTATGACCATAATTATTCCAACAAAAACTATGAAATTAGTTTCTTTAGAAATTTTTAAATTTGAATTTTTAAGATATTTCACTTTACTTTTTAGAAATGGTATTTAATAATGATGCAAAGCGACTTTTTGGTACAACCAATTTGTATGAAATTTTGCAATTACATGGCTCGAAAAAAGTTCGGCAAAATTACACTCGTGAAGAAAGTATGTTTCAAACTGAAATTTTTTCAGTTCACCCTTTTTAATATTAAAATATTTAAATTAAATTGTTTTTGTCATTCATTTATATATTTTTGAAGTGCAAATCTTTAATTTATGGTTTGCGATTTTCCAACTTTTTAATATACACAATCAGTTTTTTAATATACACAATTAATTAATAGTTATAAGTTGTAATTGTATATTAATTAATTAACTAATAATATTATTTTTGATGAAACTTAAAATGAAAAAAAATGAAAATCACATTTTTTTACTACACCTTTACATTAGGAAGTTTTACAACATTTGTGCATAAATAGTAATTTTATAATTTGTTTTTTATAGTATTTATTAATATGTATATATTTTAATATATTTATTAATATTGATAAATATATACAAATTTTTCAGAAATTATATAAATTTAAAATCGCTCTCTTAAAAATAATATTGTTAATAATATTATAAGTCAGACGTAATCTATTTGTTTGCGGTTTATTATTATTTTCATAAAAAAATTGGCGCTTTTTTATTTTTTTACTGATTTTTTTTAAAGGCTTATTTAATTTTATATAATTTTATTGTGTCTCGCCCTTTCTTATAATTTTCCTTTTTTTTTCCAGTAAAAAAAGCGTATTTGAAGCTTACACTGAAATATCATCCAGATCGATGTTATGGTGATAATGAAAAAGTGGAAGCGACTCAAAAATTTCAGATATTAAACAAAGCTTATTCCATTTTAGACAATAAGGAGAAGCGTAAAATATACGACGATACTGGTTGGTTTATGATCATTAGATTAGTTTCAGAATAGTCACCATAAATATTTGGAGTTAAAATTTGTTTTAAAATTAAATTTACTATTATTTTTGCTAAATTTTATAGTGTTCACTATCATAATTATTTGTAAAAAAATTTATATTTTACGAATAAAAAGCTTAGTTCTTATGTTTTCATGAATATTTTAGGTGTCATAAACGATGAAGAAATTTGCTATAACGATGTGGATTTGTCTACTTTGTGGAAAGCAGCGTTTAAAAAAATTACGAAAGCTGATTTAGAAAGTTATATAAAAGAATACAGAGGTTGTTGTCTCAAATAAAACAATCTTCTTTTAATAACTGGCGCCATTTCTGCTCTGGCTGGTTCTTCTTTTCTTTCTAACCATTATTGGTTAGGCTGGCTTCGCTAGTTATAAAGGTAAGACGTTCCCATGCCTCGATCGGACATCATGCCTGAGAGTAAAAGGCCCTCATATCGTTGGGCTGCCTATACGCATATATCCAAAATCTCTCCATGCTATATCACTCTAAATCTTGATTGATATTTCTTTGTTGCCATTTTTTGCAGATCTTGGTAATTAGGGATATATCCTGCGATAGGCGAAGAACTTTGCCTTAAGAACCTTATGATATTAATCCAGATTATATTCGAGGAGAGAAAAGTAAATTCTATCTGCTCAATATCACATGTTTTACAATATGTTATAGCATGTATACAACAAGATATTTGTTATATTGTATTTTAGGTAATTTCTCACCGATTCAAAAATCTTCAAAAAAAAATCTCATAGCACTTAACGTTAATCATCTTTTAAGAGTTAGCAATTGAAGTTAAAGTTGTCTCGGTCTCTCTTATCTGCGCATAAAATAGGAATATATAGATTGATAACCGAGGCATCACAGAACTCTTTGAATTAAGTTGAGGCCATCCAGTTCATAACAAGTTTCTACCAAATTTGAGTCGTCTTTTCGGGTATGACTATCCCATTTCATCCCATATTTGAAGCATTACAATAAGTCATGTATTCTGATCCAGTGTAGTTACTACGAGAAAATGAAGCGCTTCCGACATGTCCAGGTGATATTTGGACAAAGTCAGATCATCGCCTGACTCTTGACATAAGATGTTCCATTCTCTGCGTATCTCACATCGCATATACAGAGCCAGTTGAACCAGTTGTTTGCCTTCTTCAATACATTTTTAATTATTTACCTTGAGGAGAGTTCATTCTATTTCGAAAATCATTTCATTAGGCGTGATTCGCATATTATTGGGGATATAATACGCATCGGAAGATATAGAAGCCATGTGAAGATAATGAGACTATTTTGCTACAAAGTCGCTTAGGAATAAAAAAGTGAATTCCATCCCAGCATCCATTTATATTTTGGATTTTTATTGGCTGTTTATTCCTATCAAAGAAGAATAGAGAAAAGAGATACTGGAGAAAAAAGAAACGAGGCGTTGCTAGGGTTTTATTCATACTGTAGTGCGTTAATGTTAGTTTTTTACTATTTTCATTTTTTTTCAGAATCTGGTGAAGAACGTGAAGACGTTAAAAAATCTTATGAGAATCATAAAGGTGATATGGGAAAAATTATGAACGACATTATTGGCGTGAGCTTTGAAGATGAAGATCGTATTAGAAATATGATCAACGAAATGATTGAAAATGGTGAATTGAAATTAACCAAAAGTTTTGTGAATGAATCGCGGCAAAAGAGAGCGAAACGTCAAAAAGCTGCTAAGAAAGAAGCGAAGGTTTGGTGCTTTTTAAGTAGAATCATTTTGTTCATCGTCATATTATTAAAATTACATGTTAGAAAATTATCGCATTCAAAGGCAGAGATTTCGATATGCTACTAACAGGAATAAACCTATAATGAAAAATTCCAGTTATGGCTTGCCTAGTCACCTATTTTTTGTCGCCAACTAATTACGAAAATTTCTGACCGTACTAACAGTAATAGTTAGCATAATCAGAAGGGCGCTAGTTATTTGCTTTAGCTTTCTTACTAAAGGAAAAAGACTAAATATAAAAGATATAAGGTTGTTTTTGGTGAACTTTCTTCAAATAAAATCTTACAGGAAGCAGCTAAAATGCTCAAAGAAATTGAAGAAAAAGAAGGATCGAAAAGTTTAGTTGCTTTAATTCAAGATCGGCAGAAAAATAAAATGAATGGTTATGATAAATTTTGTGATGAACTTGCTGCAAAATATTGTAATAAGCCGGCAAGTCGTAAACGAAAAGCCTCCTGAAATTCTTCTAACATATTATTATTTGTGCAATTTGTGTTTTTTTTCTTATATTTATTTTATCCATGCCAATTTTTTCGTTAAAATTTTCCAAAAGATTTGTAAATATTTGAAATTTAATATTGCTAAATATATAGGAAGAATTTTGTGGAAATACGTGTAAAATTTAAATATATGGAAACATATGAATAAAAATTAAATTTATGGTTGTTTTTCTGAATTATTGTTCAATGTCCTTAAAATTTGAGAATTAAAAAATAAATTTTGACTTTATTATTTTTTTATATAATAGATTTCAATAGAGGAATGACTTCCTAGAGAAATTCGTCAAATCAAGCCAGCGAACCAGAAATGGTATGCACTTATAGAAAAAATCACGGATATTGTATTTGGAATTAGGTAAAAGCGGAGAAAAAGGTATAAAATGGTTAACACAGACACAAAGAGAGTGCTAACCATGTCGGCGAGTAATCGCAAATCGGTATTGAATAATACAGTGCGGGGGATGCGCCTGCTGTAGCTCGGCATGTGCTCTCGGCAAACGCGGTAATCAGATTCGATGTGCACATGGAGGGGCGTCTTCGCTACTTTGCATGGACCTTCATAAAAGTTTTGTGCTTCCTTCTTTTCCCAAAAATTAGGTAAAAAACGAAACGTATAATAATATTAGAGTAATATTAGAGTGTATAATAATATTAGAATGCCTATGGGAGTGTTCGGTTTCGCTTCACGTTCATTCATTAACGAATGAATAACAAATTGTTAAATAATAAAATTTGTTAAGATTTTTTCATGCTAAGCTTTGAATCAAAAGAAACGAGGATTTCCATGGAAATTTCGCATTAAATTCAGCCAATAAAATTGTCAAAAATCTGTTGTCGCTATTATGCCGTTTTATATCTTTGGTTTTCGCCCTTTTGTCGTTTTATTAAATTGCTCTTCCCTAAACTCAAAATAGCTGTGCAACAGAATTTGCTTCCTCATGGCTTCCTATATTTTGAGGGACAATGAACCGAAAGTCTAAAGGGTGCGAGAACTGTTGAGAACCACTGCTTCCTAAGGACGAATGAGGTGACCCTTCTGCAATTCTTACAAGTTCAGTATTATTTGCAGTTACCCTCCCTTTACCTCAATTCTTACATTCCTTACATTCCATTTCCCAGCTATCCCTTTAGTCTTCGAACAGTTGTAATTATGAAATGCGCGAAACGATTCGGCCGATTAACTATTTGTCGGTATATGTTAGTTCGGCTTCATTTTTTAGCCAAAGTGTTGTCATGGTCGGTTGCTCAGGCCTTTAGCTTTTTTATATTTTTTCCGTTATTTGCATTTATTTATGGCTTTCACTGGAAAATCGGGAGTTTATTTTTATTCTCTGGGAAAAATTCTTTTAAAACACCAAACACTGTCCACTCTCCGTTCGTAAATCAGAATCACAAATCTCGAGTTCGCGAAACTCGAGTTGGAGTGAGTGGCAACCAATCTCGCATGTCGCGAGTGAGTTGGACTGAGTGAGTCTTCGAGAAATTCTCGTAGAATATTTCATTCAACGAACGAACATATAATAGATTTAATAATATACCAAATATAATATAATAAATATAATATAATAATTTAGTAAATGAATAAATAAATATATAATAAATTTAATATAATAATAATTATTTAATTATTATTTAATTATTTCTGAAAATTATTGAAATTATTGCGTAAAATTGCCATAAATCGTAGTCTTCGAGCTACTCAAAATTTTGATTTTTTTCAGTTGTAATGCAGCTGTCAGCCGAAACGATCGATGCATATAGTATCGCTATTTTATCATCGTCCTATTATTCACATTTGCTATCACAGTCAGTTATCATTTGGCCGATTATACTTGTCCTTTTTACGCTGCCATCATTAAATCTTCTTATAAATCTTGGCTATGTTTCGGGTTATGGGCAAATTCTTACTTTTCAACGCATTTCACCTATTTCATCAGGTATTTCTTTTAAAAATACAAACTTTCTAATTTTTGATTGTTTAGACTTTATGGGGTTTGTTGTTATCCCAACGAGTAGAATGGCTTAGTGGGTTGTTACTGTTATTTGTCGGAATACTGAGGTTGAGGTTCTGCCTTCAGCGAACCTGTATTCCCGGTGATAGAAAAAATCTTTTCTCTTTTTGATTCCATTTGTATATTTTTTGTAAACTATTCCTAAAAGTTCGTATAAATTTTTGCATAAATGTTGGCCAAATGTTGCAATTTTACACGATACTTGCTTATTCATTTTTATTTAAATTATAGGACTTGGTTGGTCGTTAACTTGGTTGGCTGGCGAGAAATTATTTCTTCAGTCGTTAACTGCTGCGCAATATTTATTATATATAATATATTCGTTAAGACTTCGTCTCAACTGGGCGCTTGATTGTGATAACTATTATAATAATGGTTTATGTACCGAATTTCTTAAAGAAAATGTATCCCATGGTTATGCGCAACATCAACCGGATAATAACTGGCCTGCACAGCAATTCAATCGGTTAATTTTAATTCATTTATTCTCCGTGTATTCTCCATGTAAATTTCTTCGTTTAAAATCATGCAACATTTCTGGCTTAGCCGATTTCAGTACCTAAACGATCATTCCGTGAGAGAGAAAGCATATAAGGCTGAAAGGCAGGTGGTGAGAAATCGTTTAGGAATCAAGATTTCATTGACGTTTGTAAATTTCAAAAATTTGCTATAATTTTGCAAATGTTACTGGTTCTTTTTGTTGATACCCGATAAATTTAGGTATGCAATACGAGGAGTGCCTCTTATGGTAAATATAACTGAATGGATACCAAATGCTTGGTATTTCCCTGATATTAATACCGAAAAATTCTCATTAGAAATACCTCCAATGTTTCTTACAGTTTCGCATATCACCATTTGGATTTCGCTGTTTTTTATTCTTTACAGGTGTCTGTTTATTTGACTTTTTCGATTATTAGTTTTTTATTTTTATCATAGGAATAAACTATGTTATTTTCAAGATATGGAATGAGTCCTGGATGGTTTCTTATTCGATTTTGTTTTCTCTTGCCCTCTATACTTTTCATAATAATTGTAATTGGTCTTTTTATATGTGGATTAACCTTCACTAATAATAATGAAAAAGAAATTTTGCCTGAAAATATCGAAAAATATCCCTTCGTGTATTTTTCAGATATTCATGTAAGTTATAATTGTGTAATTATAATTTTATAATTCATAAAAAGTTGCTAGTAATGCTAGTAATTACAATTTTTCTATAAAGCGTTTGATCTGAATTTTTTCAAATATATCTTGTATCTTAAATAAATATTGTCATATTTAATTAGAAAAGAATTTAACCATCTTTAGTGATTTTTTCTTTGATAAGTGTGGAGCTTTGTTGATTTTTTAAAGTGCATTCCTTTAGGGGTTTTTTCGCACGACAATGGTACTTATGGATTATTCGTCTGCTTTTACTGGTATAATTGTATTTGCATCAAGCCGTATTCGTTCAAATTCAATGCCTATCAATCCGATCGCTTTACTTTCTATGCAAATGGTTTTTTTTCTAAATTTTTCTAAACTGCGATTATAAATGATATATGTATTTATGTATTCCAATAATATCGTTGCGAAATTATTTTTATTGATAAGATAATTATATCCTATCCTTCTCTATCCTTCTCTTGGAAAATTTCTTTATAGAACTCGAAATTTATAAATTATTAGAAATATATCGAAATAAAGAAAGAAAAAGAAAAAATATATAAAAAAATTTATAATTTAAAATTTATATATTTATATAAAATCTTATTATGCAAAAATATCTTAATATTTTATATTTTATTAGTGGTGATAATAATAACCTTTAGGTTGGTCCAGTATTTTTATATATATTACGTCGAGGATGTAATGGTCATCTTGCTAAAGTTCAACCTGCATATGATAGTTATATCGCAACTGGTATGCTTTTGCTTACTTTTTTATTTATTATGATTTCGAAATATTTCTGTGGGTTTTTTTGATTGCAGGAGATTATACAGTAGTTTTCACTGGCAAATTTCAGTTATGATGCTAATTTTGGGAATTTTGATATTTGTGAGAAAATTAAATAAATTTTTTTACTTTCTTTCAAAGAAGTTTTGTTTAATTAGTTAAAAGCGGAAATAATTTAATAGAAAATTTGAAGTGATGTAATAGGAAATAAACAGAGATAATTGAAACCAGAATGGATTGCAGATGCAACATTTTCTTTTGATACTGCAGCAGTTTGTTTTGCAACAATTAGTGGAGGGCCATTGTGGGCAATATTATATTATACAGCCAATTTATTATTCACTTGCATTGGGCCTATGGTGAACTCTTACCTTTTTTTCCATTGAGTTGTTTTGTTATACATTCATGAAGTATATTTTCTTAGTCAAAATTGTTGTGCATTATGGTAGGCTGTTTCAGTCTGTCTTAACTATAAATTTTATTTCGCTGAATCCTGTTAAAGATGGGACGAATTTTCAACACAGTTTGCTTCGGCAGATTTCATATTGCTCCATTTAGCTAATTTCAAATTCAACACAAAAGATGGAGCGTAGTTATTATAATAGTGTTTATAAGAGGCTCGTTTTGAGCTAGATGTTTATTACTTTTAATTTTCAGGTGCATTTTAAAATAAATAATTTTAAAATAGTTTTTTAGTTTTTTTAGGTTGTTCTTCTTCTCTTCATTCATAATGCATTTTTGGAACAATTTCCTTTTATTCAAAGATATTCATCACAAATTTTGGGACTGTTGTGTGGGGTGTTTCTCGGGACAGGTTTTTTATTATGTATGCCGGTAATCTTCAGATTTATTTTAATATTTTTATTTCTTTCCAGCACTTTTTTCAATAGTTTAAGCGATTCAAGTAAAAATTTTTATTTTTTATCATAGAACCCTTCAGCTTCAGCTGAAGGCAAATGATATAAATTTTTTGTCTTTTGGCTGAAATAAACTCTTTTAAATTGAATGCTGACCAACTATCATTTTTGATTTTTCAACATTTTTTCAATGTAAAAATTTTAGGATATTAATTTTATAATTTTAATTTTTTTAAGTTTAGTTTTATCTCCTTTTGTTTGTAGTTGATTTTTATTTCAGTTGGGTACATCATTTGGAACTTTGTTGCAATATGTCTCACAATCTTCAATCAGTCACATATTTTTGTTTATTGTGGTTTTTTTTATTTATGGTTTGTTTCATTTTAATTTTTTGTTATTCAGAAAGAATTTCCTTCACTGTTATATTCCTTTTCAGGTTGGTATGATCTTGATGCAGACGTTCGGTTAATGCTGGGTTCACCGAATTTTACATCATTATTATCATATTTAAGTGGACCACTGAGTCCTTTTTATACAATTCTTCTTTTTACATCAGTACCGGCATTACTAGCTGTTAGTTCATCAAAATACTCTTAAAATTTTTGGTTCTCTAATTTAGGTGCTGTTAAATTTTTCATCATTTTCACCATCTTTTTACATTTACAGTTAAATTCATTTTAAAGTTAATCAATGGATTATTTGCACTTGCATATTAATTTAAAAAATTTCTAAACAATGAAGAAAAGAGATGATTTTTCCAAGTTTTAGGCGAAGTTCGCGAGTGTTTTTGATCTACTTATGGGTGGATTAGATATCTTAAAGCATATTGATTATGGTACCAATTTTATGACATCTTCGCAGTTTATTAATCGCCTATTCGGTTACGGTATCATGTTAGCACCCACGTTTATCATCATCATATTTGCATTGTTTCATTTTTGGCGAAATACTTTTATCTACAAATTGGTATGTTTGAATTATTTGCTTAATTGCATATGTTCATTCATAAAGAATTCGTACAATTTTTGATTTATATCCACTGAAAAAAAAGATGCCGCATGCATTTGTGAAATCATCCGATCTGTAAAATCTAAGATGTCAAATCAGTTTCAAAATCTTATAAAGATGAATATTGAAATGTTATAAGATATATGTGATATGGTAAGCATATTATTTTCCTTATCTCAATATTTTTTAGCCGATTGGCTCCATGCTTGACGCAACTAGTGATTGGAAGTCACATATTTCGATTCGGCAGGTAATTTTTTCGCTTTATTTCACTTTATTTCGCTTTATTTATTAGGCATCACATTGAATTAATTCGACTACTTGGTCATTTAAATGCTTGGTAAATGCTAGATAAACGTCACTCGAATTCCTCCTCTTTCGCATCGTATTTATACGTCTTTAACGAAGATTTCTTATCGGACCGTTCTTTTCGCAATTTTTATCGTGGAAATGGTCATCGGAATTACTATTCTTATCCTTTTTTTCAGGCAAGTTTTCTTTGATCTTTTAGATCTTCTCTATGTATTAGTGTTTTAAAATTCTTAGCAATTTTTTTAGTATTTTGTTTGAACCGATTTCTAGAAAATTTTGAAGAAATTCTGTTGTTTTTCATTTACCAAAATGTTCTGTTTTTACTTTTTTTTTTATTTTTATGTAATGATTTTTTGCTAATAGCTAATAGTTTTTTAAGTAATGGCTATTTTTCGTATTTTCAATATAATTTATAATTTAGCAATGCTCTTTATGCGCAGCTTCATTCCTCAATTAATACGGGCTCAGCCAACAGTTATCGCACAATTTTGTTGCTTGTTTTTTCGACTTTTCATATTCTTGCTATGTTCGAGATGAAATGGGCATTGCAAAAATGGGACCATTCATCGAGGTTATTATTCCACAAATATAATGAATTTAAATTTTGTGTAGCGTAATAACTTTATATATTTTTATTCAGATTAAATTTATATATCGCAGTTGCAACTATGGAAATGGCTTTTTTAAATGGATATATGTGGATGTTCGCTGTTGATCATAGTTGGGGTCTTCTTTTCTCACCTTTCATGGTGATTGTCGTAAATACAATAACACGCGGCGTAATGATTGCTATTGTGGTGGGTATTAGATGGAATATAGCTGAAAAGTCATATCCAACTCGCACTCGTGACGTTACTGAAATATACGATGCTACCGCTGATCTCGATAATTATGTCGATCGCGACGATGATACCCCAATAATATACGAGATGAGAAGAGACGTTTTCACATAAACACCTCTTTGTTTTCCTATTAATAAAAGGTTAAAAAATTTTTTTCACTGAAATCGCATTTAGCTTCAATACGGGTTTAAATTTAAAAATATTAAATTGTAATTTTTTTATTCATTCATTCAATAATACTGTCTTTGTCAGTGAATTTTTCAATAGATTTGGAAGTTTTTGGAAGTTTCGAAATAAATTTTTTTGAGAGATATTTATCACTTGCTTTTTTATCTTTGGTTATCACTTATGTATATTAAAAACTTATTCATATATGAATTTAAATTTATATGTAAATTTGTATTTTTATTTGTATGTTTTCACTTTTATTTAAAAATAAAAAAATTATTTCAATTACACGTTTTGTTTTTCTTCATATTTTGAGATTAAAAATGCTAAATTTACGAAAGATTTAATGCTCGCTTTAGTAACTTCTAGATTTTTTATTTTTTCTAGAATTTCTAGAATTTCTTTATTTTAACATGGAAATAGTTGAACTTTTAGTAAAATATAAAACAATTAAAACAATAAAAAAATTATTCGTAAATATTTCACCATAAAATGGCTTAAATGGTTTATTTGATTGGTTAAAAAATTATTTTTGCGAATCTTGCTTTCCCTCAAATATTGAATTTGGTAAATTTCAAAAAGTCGGGTTTCTGGGATTCTTTGTTTTAAAAAACAACTGATAAATGTTGGTATAAAGAGCAAATGTTAAAGGTAATACAATCATATATACGTAAATGTGGACAAACCATTAATAAAATTCAATAAGAAGCCATTTATTATATGCCAAAAATATTATATGCAATAGTTAGTTGACTGATAAATTTATGATTATTAACGATAAACAAAAGAGGCGGTAGAAAACAGAAAAAAGGCAAATATAGAATTCATGGAAGAAGCGATGAAATGGAGAAAACATAAGAAATAAAGATATGTATTAAATGATAAAGATGCAAAATATGATAAGGACAAAAATTTATGACTAAAATATCACAAAAAGAAAGAATGCCTCGAATGTTGACAATTTTCTGAAAAAGATAGTCTATTTTTTGCTATAATTAACGAAGGATCACATCGATCCTTAAGAATTTTTGTTGGAGGGAAATGATTCAAGTCAAGGACGCGAGGCTGAGAATGACCCATAAGCCACATAATTAAGCTTTTCAATCTGTTATTCTGAGGTGTTTTTTTTATAAATATTAATAAATATAAAAATCCTAAAGGTTAAGTAGTCTTCGAATGAAAATACAAGATTATTATAGAAACATACCCTAATAGCAAGTGAACTGGCCAAATCAGAAATACCGCGTGATAATACCTAATAACCTAGTAAAAGGAGAAATATTTGAATAAAAAATTAATTAACTGACTGGCTTTATTAAAAAAAGGAACATAAGGTAAAACCTTTAATAAAGTGAAAATGCGCTAATACAAGATAAAATGAAAAACAAAAAACTATGGCAAAAAGAATGAAATAAAACTTTCAGATAGTTTTTGAGAACCTACTCTCCACTTATTTTTTATCTTCTATTTCTAAACCCCTAACGAAAGAATTCTTAAACGCCTTAATCGAATGATCAGAAGAGATAGTCGAACCAAAACTGGTGATTGCCGTTAGAAAACAAATTTCAACAATATCAACTGTTTAAGAAAAACAAAAAATTTTTTACGCGAGAAGCACATAGACTGCAATAAATAAAACTATAAATTCACTGTGGATTCGATGGTTTACACGATTTACCAAATTTGAACAATTTTAGAAATGAATTTGCTTTTGATTTTCCCAATAAATTGGAGGTACTACTAAAATTTTACTTAATAAAACACAATTATCATTGTGTAATTCTAAATGAAAATTTAGATATGCTTACTCTGTGCTTTCCAAACTGTTCGAACGATCAACATCGACTGACTTAGAAGGAGGATTCGTTGGTGAAAAAGACGATGGTGAGAAGAGATTTTGATCTATCGAACTCACTCGTGCAAGAAATAATCCAGATGATGATGACAAAGATTTTGAAATACCTGAAAATTAGAAAAAATTGTTATTTGCGAATTCAACGAAAAATTATTATAAATTATTGTAGATAAAAAGAAGAAAAATTGCTAAGAACAAACCGGCCATACTCCTACCAGCTTGCAAAGCAACAAATGGATTTAATAGTTCGCCACTTGAATTACGCCTTCTCACATCGATATGTACCAATAACGCAGAAAGTTCTAATTCATCACTGTGCTGATTTCGCAGAATAACGGATCGAAAACCTTAATTACATAGAGATGGTTATTTATTAAGATAAAAACTATGCCTAACAACTAATACCTAACAATTGGAATCAATTGCTGGTTTTAATTTCTGCAATCAGAAATAACAATTAAGTCAAGCAAGACAAAATATTACCAGTACGAATGCAATCAACAGGATAAACTGCTTGCCCAATGAATGGATCAGCTTGAGGACCTACAAAGTCACCGTCTTCTACATAGAATCGAATAAGTGCTAGTTCAGGACAAAGTAAATTGAAACTGAATGTTTGGTTCCAGATGGGATTCAAGCCATTCGATGCTTAAAATCAGTTAAAATGTTAATTAAAGAACTAATCCTTTCAAAATAATAATAATAAAGCAAAGATAATAAAATAAAGAGCAAAAAAACATTATCACAGTAGAGCACAATAATTTAAATCCAATATAATAAAAATTTCAGCCTTCTAAAAGCATGCATTTTTTCTGGTTTGACTAGCCCCAACTGCCATCTTTAGTTTTAATTTAACTTCCAAAAAAAGAAAATCAAATCCATGCTACGTGTTTCAATATATGCAATACAGGACTCAATGAGTAATGAATCTAACCAATAAATTAGAGTTGCGATCGGATTTTTATTAAAAATAATCAACTTATAAAATCCTACCTACAGCGCGAGTGCGTACCACTTTACTGTCAGTAGGTATTCCGACAATTTCGACTTCTACGGTTGGAGAACAAATACCTTTCGTTTTATCTTTGCGCGCCAAATGCCGCCCAGCGATTACCTAAAATCACAATCAAAGTATAATATTTTTAATGGCAAAGGAATTTCTATTCTATTCTATTTTCTATTTTTTCAGAATAATTAATTAAAAATAATGACAATTAGTTCCGAAGTAAAATTAATTAAATTAATATATTTAAAACCGGATATTATCTTTAAGACCGAAAATGAAATATAAAAAATATAATATAGAAATAAATTTAAAAAATTAAAAAAATTATAAAAATTACCTGAATAGTGAGCATAATTGGACATGAATGTGATATATTTTCAGGCACATCAGCTGCGAATTTTTCATCAATGAGATAAGATGGCTTTAAAACATAGCCACATTGCCCATTCGCCATAAATTTCCCTTGATTTAGCTGCATTGCCTTTAAAAATTTCTTGCATAAACAATTTACTGCAGAAAAAAAAGCTAAAACGTTAAGAATCCTTCGATGTCAAAGAGAAGCTAGCAAAATATTAAAAATTATCCCTACTCCTCTATTTTTTGAATGCACCACACAAAAATAATAACATACTCGATCACCCGTCTGATAATTTAATGCCACCATATGACAACCCGAATTCCACATAGGCATAGGGTCATAATTTGTTGAAGTCACTCGCGACCCTTGAGGATAAACACGAGATAGTTGACGAGTGTTAAAGCGAACAAGGCCTTTTTCAAGGAGTTTATCATGCTTCGTCTCGCTAAAGGAACACATCTCGTAGAAATTACCATCATCTGCAAAAAATTATTTCTTGGGTTATGATAAATTCATGAATATAGAATCATTGTTATTCTATATCCACTTACTACCAATACTAGCATTAAATGGAACTGCTTGACAATAAACGACAAGATTCGATAGTTCAGAAGCAATTCGTAGATTCTTTTCACGTAGACGTAATATTTGAAAACGACTAGTAGCTGTCCTTGTCAATTCATGCAAAGTATTTAACCAATCTTCTTGATCATCACACGAATTCGCAGCCAATATATGTTCCTTAAAATATATTTTACCTCATATTAATAGAAAATAAAAATATTAATAAAAACTGTAAAATCAATTAATGTGGAAATACAGTGAAATTCCAATGAGCAGCAGCTGGACTGATTTTAAAGGCAAATGGCTTAGTAGTTTCGTTTGAATCGACAATTTTCGCAATAAGTGATCCAGCAAGTTCAATAGTTCCATAGTTTACTACTTCGTTCTAAAATAATAAAATTTTTTTTCCTTAGTCGATTCGAAAAAAAAAATTCTTAAGAATAATTTTTGCGCCAGATAGCTGAGCGGTTAAATGTTATCTCATAGTTTATTACAGTTACAATACAAAGAATAGCAATACTATCAACGGTAATTAATAGCTGATGACAATGATAATATATGCAGTTCTAAATCTTTCAATGAAGCTGTTAAAGCTGTTCAATGAAGCCTAACATTCTAATATTTTACTATTTGCTATTTTTAGACTATTTTACTTTTTTTACTAAAGATTAGAATAAAAATAAAAGATAATAATAGAAAATATGATATAAATTTTGCTTAGATTCCAAAGAAAAATGATCGGTACTACTTACGGAAAAACGATCAGACTGTACTATTTCCACCACACACTGCGAAGGAAAGAAACCTGAATGTGGGCCATATCGTCCCCAATATCTGAAAAAAAAACGAGAAAATTGATTTAAAAAAAACAGAAATAAAACTATGAAAATACTAAATAAACTTCGAGAATCGAAACTAGAAAATATCTTAAAAAATCAAAAAGTGGAAATTATTGTCAATAAATTATCAGAATAATACCGGCAGCCATCCTTCTTTATCACCGTAATTACAGAATTTACAGGAAATGAAAGCTCGCTTTGATGTTTCGCTACATAAGGTTCTATGGCGCGTACGAAAATCTAAAATGAATTGCAACAACTAAGTGTCTTTGTACCAGAAATTGACAAATGATAATGATGAAGTCCTTAGTGAAAAATTAAATGAAATGGATCAAATTTTTGTTAAATTGTGTCAAATATTAGTATAAATAATAAAATAGAAAAAAGCTATAAAATAATATCAAAAATAAAACTGATCAGATTATCTCAGCGAAAAATTATTTATACTAATATTTGATACATTTATTAATTTCGATAACATAAAGAGAGAGTTGGATGGCATGTTGTTTTGACTATGATCAAACCATCAAACTTTCTATCATTAAAAATGAAGTCCTACTGGTACTACGAATCTCTATTTACGCCTCTATTTTCGATTTACCTTGAGGATTTATCTAAATGATATAAGCTCACTGAAAAATAAGAGATAATATTTGTTGCCAGTAATAATAAAATTCGAAATCTTAAGTCAAAATTGGAATTTCGGAAAATTTTTACTCATAAGTATGAAATATAAGTATGAAAAGATAGATATAACTAGCAAAACTTTTCAAGACGAGAAAGGCACCTCTTTATCCAGTTCCTTCAAATCAAGATAACAACCCGGAGTCGATTCCGCGAATTGCGCGGCCAAATTACAAACTTCGATATTTCCATTTACAGCGATCTTCAAACATGTTCCCCACACTAACTCGCGAGACGAATAGAAATCCACAATTTGATTTAAATTTTCAAAAACAGTTTGGTTAACAACAAAAATTCGACCATTACGCTTCAGTCGATAATGCCAAACTGCATCGTTCGCTCTAAAAGTAATAATTAATCTAGACCAATCCGATTTAAAAAATTAAAAACGACTAGAAAAAATTCAGATTAAAAAGATCAAAATTATATGGGAAAAAAACCTAAGAGAAAGTACGAATACGTTTTTGTCCGTTGAACTATATCGAATTAAAAAAGCACCATCCTGATGAACCATATTTAAAAGTTCTTCAGCTTGAGACTTATTAATATTGCCAGCAAACCAGCTGCAAAATAAAAATTTTGCAAATATAAATAATTGTGGATGAGAGATTTTTACTGACAATCTCTTCTTTATTCCATCATCTGCATCATTTCTGTGAAATTCTTTCGCCGATAATCACTTGGGGCTAGAGACATAGCTGAATTCCCACTGCTACTTGGATCTCACTTTTAATAACCATTTCTCGGCAAAGGAGAAAAATCGAACCTATGATGACTTCATATTAATCGAAGCAACAAACTAGTTAGTCACCAGTCGACCACTCCATGTATTTATTCATTAATATTTTATCTCGATCCAGTGACTGCGAATTTTTACAATTAATCCATTTCAAATTTCTGTCAAAGATTTAAAAAAGATCTTAGCTTACGGCATATTGAGATGAGGAGATGGTTGAGGACAAGGAGTTACGAGCTTTGTGCTGAAATTTGGAGTTCTCAGTTTTTGTTCTGTATAATAGGATATTAATTCATATAATGTATCCATCTGTTTATTTTCGAGGAAATAGAATTTCTTCCGACCGTCAACCATTCGAGTACGGATTCGGCAATGATGAACTTTACCATTATGCCTTAAAAAAATTTGGTAAGAACAAATCGGATAGAATCGCAAAACTTCAAATCTTCAATATCACATTCCACATTAAGAAACTTATTCACCCAAATCGAACCAGACTGAGTCGTTTCACATTAAATTTTTGGTTCGGCTGAGGACACACACCCTAACACACATGCCCCATATATGTGCCATTGTTTTTCTGTCACAAATCGACAAAAAATGTTAATTAAAGAAAATTATGAAATTTTATAGATATATTACGATAATATAAAAGTGCTTACAGAAACGACAGAGAATAGTCGCCGATAAACACATTTGAATCTCTGACGAGAAACAGTCCATTACCTTTACTTCTATGTTCTAACAATCGACTTTCTGCCATATTACGACTTGTTTTACTATGAAACCATTCTTCAGTGACATGCATTTCGTCAGGCTGAACACCAAAACCAACCAAGTTTGAGTCATCCTGAATTAGAAAGAATATTTAAAAAATTAATAAGATAAAACCAGAATTTAATGGAATTTATAAAGTATTAAAGCAGCTTACTACTTGAGAATCATCCTCACCAACATTTCCATCAATTTTTGTGTTATCGTCAACTATTGCCTCACAATCATCGAGCATATAACATAAGCGATCGGGAAACAAGATAAAAATATGTTTTGTCCAATTCTAAAATTCTAATTCTATAATAAAAAAATGAAAAATTTTAATTCCAACATGGAGAATAAAAAATTAAAAGGATAATAATAAAATAATAAAAAAACAAACATCGACATCAGAATCTTTAAGACTAAGTATGCCTCTTTTGATACAATTGCGGGAAAGCAAATCATGGTCTTGGTCTAAAAATAATATTATTCAGATAATTAGTCACAAATAAATGAGATTAAGACTACAAAAAAACTGAATATATCGGAAACTTTTGATGATACAGCAGTGAAACTTAAACTCCTAGCAATTGTTGCATTTGCAATTGTAGCAAATTGTACTATTTTGCAATTGTACTATTCTTTGTAGTAGTGGATATTATAATCGGACGAACAACCATTACATCTGAACTTAAGTCTAAGAAAGAAAGTATAGCGCGTACGAAGATGAAATTGAAAATTGAATGTGGTCATTTCGAAAACAAGGAATTACAATCGAAACAGACTATAAAGAAACCGACTATATCATAAAAAATTTCATCTATTCATTTCAAATTTCTATATCATAAAAAAAAAGAAAATATACCATAAAAATTTTCATCAATTTCCAATTGAATTTTTAAATTATAATAGTGCGAAAAATTCAAAATGAATCAGAATTAAGGAAACAAAAATTATGTAGCGAAAAAATTATACTAAAAAACACCAACAATCATCAATAGGCTGAGAAGCTATATCTTCACTTTCCGTCGGAAGTTTTTTGTGTTTCAATATAATTTTTCGTTTCAGAGCAGCTGGAGATGGAAGTTCATGTTCGTCGCGATTTATGGGAGCAGTTAAAAGAAGATCTCCTAAAATGGTTTTTATTTCTTGAGCGAGAAGACGTTGAGCTGGTACGGAACAGTTGTCTTCAATAGATATTATTACCGGATAACTGAAATAATTAGAAAACAGGAAAAGAATGATAATAAAAAAATTGCTTTTAAACCGATAAAAATATTGGCAATAAACCGTGAAACTAGAAGAATGGATACTATGGAGTGCGTTTAAAATTAAATGATATACTTCTAAAATTAGGATAAGAAAAACTCTGCATTAATGCTTGTTGTATAAAAATTTATGTTAAATATTATGTTAAAAATATTATGAGAAATAATTTGATCTTATGGAAAATTGCTAAAAAGTTTTTTTTTTACATTTGCCTTTTTTAATGCTTTCTGGACTTGAAATAATATCAAATTAAATCTATCTAAATTTATCCAACTCGCGAGATTAGCATTTTATACTTTTCCTTTTTTTTATGACGTTCTTTTCCAAGCTAATTTAAAAAATATTCGTAACAGTTAACATAAATGATAAATTTACTCGCTATTAATGAAAGCGTAATGACGAATGGTATAAAGAACATCTCGCAGATTTAATTTGCTTGTCATTGTATAACCGTGATAGATTACAATTTCTGTACAATCATCTGCACTACGTTTATGGCCATCCCAACAATCCACTAGAATTAATTAATTTTAACATAAAATGTTTCAATTGCTGCTGATAGTTTTTATTGATAAAGAGGAAAATACATACATTCGATACATCGACATCCCATCAAAAGACAACGAGCATATGCATCTAACGACGATTCGCTCTTCAACTGATCACCAGTTAAATAACTAAAAAAAAAAAATTAATTTTCAAATTAAACAATTTTGAGTAATATAACCTTAATTTAATCGTATAATACGAGTCAGTTTATTTGATCCTACTTCCTATAGCGTTTAAATGGATCTATAGCCACAAAACCAAGTGATAATAGTTGCGATATTCCATAGAAGCAATCCATTTTTAGTGATAGCTTCACTCATCTCGAAGGAAAAGAATTGGACCAAATATAAGATGTGATCACACTTAATATATGATTTGACCATTGTGCTCATATTTCAGATTAATGATTAAGATAAAATTAAGATAAATCTTAATTTCACATACGTATTATGCGAAGAAGCTATCCAGTAATGACTAAGTGGCCGATTCATATCGTGCACGACTTGTTCGTTTATCGGATCCCATACACTATTTTCACGAGAGAAAAGAAAATCACAAAACTGAAAACAATGTTGTTTCGATGAAATAATCGCGAATTATCTGTACAACTACAACTAACTTCTGAAATAGATAACGAAGGCTCTGGAATATCTCTTGTTGAATCAAATTCTTTCAAATAGCGTCGCATAAAATCACTTGTGCGATCTCGATAATTTCCCATTTCATCCTTAAAAACAAAAATTAAAACAAAAAAACTTTATTCACGAGAAATAAAAAAATTTTCATAAATTGACCTGGTTCCTTCATTGTGCTTTTCTCTTTTCTATAATAATTGATAAATGAATAAAATAAATTCGATGAAAATTGATGCTAACAACTAACACACTGCATTTCCATTAAGAAACGAATAAAATTGTTGAAGCTAACTTTCATCGAATCATCAGAATAAATTGAAAAACGACTCATGAAAAACTGAAAATGATTTTTATTTAGAAAAACAGAATAACTGAAAAAGACATTAGAAATAGGTGAAGTTTTGCAAAAAGTTCGTTAATTTCGTAAGTTTTATCATTTATCATTTAACACTATATGAAAATTCGTATTTCTAATTTTGATTAAAAATTTATAATTGTAGCAAATTTTTTATTTCTAAAAAAGCAATAAAATCCAGAATTAAATGAAATCTTTATGCTAAAATTCTGAAAAATTCATCATCTAAATCTAAAGGAATGGGTCCTGTAGATTTCACTTTTAACGATAGATTCATAAACACAGTAACTATTTTTTTTTGTTTTTACTTTTTTAATAGAATTTTTATTATAAGACAACAACTAACATCATGCTGGAATAATAGTGTTCTATATGCATTGGCGAACATGTCGAAATTCATTTCATCCTGCAATACCAAAATCAATAAATTTCCTATTTATAGCATAATAAATTAATAGGAGATAATAAATAGAAATAACTAATAAATAGTAGTAACAATGAATGAACCTCAGTGATTTCCTGTAAAATTTTGAATTGCACTTTGTATTGCAAACTTATTTGTACAAATGGTTTCATATGTTTTCGCTCAATGCTAAAAAATGAAATTTTTGTTAAATTTTGAATAATCAAATAAGAAATTATATAAAAAAAATATATAAAATAAAAAAAATATATAAAAAAATAAAAAGAAATTATATAAAAAAATATTTATGAAAAATTACTCGCAAATCTTCTGTACGATTTATTTTTGTAATAAAAAGTCCACTCACTGGAAGAATCCAGCAAAAAAAAGAATAAATTTATTCTTTTATGAAATGTAAGCATTTATGGGGTAGAATAGTTCAGTGGGTTGTTGCTCAAATTGAAGCGCCGATATTGAGGTTTTCCTTCTCGCAGAAGTAAACCTGTTCAGAAATCCGGATGATGCTGGGATTCACCCATACTTCTATTGCCAAAGGACTCCCTGGCATATTTTGTCTAGTCCGATAAGCAGCGAAGCGAGCAGTCTAACCAGTGATGGTGAGAGCTCTCAAAAAAAAAACCATTTATACCTGCTCAATTCTATTTATAATATATTACTACTGCCAGAGTGAGGCAATTGGATTAAGCCATTTATTTACTGAAATTATCTGGAGTTGAATATTTAAATATTTTAGATTCACCGATCAGAGCCTGTATTTGTCATATTATAAAATTCCTTTCTGATCCAACGCTCGACTACGAGTGCATGGCTTGCAGAAATTGTATCCATCATTAAATAATGTACACCTTGGCACCACATGCGACAAATTTCTGCGACTTCAACTGTAAACCACTGTAATTAAAAACGTCAGACGAATAAATTAACGATTTCAAGTTTTTCTACACTTGAGAAAGAAAGCTTATTTCCTAAATTTGAGCCAAGTAAACCGTACATGCAAAAAGTGCATAAGTTCCAAAGATATTCCAATTAATTATATATATACATTTTCAATTTTTTTTGCATTTTTTTTCAAAACCTTTTCAATTTTTTAAATAAAACATAAACAAAAAACTAAAATATTTCTGTAAAATGCACTGAAACCAAAAATTATTGAAGCAGCACAAGAATAACAATCTGATGCTTTCCCACAATGCTGCACCATTCACTTAATGATAGGGAAAGTGGGTGAAAAAAAATCTTCGAAACAATGAGAAAAATGAAATAAAATTTATAAACTTACACAGAAGAATCCAATAATTTAATACAAATCCATTTCCGTATGAAAGAACTAAAATTTTTGTTGGATCAAATTGGCGAATCTCCTTATCTTTAGCCCATTTATCACTAATTTTAATCATATTTAATTTAAAGTCCAAAGTATGCACTTCTTTAAGTATTCGTAAATCTAATATATCTGGTTTATATGCCTAAAACAATTCAAATTGTAAAAATGTAAACAAAATTGAGGAAATCAGCTTGAATGAAAATTATGAGGTAATAGCAAAAAATTGCCCATATTCCAAACTCTGGGATGGCTCAGTGGGTTGTTGCACCAATGATGAGGTTCTATTCTCCGAAGGAGTAAATCTGAATCGGAGTGAAGTCGCGACTCAACTGTGCTTCTATCGCCAAGGAACTCCCTGGCATATTTGTCTAGTGCGACAAACCAGCGAAGCGATTCTAATGGCGAAAATTCTTTTAAAAAAAAATCCTCATCTTTCTTAAAAATTTTTTTATTGAAAAATCAAATACTGAAGAATAATCTATAATAAATTTGAACAGTGAAAGAACGAACTTTACTGCAAGAATCCGACTTAACAAGAATCAATTGGCGAGTTTCTCGATTATATGACAATTGCCTGAACGATGGATCCCACTTTTTAAGAAGCATCATTCTGCATACTTTGTGCCCTAATTTTTTAAATTTTTAAAATTTTTTAAAAAATTTCCATAAATTTCAAATATTAAAAAATTGTTCAAAAAAATGTTTGATGGAAACGATTAGCAATCATTTTTCAACTATGCAACATTTTTTGGCGTTCAATTCATTCAAAAGCGGTTATTTAGCAACTATAAATTCCTTTATGAAAAGTATGGAACTTCTGAAATTTCTGCACTTTCTTCTCGAAACAAAATGAGAATAACAAATCGCTAAGTTGACTATTACAGATTATTAGGAAACAATAGAAATGGAACTTCAACCTGATTCCATAGAATGAAATGTCTTTTCCAAATCGATTTCACATGTCGTAAACGATAACCTCGATGAAAGCGATTGCCGTTTTTGGATTTGAATCGACGAGATCGAAGTTTTTTTATTGCTTATCAGTGAATTAATAGAATCGCCACGTTTAGCCATAACGAAATTGTTTAATTGAACATCATCAACAGATTCGCATCAAAGAAAACACGTCAATAGCGATATCGATGTTTCTCTTCTTCGCTGATCGCTGATTTTATCAGATCAGAAATGTTCCCATCTCGTTTCCAACTGTAAAACACAATCATCGTCTCTTCTATATCACTGTAAAAAATAAAAGTGCAAAGAATCTGTAAAAATTTATTATTAAAATAAGCAGATTTAATAATAATTATAATATAAATAATATAATAAAAATAATTTCAAAATTAAAAAAAGTTAATAATTTCGAAATTATATAATTTAATTATAATTCAATTTCGAGTTCATTTTTTGCAGCATTATTGCATTGACCTTATTCGTGAATATTTATGAATAAGTAAATTTCTAGTTTCCGTAAAATTTTCGCACATAAAAATATCTTTGAATTAAAATATTATAGCAAAAAACAAAAATAAAACCAATACTGCCAAAATTCTCAATTTCAAATTGATAAAATTTTTTAATTATTTAATAAAGGAACAATAAACATATGTGAATATCTCTAACATCTGGTGAAAGAATTCCCACCGAAAAACAATAAATCTTCCCTAACATTAAGTGAGTAGTTGGCATTTTTATTCCTTCCTACGCTACTTACCTCTAAGATAAGTTTCAGTAAGGCATTAGCCCATCCATCTTTATCATCCCACAAGTCATTATTATTAAGTCGCTATTGATCTTAAGATAACCCCATATCGAATAATTTGAAATGAAAAGAAAGAGAAACTAGGAAAACAGAAAACGCCACATTTGCAGTCCACGGATCCACTAAACAGCTGATTTTTAATTTGATTTCAAATTTTAATTAAACCTCAAATTTAAATTAAATTAAATTTTTATTAAATTAAATTTTTAACTTGAAGACATACTTCTGCAACAATATTTATTTCCTACTTTATATCGCCACTACCTACAAACCAAAACAATAAGCCGAGACAATTAAAAGATTAAAGGCGATTTTTAATACTCTAAAATATGATTGAGCATCGAAAGTGGCTCGCACCGATGAAACGCTTTGTTGGACAAAGAACGCCGGGGAAGAGCGAAAGTAAAAGGAAGGAAGATGGTTCAGTTAGCTGCTGCTTAGTCTGGAGAGCCAATGTCGATTCTACACCGACCGGAGCAAATCTGTCCTTCCTTCAAAGTAATGCTAGCAATCGCAAGTGAGTGGAACTAGCCTAACCAGCAATGGTGAGCGACCTTAAAAAAAATCATAGGGCTTCTATCGTAATTTGGGAAATAAAGCTGAAAAGCTCACCGACAATTCGGAAAACTTCGTGGATATGAATCAATATATGTGCATCAACAATATTTCAATACTTCAACTATTGTCAAGAAATTTGAAATAAAATTTATCGAAGAATAACGACACAACGAACATAGAAAATAGGCAAAAAATCACAAAATTTTCACCTTTTTAAAAACTGCAATAAAAAAACCATTAGTTAAATCGTAATCAGAAGAAGTACGTAAACATTTTTCTCCAAAATCATAACTATTAAGGCCACGATTCGGCCACGACGGTAATGCATAACTAAGTTCGAATTTCGATCGTATTTCCTCATCGTTGATCACCTTTAAAAAAAATTAATCTAGTAAGTCTTCAGTTATGGTTTAAAATGCAACATTTATGACGACGATAATTTGTAAAATTTGCTATTCACATTGTAAATCGGTTAACTCGGCCTCAGATTTAAATAAAATAATCGAGTGATTTCAAGAGAGGTTCTATTGACATTTTGCATAGTAATTGAATTTTCTATTGCTTAATATTCTTCTAACGAGTTGATAATACTTTAGATTTTAGTAGGTGAAAATATTTATCAGATTTTGACCTTAGAAGAGTACTGGTAAAGCGGTGAAGACAATGAATCTAATACTAAGGTCATTTAAAAGTTAGAGACAGGAAATTTCTTATTCTTAAGAAATTCGGCTAAGAGTGAAATGTAAATTATTAATATCTCTAAATTAAAGAAATCGATAACTGAAGGATATTTGCAGAAAAATATTTAAAAAAAGTTAAATTCAGACAAATCTACTGAAGATTATTCAATTTAGATTCATCACTTATAATTTTATCACATTGTCCTGGACTGAAGTAAATTTTACAAATCGCTTTAAATTCAAATATTATCAGACCTAACTGAAGTTACTGCAATCTACTTATAGAACTCAATTAAGAAGCCATAATTTTTTTGTTCATAGAATATATTATTGGAATAAATTATCTGTGGATGTAGTAAATCAACAACATCAGCAATTAGTTTCAAGACAAAGACAAAGACAAGACAAAGCTAAATAATTAATATTATTTGACAGCATTTATGATAGATAGGCAAGAGTTATAATTTCAGTTTTTTAAATGCGCTTTTTTTATGCAAATTTCGCACTTCATCCTTTTTTGCTATAAATATTTTTATGTTTGTTGTTATGAAACCATAGGATTTTACTGCTGAGTCTTCTTATATAACTCAAATAAATTATTTTATATTTCAAACAATTGATATTACTCCAAACTTTTATACATTTTACATACTAGATAAATTAATTGTTTAGAAAAATTCAATAGCGTGTGATATCATGTGCTCGTCTTAGAACAATAATCATAAATGAATTGGCCGTTAAAATAGATTGAAATGTAAAATAAAAAAGACAATTAAATAGAAGAATAACCAAACGACATAGGATTAATGGGAAAAATACCATCTATTATGGCACTTTAAAAAAAATAAAAAATGAAAAATTATTTAATTCGTAGGCATATAGGAATATTAGTTAAAATGCTGATATCATACCTCTGCTACAACTTGTTCATTCTCCTCCTCATTAACTGAACACGTTGAATAAACTAATCTCCTGAGATTAGGAAACTTCATCGCATGTTTTAACATCATAGCCTTAAAAAAAATACAACATTATATTAAAATAAAAATAGCCAAAAAGATAAAAATGAAAAAAAGATAAAAAAGATAAAAATAGTATAAAAGGAATCAAAAATAGATTTAAAATTTAAATATTAGTTTCATTAAATATAAATATTAGTTTTGAAAATTAAAGGAGATTGAAAAAAAATTATAATGAAAATAAATTATATGAACCTGCAAATTAGAAAGTGAGCGCAGCCGTTTAGGGTCGGTAGCCGAGTTTTCATCTAAGAACTTGTCCAGACGTTTCACTATTCCAGACCCAGAACATGGTGGATCTACCAAAACATAACGTACCTAAACAATATCTCATCGACCACAAACAATATTTAACCTTTAAAATCATAGTGATTAAAATAAATAAATTAAACCCTCGAATATTTTTCATCATTAACATCAACGCGAAGGAAATCTCCACATTCAACATTGATATTTGAGCAGCCGAGTTTTTTAAGCATTTTACGCATAACTTTTATCCGAGTTGGATCTTTATCCATCGCCCAAACTATTCTGAAGATTCCAGATTGATAATAACTTTTAAAAATATAGATAGTCAACAAACGAGACGATTCAAAAAAAGCAAATAAATTATTTTACCCTTCATTCGAAAGCAATGCGGATAAGTGAGATGTCTTCATACCTGGAGCTGCACATGCATCAAAACAATGATAACTTGGCTTAGGTTTGAGAAGAAGAGCAGAAAGACAACTTGCCTAAAAAAAAACAGAGTTTCTCCTGATTAATTTTGCAAAATAAATTTTAATCTGTTAATAATAATTTTAATCTGTTATTAATATAATCTATTACTTCGATATATCTATTACTTTTTTACTATATATTACTATATATTTTTATTTTTCTTTACTATATATTTTTACTATATATATATGTATATCACTTTTTTTTTATTTTATTAAACCAATATTTTGGCAAAATTTATTTATTTTGTTATTAAATTTATAATAAATTTATTTATTGTATTTAAAATGCAAAAAAAACCTTATCTTGCAATACTAAATATCCATCAAACACCATCCAATAAGCATGTAAATCTGTTCTCGGATGGAAAACAAGTAAATTTTCTATATGGCAATCTAATAGCACTTCCTCTGCTTTCATTGAATTAACCAATTCGAAAAACTTTACTCCTTTATCAATTTCGATTTTTCTTATAACCCAATTTTCTTTCTCCAAAGCTAAATTAATACTTTACAATTTGTTTTAACTATGAAGACTGATACATTCGGATAAAATCAAATAAATTTTTCTCGACTGCAAGAAATTCTTTTCGAAAATTATTAATTTACCAATTAAAGCATCCTTTAACGCCCATTTAAGAGTATTTATCCTGGCATATCTCGGTATCATTAAATCAGATTTATTGACTTCACAAATATTAGGACCACGTCCTAACGCGGTTAAACTATCAATCTATAATTGCGTATTACAGTTTTATATAATTTACTTAAAAAATAAGCTAAAACGCATGGAAGTATCTTAGATGTCCAAAATCAACAATTAACTATGCCACCTAATAATTAATACTAAGTTAATAACTAATAATCAAACCTATCATCTTTCATGATTTTTCAATTATTTGGATTTTAAATCTATCTTGAAAAGACGGCACGACGCCACACAGAACATTATTATGATGGATTTAATCAGAAAAAGATACAAATATTCGAATAAAATATGAACCTTCCTATTAATGCGATCGCCGAATTTATTTAACACATTCATAAGTCGACTATTTTGCTTTTTGCTTCCATTTCCAAATATAAAATCATAAAGTAATGCATAAAGTAAAAAAAGACTGCCATTTTTCCAATTCTTTTGCAAATTTCGAATCTCTTTACATTCCAAAATACCATCCAAAAACTTTTTGTAACGTATTGTTTCAGAACACAAACGCAAAAGAATCTTTTTCCTCTAAAATAAATCTTCAAAAATAAAATAATTGTAATAAGAAAAAAATAAGAAATCTCCTGAAAATATGCGTATAAATGATAAATTATTGAAAGGAACAAATCTTCGAGAAAAAAAATTTCAAATGAATAAAAGAACTAACTTTGCATTTGCTCCCATATATAGCATTTCTAACATTTTTCTTTTTATTGAATATTTCTTCTAAAATCTCAGCAGCCGCATAATAGATTTTATCCATTTTAAAAGACTGGGCACAGACTTGCAATTGCATTCAATTTCTTCGTCTAATTTGTATTTTAAACGAAAGGAGGGAAATTTAATGATACAAATAACTGAATACGTTAATCGAAACCTCAAAATTAGCTGATTAAAGTATTTATCAAAATAAAAATTTGTATACAAAATTAAAAATAAAATAAATTAAAATTTAAAAAAACAATAAATAACTGAATAATAACTGAAGGACCATTAAAAATTTTAATGTTGAATTTTATAAACAAAAAATGTGGTGAAAATTATTGTAAAAATTATATCATAAATTGTAAATACATTAGAAACCGAAATATATTAGAAACCAAAAAATAAATTATAAATAAATAGAAAATGCGAACACTCAATGTTACCGATGAATGATTAATGAATTATGGCGTTGTCTGTTTATTGAGATAGCGGAGGAGAATAAGGGCAAATACAACCAGTCTTTATGGTCAATGAAGTTTTAAATCTTATTTTCAAAGAAGCAATCCTAATGATGTTTCCTAAGGTCATCGATGCTTCGGTGCCAAAATAACAACCAGCGAGGCTTGGATTCGAATCCCGCCAGTGTATCATGTTTCATCTGATGGCAGAGTCGCCTAATGGAGAAAGCAAAAGAGAGTAAAGCAGTAAGTGGATTGTTACTCAATTCGAAGCATGCTCAGATGCTGAGGTTTCACTCCAGATAAGAGTAAACTTGTTCTTTAAAAATCCGGGTGAAACTGGTAATGACCTATAATTCTAAATTAAAGATGTGAAGACTGAAGCAAAAGCTATCAAAATTGGGCTCAAAAACTGTCCAAACTGGACGCACTATGAAATCCAATTCAAAACCGCCGAAACCATTTAAAAAATATGGATAAATTAAAACCTTGCAATCGAATGATCGTAAAATACTATATTTAAAATTCTTTAAAAATTTATTCTTACAAATAATAAAAAATAAATGATTCAATGAGGTTTTATATATTTACATTGTAACCAAACTCGACGCATTTTAACAAGCTTAGCTCTATTAACAATTAATCTTCGATCAACAATGTTTATTTCTTTCCTAAGACCAGCGTTCGTAAAAAGCGCATCCAGTTCCTCTTGAGTGAAAAAATAAACAAGCGTTCCATCACCACGGCAATAAAAATTTTCCTTTATAAGTCGATTATTTTTAAAACGCAACTGAGTGAGATCATATAAGCCATAATCTTTAAATAAAAGGACTCCACCGGGTTTCAATAACCTAAAATCGAATTGTAAAGAAGAAGATTTCGCATGAATTTATAGTTATATAAAATCTAAAAAAAGCGTAAAAATCGCCAACCTTACTAAATTTTTAACTGCAGTTTGTTGCATTTCTGGAGGTATTGCTGATAGAACATAAATACATAGCACAATATCAAGAGATCCACAAGAAACTTCGCTGGTTATTTCACCACAAACATCCCAAACGAAAGCTCGGCACAAATTTTCATCATACCTTATATTATTTCGAACAACATCGACGGCTATAGACGAAAAATCACAAGCATAAATAAAAATTCGCCTACCTTGATTAGCGTTCAAAATCGGAAATATGGAATTACCCACTCCACATCCAACTTCAAGCAAACGAAGTGGTGTTTCATGATCCTAAATGATATAAAAGAATTGTCTTTTTTATTTCTCTTTTTTTCCTTAAATTATATATACATAATTCCTACGAAATTTCATTGCTTGCTTAAAAGATAGTATAGGAAATTTTATTTATTTTAATAGCGAATTATTTTGGATTTTTATGCGAGCACAAAATTTACATCGTAGATTGCTTCAGCTTGTGGCAATCAGCATCGAATCGATTCTTTGACAATCCTTTGACAGGCATAAAATAGCCATCGAAAAAGAAAATTTTTCATTCCAAAATGACTCTCTCACAATTTTCTACCCATCCTATAAGAGACTTTTAAGCGAGTCTAAACAGATTTTGATCAGTGCTAACCATTAAATTATTTATTTTATTATCCATATTATCAATGTCAATATTATTATTATTGCTGTTTCTATCGTTATTATTTTCGCTATTAATAAATAATAATGATGCAATTAGTTTCTGATTTAATCTATTAAAAAAAAAATCTATTACTCGGCCGACATATCAAAGTTAAAAACTATCAATAATGATATATCAAATCGACTTCACTTTCAATCCCAGCCAAAAATAACTTTTAAAAGTCACATTTTGAAAATTTGTTTCAGAGTAAAAAATTGAATCACTAAAATCAATAGATAAATAGACATAAAACTGGACATAATTCATTAGCCATAAATCAAATTTTTTTGCCAATCGAAATGTATGCCAATTATCCAATACTTAGGGTTAGGCAAAACTGGTTATCAGCTGTGTCATTATTATAAAGATCATAGTTCTGAAGAAATTCAACGGCTTCTTTCCTTTTTTTTTCTGTTGATCATTTCAACAAATAACTTGTTGTATGAGATTGCTATATAAGGTGATAAGATGATTAAGTAAAAATAAAGCTATCACTAAACGGCAACTTATGCCAAAAGGATCGCCTATGTGCTTTTTTTTTTATAACCTTCGCAATTTCCCACAGAGAATGTTTTTTTTATTGCTTTTTGAATTAATATGAAATTTTATGCCTTCCTTCGTAAGTACTATAAATTTCATTGATTGCTTCTTTTTCGAATGGCTTACACCATTTGTGATTAGGCTGGTTCGGCTGGCTGACTGCAAGAGTAAGACATATCCAAGTTGCTCGACCCAATGCCACAACCGAGTAACAAGAAGCTGCTCCGTTTTTCATCGTCTAAGCTCGCTTAACCCAAGCCATTCGAAATTTCTCCTGACTGTTTCTTCAGGCTTTCTCGTTCTTGGTGGCTCAGCAATCACTAGGCTTAGCAACTAGCAACGAGATACGCGTTGGTTGCTGCGATGGTTGGCAAACAGCGTAGAGAGATTTCCATTAGTTGCTCGCATTTTTGAATTCTCTAACGTTAATTTCATTTTCTTTTTTCAATTCTTATTTATTAAAAAAAATAGAAAAAATTGAATGAAATTGAATAAAAAAAACGAACCAAATTTTCTAAATTCAATTCATTGAATTCATTTAAAAGCCAATTTCGATCCATAAAAAATTTATTTTTATGCTTTAAATAAAATTTATTCCACATTTTCGATGCATTTTTTATTAATTTATTTGCATCATTTTCACAGATTTTTGATTGGTTTTGTCGCAAAATTTCGCGAATCGCTTCTTCTTCGTCGTTTCTATTCCATACGAAATTATCCCACGCGTTATATTCAAACACCATTGAGTCGTCGATTAAATAACGCGAACCGAATTTCTTTTCACGTTTTTCTTCCATTTTCTTTGCAAAAAAATTTTTTACGCTAAAAAATTTAAATTAATAAATAATAATAAATTTGAATTCGATTTTTGTATAAAACATAAGAATTTTTTTTCCCGTAGAAAAACCGTTGACAAATTTTAAGGCTCGAATAATTGACAATGCGAGGTAGTCAATCTCGTCCTCTCCCCATCCTCCTCCCTCTCCTCCTCCTCCTCTCTACCCCCACCCCACCTCTCCTCTTTCCACTTCCTATATTCTTATAATAAAAAAAAGTACTGCGCATTCAAAAAGTTTTATTAATCGGGCAGAGGCCAAAATTATGCGGGCGTGGCTTATCGTTGCATCTCAGTCTCGGGTTCGTGGTACTTTCCTGGATCTAATTTAGCAATTTTCGAATTGGTCTCAAGTTGATGGTTCTTTAAAGGATATTTTCAATTCTAGAAAGATGAATGGTTCGCTTAACCTTCGTCCACTTTCGTTTTATTTGATACCATGAGGTGGTACCTTTCGTTTCATTTTCCTTTATATTTATTTCTAAAGTGAGTCTAGTAAGTCTGACCTTTTATAAATTCTTCATAAAGAGCCGCATTTCATTTAAGACATTTTGTTTTGTGTAATTCAAAGGCCGTAGTTTCAGTGATATGAGATATCAGTAACATTAATAAGTAAGAATCATTTGCAGTCGTTTAGTAATGTCATTTAATGTTTGGTATGGCTATGAAACTCGGTTAATTTATATTCCTTATCATTATAACTACTCATTATCAGTTGAAAAATATTGGAATCCACATTTAGTCCATTATCTTTTTTCTAAAGTTAGTTTTTTCGTTATTTCTTATCATTTCTTAAATTATTCTACTCTCGAAATCAGCGAAATAATTCTGGCCAATTGTCGTATTTTTTCGTTTTTACATCACTGATAGGTAAATGAGGTTTGGGGTCAGGCAAAAGGTCGTGCTGTAAGGTCACGCTGCATTATTGTTCTTTTCTAGTATTGGAGTGTGTCAATCTATATAGCAATCGCATATGTTGCATTAATTCATTTATTGGAAGGGTACCAAAAAATGCGTAAAGAATGGTCACTTCGTTTGCCATTATGTATTTGGAATGCTTCATTAGCATTATTTAGTGCATTTGCAACATTCAGGTTTTTTTATGATTTTCTTGTTAATTGATAACTTATCACTTTATCAATTTTATTGTCATATTTAACAAGAAGAATTTCGTTTTCATAAAATTTTTTAAATTTAATTGATTAAATAAATTATTAATTTATTAAATATTATTTTTCAAAATAAAATTGAAATTTAAATAATGATTAAATTAATTATTCTTATCATTTGAAGAAGTTATTTTACAAAATTTAAACTGAGGTCACTTGCGTTGGCCGGGAATCGAACTCTGGCCACCTGCTTAGCAGGATATTTATGTGTTTGTGAATTTCCATATCATTCTGGAACTCTTAACTTCATAATTGAAGATTTGCAATGAAGAATTTCAAAAATCGCTGTCGATAATGTCAAAAATAAACTTGTAAGAAATTGTTAAACGCTATATATAAAAAAAGAATGCCTTCTGAATATTGTAGTATGGGTTTCTCGCAGTGTCGGAGGTCTGGCAGTTTGAGGGTTCTGCACAATATTGGATGTCAGCAATACAGCAGTACTTCTATCTTCTGAATAGAGAACTCTGATATCTTCCACAGAGTTCTTGAAGAGGCTTTATTTGGCTTAATTTGTACAGTGCCAGGCATTCAGATATCCATGTGTAGAACTTTGAATCCTAGGCTTTTCAATAAACAATGCTCAGATTGTTCTGTTGAAACCTTAAATCTTGATTTCTATCTATGAGTGGCTAGTATCCCTAATTCTCAATGCCCTTTTGAATTTACTGGCCCATGGTCTTGTACTCACATTGGTTAGGCTGGCTCCACTGGCTAGAAGGGTAAGACTGCGCGATCTGATGCCATCTTCGACCATCATCTAAATCCACATATTGCTGGTCCACCTATACGTTCAAAATTATTCCTGTATCAATCTAGCTCTTGGTTGGTCCACCTCGCTTTTGATACCACCCCTCAAGGGTTCAGCAAATAACGAAATATATGTCAACTCTTGTGGTGGGCGACGAAGAACATGTCCTAGCTAGCGAAGACGTCGCTCTAAGATGATAATGTTAATGCAAGTGGTGAGCGAAGGTTCATAAGATCATGTGAGATTTTATCTACTCGGCGAACCCCTAAAGTGTATCTTAGACATTAGTGGTCAAAGACAGTTATTTTTTTAATATCTCCACTCTCATTGCGTATATCACCATAAAACAAAAGTTTGCGTCATGTAATTTGGCTAATACATCTGATTTAGATTTGGCGAAGAATTTTTAAATACATTATTGAATCGGCCATTGCTGGATTCGGTTTGTTACTCAATAAATCCAGAATCACCGGCATCATTTTGGGCATGCGCATTTGCTATATCGAAAATTGTTGAATTAGGTGATACATTCTTTGTTGTTATGCGAAAAAAGCCGTTAATATTTCTTCACTGGTACCACCACGCAGTTGTTCTTATTTATAGTTGGAATTCAGGTTTGCATCTCGTTTTTTTATTTTTATTTTTTAAGTTTATTTCAATCAATTTTAAATATAAATTAATTTTATTTTTTCACTGTAAATATTCTCAGCAATTTTTTTATTAAGAAGCACTTTATTTAAAATGTTCGTCGTTTTTTTCAAAAAAAATTTTTAACCAGTTTTATCAGTTTTAATCGAATATTTCCCTTTAATAAAAAAATTTTATTGAATGAAATTTTTGGCGGAAGGGAAATTCCGATTTAATTTAATGACTTAATAATAATAAGTTATCGTTACCATCATCAATCATTTCATTTTAAGTGGCAGTTTGCAAATATTTGCAATAAATTATTTAATTTTATACATTATTATACATTATTTATTATTTATACATATATACATATATATTTGCTTTATATTATAAAATAAACAAATTAATAAATATCGGATTTTTTTTGTGAATTATTCTACAGTTAAAATTTTTTTTATAAAGACTCATGAGGGTTTTAAAATATAAATGTAAAAAATAAAACGTTAATGACCTTCTGCCAATGATAAACTGCCAAAACAAACGGAAAACCAATCGTATTATTTTAGTTAAACTAGGTCTTTAAAAGAAAACATCCGGTTTGCTCCTGTAATTTGATACTGTCAAAGATATGATTTTAATGTTGATGTATGAATAAATTATGTGTGAACGTTCTAATTCATTTAATATAATTCGGAGACTTTTATATACACAAGAAATGGAATCGCAAATAATAGAAATGGCCTTGACATTCACATATTTATACAACTAATATTCATATTGATGCGATTATTAAATGCATCTGATAAATTCTAGAAAGTTTCACGTCAAAAATATAATTTAACGTGACGTGAATTGAACGTTTATAATTTCAGCGTGTGAATTAACTGCGGCTGGTCGTTGGTTTATTTTTATGAATTATTTTGTACATTCGATTATGTATACATATTATTCGATCACTGCCTATGGTATACGTCTTCCACGAATAATAGCGATGTTTGTTACAAGTTTACAAACATTGCAAATGCTTTTAGGTTTAGTTATTTCGATCGCTGTGCTAAATTTCAAGCTTAACGGTATTGTAAGTTATTTTCATTTCTTCATGGTTTTTTTTTAGTTATTTTAAACTTTCCTAGATCGGTCTTTTAAATTTTTAGCTCATTTTGAATTGATTTAAGTTGTGCCAGCAATCGATGGACAATTTGGCACTGTGCTTTGCTATTTATGCATCATTTGCGATGTTGTTTTTACGATATTTCTATTTTGCATATCTGAAGCCGAAGAAAAAAATGGAACAAAAAATAAAAAATGGTGAAATTGTGACCAAGTCAAAATTCGAATAGGGAATTTTTTAATGAATTAATTGATTTGAATTATCCGGTGAATTTAGTTCCATTAAATTTATTTTATTATTTTCTTAAGCATTTATGAAAATATCGGGTCTTTTTTTTGAAAAAAGTGCTTTTAACGAACGTTATATTAAAATTGGTTTTCTTTATAATAGCGTCAAAAATTTTTACGTTTCTATGTTATATTTATTATATCTGGAGCTCCTAGCATAATTTTCAAGAACTTGAGATCTGCCTGGAATCTTTCGATTCACTGCTTTCTATTAAGTTAAACTAGCCTCTTTCTTTTTTTATATTTTCATTTTTAATTTCTTAAATTAAGATTTAAGATTTATGTCTATGAACTGATCTATCAAAAGATAGATGTATGAACTAGAATATATTTTTGTATAGGCGAATTAGAGAATTATACGATTTTGTTTTAATTATAATTTAATTATAATTTAATAACAGTCTTTCACATAATCATTATCGGTAAACGATTGTACTGCTAGAATTTCTTTCAATATTTCGTGTATTTCAATTGTTTTCTGCCATTCTTTATCTTCATTCGGCATCTTACTTTTATATAAAAATTTTAAAAGATCTTCGTTTTCATTTTTCTGAAAATTTTTAAAGATTATCGTAATTATGTTTAAATTAAATTAAATAAATTAAAATTATACTATCCTTTTTTGCTTTCGAAAATCTTTAAAAAGAAAACTTATTTGTAAACAAAAAACAGTTATGACAATTTATGATTGATATCATTTTTTTCTAGTAACCTACATAATCTCTATTTAAGCTAGTTCCACAGCAGTAAGGAATAATTTGCGATAATCAGTATATATTAAAATAGGAAAAGAAATACCTGACATTTCTCGTGAAAACAGTGTAACCATTCCATTGTATTCAAACCCATTTCCGCAATTTTAAGAACGGCAATGGCCATCAAATGCAGCAGTTCACAACTGTAATCTTTGGCGATGCTTAACGATAACAATGCATTCTGCAATTGTTCCAGCGTCTTTGGAAGCCAATCGATAAGCATTTTTAATGCTACCAAGCTACAGTGTGAAAATTTCTCATTATTTTTTAAAAAATCCACTAATTTTTGCTGCACTTTTCTATCAAATTTCTGTGGCAACTAAAGAGTTTATTTGTTTGTTTGTTTGAAACAAAAACAATTTTGAATATTTAAATATTGATATTAATGAATATTGAGAGTTACCTTTGCCCCGATCCAGCATCTTTGTTTATAATCGATACAGCTTTCTCCAAAACATAAGTCTCATTCTCTCCTATGTCATTAAGGAGTTGCAATGCATTCGATCTCACAAAATCGGATTCATCATCAGTTAAAATAAAGATTCGCCTAACTATGCTCTTATCTAAAGGAAAAATTGAAGCAGTAAAATGAAAAATTGCAATTTTTATATTGATAAGTAAAAAGATTTTTCAGTTCATAATATTTTCATCAATTTAATTGAAGTTTTAACCTTTCCAGTTCTCTATATGCGATACTATTCGTAAAACCTCTAAACCACCATCTCTGAGCGTCCAATCATCGGAATTTAAGGCATTTACACCAAGTTTGGTCAAACTGTCAATCTTAGAAACGCCACCATCAGCAAATTTTTCCAAGCACACTAATAACAAATTCGGGCAATGCTGAAGAAATGGCATAAAGAAAAAGCATCAAAATTAGTTTCGAAAGCTCTTCTCCGAAGAAACAATTATCTACTAAAAAAAAATATGCATATATAAAAATACCAAAAAACGACTATACAACGAATCGTAAAGCCTTTCACAAATTTCCACTGATTGTTTGGGATTCATCCGAAGAAATCTAATGATGCTGTCACTATTACAACGCTTATAGTCCACAAAGAGCGGAATCCAATGTCTTAACAATTCTTCCTTCTCCTTAAGCTCGATAAAAATAAGATTTCAAAAAAAAAACAAAATATTCAATCACCAGTTGTAAGACTGTTTATAAAAGAAAAAAATCAATAGTTAGAACTTTTTCATTAAACAAAAAGGTGAGTATCTCATGGAAGTCACCTAACTATCAGCAACCTGTTTATCCTTCTCTATCTTCAAAATTCTCTGCTGGTCCGATCAGTGGACAATAAAATAGAGGTGATAAGTGTTATTAGGAAACGACGAAATATAGCCAAACTTACTTGTTCCGAGAGGTGTGGCATACAGGAACAAATTTTGCTGAGACTTATACCATCTTCTTTTAAAAAGGAAGGTATCAACTCTTTACGGCCTCTAAACGAAAGCATTTAACCTGTTTTAGAAAGATTCGCTATTTTATTTTTTTTTAAATGAAGAAAAATGTTTTATTACATACTGAATTATTGACTGCTCCATGATGCTAACTCGAACTTTTGCACTTTTCCAATCGTTACTTTCGAAAATTTTCAAACTGTTTTCACCAACAAATCTCCTATATGAAATAGTCATAAAATAACAGAAAAAAAATATAGATAAAAATTATAGATTAAACTAACTAAACTTCTATTAGCAACTTCTATTACAGATAAACTTCTACTAGCAATATAAATTATTCAAAAAAAATTCCATATAATTTATAATAATTTGAAAAAAAACAACTTATTTAACTATTAGATATGACCAAAAAAGTTCGGTTTTTCCAGTGTTATTATTTCCATGGAAAATAAGCGGCAAGAAGCGGTAAATATGCTCAGCCAACTGTATGTGTTAAAATTAAATGCAAGGAGTTGACGTGTAGAGGAATATTAAATGTGAAGAATTATGCAAAATTCTGGTAAGACCGACAAAATCATATATCGAACACAATTAGTTGTTTAAATGTGCTTCTTTTAAATAAAGTGGTATTAGATAAGTAGTGAGGCATCATAAGAAAAGTCCAACGACTGGTCTAAAAATGATTTGGAAACTTTGTAGCTGATAAGATATTAGAAGAGATGAAATATTTAAAGATACACATCAAGGTCGACCGCAATAGATAATAATCAATCAATGGTCAAGATCGAGTGGGATTGAGCTTATTATAAACATATTAAGTTGCAAAAAGGAAAAAATAACAAATCGCAAAAAAAATAAAAACAAAAAGCAAGAAAATGGATCAACATGAAGATAAAAAACTTCACCAACTTATGGACTAATATGGAAAGTAGCTCGGTGAATCCGTTTCACAAAGACCGAAGTTAAAGATCTAACAATGTGGAATTCCGTCATAGTGAATTGCAGGAATTGCAGGTAATACGTCCATTATAAGTTTTCTGCTATGCGCCAAAAATTATTATAGAAATATAGTCCCAAAAATATAGCTATAGTTAGCCACAATGCATAAAACTGTGACCTATTCTGAAGACAATAATAATGCGAGATTTTACCCAAACTACTACATATCTCATGCACATATTATAAGATTACCATCTCTTCTTGGTTTTCAACAATTCCCCAACCGGGAAATACTGGCAATTTTCTTCCTAAAAAAATTATTCTAAGAGAGCGCCTTTATAAATTTATCCTTAAGAAAAGATAAGAAAATATGATGGTTGTTCATCATCCAATTTTTACAACAGTCAACACCCTTAAAAAACGAACTCTTTTGGTCATTTGATAATCCATTTTGTCCACCCAATGCCTTTCCTACACGTTAGGCGAAACAAATAAAATATTAGCTTACATGAGAGAAACAATCAAACGAATGAAATTCTGGCCAGGAAACACCTTGTTTTTGGCAGAATTAAGAATCTCTTCGGCAAATTCATTTGATATTTGTTCAACTATTGTGAATAGAAATTCAGAGAGACTAAAAAGCATTTGAGAATTTGAATAAACACCCAATAATTCTATTAATATACGTATAGTTCATCCTTTTCTGATTATCTGATGAAATCTTTTAATTTAATCAAAAGCAAAAAATTACAAAAAATTTGATAGAAAGCGTCTCATTATAAATGACCAATGGAGTCAATCAAACGAGAAATAATGGCCGCTGCAAAAAACGAACACAAAATACCTTTCAAGAAAAAGATGATCAGCTTTGCAAATTGCATCAATAATCGGCTTCAAGAGATCTAATCGAGAATTTTTTGATAAAACATATGAAAGGAATTTATAAGAAGCATTTCGCACAAAAATGCTCATCTCTTCTTCAATTATCAAAGATGCAGCCAATAATATTGCATCTAAAAAAAATTTGATACTGTAAGAATTTTCTCTCAATTCTATTAGCAGAAATTTTTAGAAGATTTAAAAAAATAACCTTCTTTCAAACTATAAATTAACCCACGATGCTCATACATTAAAAGTGTTTCCAAAATGACAGATAATAATGAAGGATTCATAGAAAATTTTGCTGCTTTCCAACAACAATTGACAAAATCCGTTAATTTTTTTGAATCGAAAAAGTTATGATGCGTTTGTATGATCTGAAATTTTAAGAAAATAGAAAAATTGATGTACCAATGGAGTAAAATTTTGATGAAATTGGCATTTATTTACTTAACTTTCGAATATAACTTTTATCCAAAAGAATATTATAGCATTTACTAAAAGCATACTTTGCTTATCCTACTTTTCCATCTTTCTTTTTGGTTATTATTTTTAAAAATAATGCAAACAAAAAGAATATCAACAAATTTATCTCTACCATAAAAATGTTAAAACCTTATTAATCAAGCGCAAATGAAGAATAAGAGTTGGAATGGACGAAGTGCCATCGAGATAAATCATTGAATTTACGACGATTTCCATTATTTCATCATCTTCAAATATTTTAAAAATGCTCATTATCTTTAATTTTTTTAAAGATATAATGAAAAATTTTGTTCTTTGACACTAACGTACCATATTCATTGTACTGCACTCCAGAATTTCAAGATGGATTAATGGAAAAAGTATTTTGGAATAGATTTTCGATACAGCAAGAAAATTGCCAGAAATTGATATGATAATAAAAAAGATAAATTTATCAATCAATAAAATTAAAAAAACTTTGGCAATTAATAATTATCAAAATTTAAACAAAAATTTAAGAAATTTTAAGCGACTCTGTATTAGAAATTTTTTGAGGAAACAAATTATAATTTCGAAAATAAAAATAATAAATTTAGAATGTATATTAAGATCAATTGAGATTTACACACATAATTTCGTAATGCTATTTCTAAAATTGTCCAATTACGATTTAAACCAATATTTATTAACGGCAAATGGATAATTTTAAAAAATACTCTCTTTCCAACTTTTTTCTAAAACTAATAGTCGAATCCCAATAATTCATATAACCAATACAGGAAAAAAAATTTAACGATCCGCTTAAAATATGGAAAATAAAAAGTTTAAAATTTGAAATATAAAGTATTACTATAAAGTATTACTATTATTATTAATTGTAAAAACCATTACGAACTTATAGGAATGTTGCTGATTAGACTATCAATTAATGCAGCATCAATGCGTTGTAAAAAGTCAGAATTATTTCGTGACAATGCCATGAAAGTTCTCAAATTCGTGCAAATTTCAGACATAGCTTAAGGACGCCGAAATTCAGCTTAGGTATATCAATAAATACAACTTATCAAAATCTGCAAAAAAATTTTATTGAAAATTTTTGGATCAGAAAATTAAAGGAATCATATATCGACATTTATTAGAATAATTTTATCTTAAAAACAATTCAACTCAGAGCGAGTTCCCATTCCGCCAGACCTAAATGGGTTGAAACTATAACTTTAAATGATGGCCTAAACGTCAAGTACGTTTAAATTTTTGGATTAGATTTTATGAATCGTTCCAACTGATTTACCACACCTAAAAATTTCTAAGATTTAAAATTCAAGGCGACTAAACGACATTCCTCCTATCAAAATTAGAATAAAATGATCAATATGGTAAAATATGGTAATTAAAATAAATAAATAAGAGATATTTTGCCGTTAAAAAATCATAAATATTTCGAATGAACGAAACGGAAACCTCATTTAAATTTAACCTCATTTAATTTTATTGAGTTGTTGAAAAAAATTAAAAAATAAAACAACAAATAGCACTGAACAAAGAAATTGTTTCAAAAAATTTTAAATTGTCTCGAACGTTTCACTGCTTTCGTCGCTTTCTTGCAGGACCATTGATCATTTTTGAAACCATTTTATACTTTTTTCCAAGCTTCCTTGATGATGAATGCTAAAAAATAAGACTAAATAAAAAAGATCTTGAAATAAATAAGATCGCAAACACATTAAAAATATGAAGTATTATTAAATAAAACCCCAAAACATACTGCCATGAGAAAAGAAAATTCACGATTTCTCCAATTCAATAAATTTCTTTCAAAAAATGAAGAAATAAGAAAAATAAACACACCGATGTATTATTTTTCTTCCTTTGCTTGACATTTAAATGTCTGCTACGAATTTTTGGGCCAAAATGTGATGGAAAAGGTTTTCGACCACCCAGAGCTATCTGTTTCTTTGTTTGTTCCAAATCCATCTTAGTTTTATCGCTAAGCTTATCGTATTTCTTCTGGCTTTTGTTTTGACGTAAAGCACGTAAACGCAAGGCTGCTAAATTTTCGATAGAAAATTCTACTATTGGCCTCTGAAATAAAATAACACTACAAAGTTTTGAAAAAAGACTGCAGAAACTAGAGAAAAACTACAATAACAAAACTAGAGATTAAGAATGATGTATGGACTAATCTCAAAGAATTATTACGGCTGAGAAAAAGAGCAAATAAGATGCTGGAAACTCCTCTATTTCGAAGAGATTCTAGAAAAGGAATTCCATGCTAATAATAAAAAGAACCGATTAAATCCCGGTTCGCAACGTAAAAGAGGAATATATCAATATTTTTAAAAGAATCGCCAACCTTTTCTTTCGTAAAGGTTTCTGGATTATTGTTGAGAGATTTCAATGCTGCAAGTGCATCGCTATGCTCTGAAAATGCAACGAAACCAAACCCGCACGATTGAGGTACACCATTAGAATCAAGTTTATTCTTATCTCGCCAAATACGACACTAAAACGAATATTTAAATAATTTTTTATCCTAAATATAAGGTCCATTTTTTTCCTACACTACTTATGAAAAAGAAGAATATGTAGAAACCTCAGAAATTACCGCATCTGGGTTACCAGCTGCTAGAAAACAAATTGATTTCAATTTTTTATCATCTAATGATTTCGGCAAATTGTGAACAACCAATCGAGTTGGAGAAACAAACCTGAACATATTAAAAATTTCAGAAATCAACATTTTCTTTAGTTATGGAAATTATGGGAATTTGAAATTGAAATTTTTTGTGAAATTTAACTGAAAATCTAAAAAATCTAGCATGTGATCAACCGCTAGCATTTATTGTTTTACAACTGGAAAATATGCCTATTAATCTGATCGAATATTTGTTTAAGAAATAAAAAATAAAGAGAAATTAGATGCTTTTTAATAATAGAAAAATAATAACGAGAAAATTTAAAAGTAAATATATACATATGCAAGTTACGTAGTTTTTGGCGTGATAAATTTGCTAATTTTGCTCGTTTCTGAGCATCAGCTTCACTCATACCGCAAGCAGCGCGAGTGCCAGGACGCACCAAACTCACTCTAAGTAAATGCAGATTACGTTTGTCATTTGGCTTTTTTTCCTTTCGTTCCTGTTTAAAAATTAGACTTATTTCAAAAAATAAAATGGAAAATTATTGAAAAAAATTTCCATTAAAAACAATAAGTATTTAAATAAATCTAAAAATCAAAATTCACCTTTTCGATCTTTTCAGCATCACTTTTAGATAAAGCGCGGTAGCAAAAGGCTTTTCGATCTCCAATCATTATTCCATTTTCCTAAAAACAATGGAAATGCTGGAACCCATAAAAAACGGAAGAAAAAAAGGATTTTTTCTAAACAAAAGAAAAAAATAAAATTAATTAAAATTAATATTAACAAACAAAAAAATAGCAAACGTCTAAGCAACAGTGATGAAAAAAATACCTGATTAAACGCTTCTATACAAAAATCAGCTTGTTCTTTTGTCTTGAAATGAACAAATCCACTACCTTTTGAATGTGAACTCTCTTCATAACGACAAACTATAGCCAGATTTATTTCACCGTATTTTTCTAACGATTTCCTTAACTGCTCGTCTGTCACATCAAATGATAAATTTCTGCAAATACTGACAATTAATAGGAAAAATTCTAAACTTGATTTCAGACTAATACCTCTCCAATTTTTTTTCCTCAATCTTGATACAATTTTCCACTTAAATTGTAAATTCTTAAATTGTTACAGGACTCTGACAGAAAAGATGTTAAGAGAACAAAAGAAGAAAAATGATTAGCATGGCAAAGGATACGTTACAATTCTATTTGTCCATATAACAGGCAGGTCTTTTCAGTAATTAAATATTCTTTTATGAATAAAATTTCAGATCTTAACGAATGCAACAGAAATGAAGTTAATTTGACCAAAATATTAATTAATTAGCAAAGACCTTTTTTAAAAAAGATGCCTTATATTCAAAATATGAATTTTTGTTCGATCAAAATATGCAGAAAAATACAATAAAATCCCTTAATCTCCTAAATTTAGTGAGGGAGAAAAATTTAAGATTTTCAGAAATATTTATTTATTCTGTTCGGTCTGTAAATTATAAATCGGAGCTGAAATTATACCATTTAAAAGAAGGAAGAAGAATAAATAACGATTTATTTTTTTACCTAGAAATCTACAGAACCTTACAGAAAATAAATTTTTACATGGCTAAGCATAGACCACAGTGAATTTTACAACTTTAAAGTACAATATATGGATTTTGTCAGTTCGTCGAATCAAACAAGATTTAATTTATACGTATAAGAGTTCTGTATGGTTATGTTAAACTAGATTGTTCAAAATATTATAATTACGTTAAATTTAAATTACTAAAAAGAACGAATGGGCTAAAATTACTAAAACCTATATATAAAATTAAACTAAGGATTCATGATTTCTTTATTCGTAATATTAATTACTGGAATAAATTACCGAACGATATAGTTTGTGCGCCATTCCTAGCTATCTTTAAAAAAAGATATTACCATTTATGAAAAGATATTATCATTTATCTAATCTCATTGATATTATTTAAAATTCACATCATGCAGGAAGTATGAAATCTCGACTTTTCCACACCACTATATACAGTTACACTTCGAATTGTACTATATTATATTATTCTGCAATTTCCCTTTTATTTCTTATTTCTTTAAACTATTTGTTACATTTTCTATTTTTCTTACAACTAAATTTTAATATTTGTTTTAACTGTTGTTATTAAAACCAGCCAAGCACATGGCGTTGTCGCCCTGCTTATGAATAAATAAATAAATAATTTTATAAATTTATGAATTATATATTATAAATTTATAAATTTAATTTTGAATCCTAATATTAGAAAATTCGATGGACTGAAATTATTAAACCATGTAAAGCTTGATTTTCTATTTAACAATTTAAGATTTAAGATTTAACAATTGAATTGAAGTTTAAATCGATCAACAAGAAGCAAAGAATTTATGGATAATGAAGAAATAAAAGAAAATTATAATAACTCAAGAAAAGTACAATAAGCAATGATATTTTCTTAACCTTTTCCTAACATTTTTAAATAGATTTTGTTAATGTATTTATTGTTCCTAACAATGATAACCTGCTTGGTTTTATATTAATAAAAATGATAATAACAGTTTTCGTATTTTAAAAATAAATTGCCGATTTACGTTTATAATTAATAAATTGCACAAGTAATATGCAATGTAATAAACGTAAATAAAAATGAAATAAAAATAAATAAAAATAAATAAAACATGTAAATAAAATATCTAATTAAATAAAAAATATGTAAATAAAAACAAATAAAAATAAAATAAAGATGTAAATAAAAATTTCTAATTAATTATTCGAAAAAAAAATCGAAGGAAAGAATGAATCTTTTTTCCTGAAAAAAACTGGTTAGATCTAAAGCTATGTGATTCATTTCGAACTTATGATTCTTAATGAAAGCACATGAATTAGATCATAAATAGAGGAAATTCCTATTTAAATAGTAAATTTAGTGAGGGAGAAAAATTTAAGATTTTCAGAAATATTTATTTATTCTGTTCGGTCTGTAAATTATAAATCGGAGCTGAAATTATACCATTTAAAAGAAGGAAGAAGAATAAATAACGATTTATTTTTTTACCTAGAAATCTACAGAACCTTACAGAAAATAAATTTTTACATGGCTAAGCATAGACCACAGTGAATTTTACAACTTTAAAGTACAATATATGGATTATAGTAACCTAATAGTAAAAAATATTACCAAATAGATTCTATAAGAATAAAAAAAAGTCTAATCGAATTGCAGATATATTGTCGCAACATAAGCCAAGCATGGATTCGATTCCTCGAAGTAAAATAGAAATGCGTGGTGCTAATGACTTTTATTTCTATTCTCAAGTAACTTCCCATCCCAACTCAACGGAGAGGGCAAATGGTGTTGTTAAAAGAAAAATAAAAGTCAGAAAAATAAACTTGAAAAAAATCCGTCACTTCAAAAAAATATAGAAATTTATAACCTGATGAAAACGACTCGTCCTTCGTTAACTGCTTCATCTTTTATATCTTTTTTATCTTTTATTTTCGATTCGTGAAATTTTGGTTCACCGTTGTCATATTCTTCATCACTATACATTCCCTCTACTTGTCCCTTAACATCATCATCATCATTGTCATCATCATCATCATCATCATCAATAAGTCTGTTATTATTACTGCCATTAATATTATGCTTATTTGTTTCATTAGACATTTCCTCTTTAATTTCATCTCTGATTTTTGATTCATCAAGTTGCTCTTGTTTAATTGTCGCTTGCTCTTTCATTTTCTCTACAAAATTTTTGCTTTGAAAACTGATAAAATTATAAAAAAATTATTAAATTATTAATAAATTATTATTGATAAAATTATAAATTATTGTTGATAAAATTATAAAATTAAATGTTGAAAGCGATTACCATCATGCATAAATGTTTCGTAAGTATCTTTGGGTACAGCCCAATCGACAATAATTTTACGTCCTTTAATCTGAAAGAATTTGTCCATTATTAACTCAATAAAAATATAAAACGACTTTAATATGGATATGTCCTTGATAGTATTTTTCAAAAAGTGAAATAAATGTGGCTGATGGACCCAAACCAACTATATTCCAAGTGATACTGCAAACAAACAATTCCATTCTGATTTAGTCCACCGACCTATTCAGAAATTCACAAGGTATTAGAAGATGTTGATGAACAATAAAAAAAAAAATAAATAAAAACTGAACCTCAGACAAATTAAGAGCATCAAAAGCATTTTCTGCGTCCTTTTTTCGAGCGAACTGTACAAAAGCGAAACCAGCACAAGACTGAGGAAAGCGTTTATCTTTACATTTTGGCAAAACTATTTCCGCGCATTGTCCGAATTTACGACAAATTTTTTCGAGATCCTCCACCACAGTCTAAAAAGATAACTAAAATATCTAATAGAGTGGCAAAAAAAGGTTAAAGAACAAATCTTAAACTTTAAGATTAAAATTAACGTATTGCCAATAAAGGGAGAGGGTAGCTGATCGACGATTTGCATTAGAAAAGAGAAAGCACTGAATATTTCCAACTTGTTTCCTGACAGCACTGGAGAACTGGCTATCACTAAAAATGACACCTACGGCTGTTGGACTCACTTCGTCTGGCGGAACGTCTGATCAGCCTAGCAACGAATTATCCAAACCAGCAACAAAGAAGAAAAATTCTCTCTTCTTGCCTAATATTTAAGTATTCGGAAGTGATAAAAATGAAAAATAAGAGAATAAAAAATTACTTGAAAAGGCAAATTTCTAATAATTAATCGCCAATGTTTCATCTTCAAATTATTGAAATATTTCTGCGATGAATTTACCAACACCGATTTTTCCTCGTCTTCGCTTCCTTCTTCAGTTTTTATGCTCGTAAATTTCTTTAATTTCATCTAAATATTTTCTAAATATTTTACAAATTATCCAAACTGTGATAGCAATTTAGTTATTTATTTATTCCAATTTAGAATAAAAAATTCGAAAAATAAAACAAATAAACGAAGTGAACAACAAAAAATTGAGAGAATTAAATAAAATATAAAGAAATTTAATTTTCTCGCAAACAAAAAAAAAGAATTCAAAATGACGAAAAGAGAAATTTTTCTATTATTTAAAATTTTCATAAAATTTTCATTTTGAAAAATAAAAAATTGTAAAATAAATAAAATAAATTTAATAAATTCCATTAAAAATTCACTTATTTTTTAAGAAATTCATTAAGTAATTTTGAAAATGCGAAAATGGAAAAGTGTTATTCGCCACAAAAACTTTTTATTTATGAACTTAAAAAATCAAAGCAAATGAAATCAAAATTTTAAAAATTTAAAATATTGAGGAAATTTTACAAATAATGCAAATAAACCACGCCCCCTTTTGATTTTATATCTGCACTGATAATTATTTTAAATGAATTTTGCGTAGAATCCTCATAGACCCGCCTACTTCCAGTTTTATATCTATCACATAACTTTGTATGTATTTGAATTGCGAAAAAGAGAATGGTGGAATTTGAGGGAATCGACGATGCCAAAATCGTTAGAATATTTTTTCGATGTTATTTGTCCATATTCGTGGATTGGCTTTAAGGTTATTTCTAATTGTTTTCATATTTTAAAGGTGTCACCTTTGTCACCAGCGGTGCGAAACTAATCAATTATGGTGCAAAATTCTAGTAGAGAAAGATTTTGATTTTCAGATCAGTTTTATTCAGCAGTTTCGCCAATCGAAGCACTTGGCGATTTGCTTTTATTTTTTTCGAAAACTATTTTTAGCCAATTAAATGAAGTTTTGTCAAAGTTTTAAAATTACAAAATTACAATCAGACAAGAAATGTTTAATGTTTAATGTTTGTCAACTTAGTGAATTTAAGGGATTTTGTCCCTTTTTTTGATTTAATTCAAATTTTTTGGCATTTCTTATAGGCAAATATTGGCAGATTCTTTTTTTGAAGATTTTAATATTAAATATATAAGGGAAATTTCTTTCAGATGATTCTTAGGGAAAAAAGTTGTTTGGAGAGGAGCGGTTTTAATATTCGTTTTACTCCGTTACGATTATCTACATTACTTAAAACAAATCGTACGTTTCATACATATATTTATTATTATCTTCTCTATCAGTGGTTAATCAGTGGTTAAGAGATTAATGATCACTGATATCTTTTAACGAGAGTTTGAACCGCCCACTTGTTACGCTATATTCGAGTGCATCTTTATTTCACTCTTTTCCGGCTTAACGATACCAGTGAAAACAGAAATGGTTTATTAACAGATTTCATATGCTTTATAAAATTTAGTATCACTGTATTGATAGATAATTTTTATAGAAAATATCGACTGTTCTCACTTTTCCACTCAGCCAAGTAGCCGCAACATTTTTTTCTCAGAGTTAACAACGTTGAGCAAAATTTACGGAATTACCATAAGACGACCGCCTGTTAGTTTTTTTTTTTAGTTAATAGTTTTCAGTGAAATTTGTTTTGGTCATTGATATAAATGAATTTAGTGTTTAGACGAACTTCTGAGTGATTGTGATAGTTTTCGTGTACAACTTTTATTGAATTTAATACGAATTGAACGGCCCGAACTTATGGAAAAAGCTATGGAAATCACTTGGTCGCGTATATGGACTGATAATTTACCAACGAGCCGCACTCCTCATTTTTTACAAGTATAGTCATCGTATAAATTTGCTCTATGCGTTGCGAAAGATGCAAAAAAAAAGTTATATCAGTGTTCATATCTTAACTTCGTTTCGAATTAAAATCTTCAGTTTCATTTTTTAAATTAATAATTCTTTATTTAACTGAGGTTTGTGATGCAGTTGGTCTTGAATTTCGACAAGCTGATGATCTTATTTCACGTATCGAGCAACATTCCAATAGAAAAGATTTAAGAAATGCTAGCATACGTGCTCTTGCTGCAGGAGTAATTGTTGTCTTATTTATTTATTTCAATAATGAACCGAGTAGACTGAAAAGATGTATGATAGTACTAAAAAAAATTTTAAAAAAGCAGAAAAAATTCTTTTATCATTTAGTTTTTTTCTTCCAGCATTTGGATATCTTTTCGGTTAAATTACATTGTGAGATTTCATATTACAACCCAATTTTTGAAGTTTTGACAAAGTTTTGACAAGATTTACAATTTTGCATAACTAAAATAACATATACTTTTATGTCATCTAGTGGAGCTGCGCATTAATTATTGGATAAGAGAAATTTCTCTATATCTAATAATTTGCCTCGGTGATTACGCTGTTGTATAAATTTCTATTTTAATTAGATTTTCGAAATCTCATGTTTTCATTTCCATAAGTCAGTAGATTCATTTTATGCTTTCTTTATTTCATCTCAGATTGAATAAATGCTAAATTAGTTTCATATGGAAATTTCAAGTTTACATATTATCTTTTAATGAGTTACATTTTATCTTTTAATAATTTAGTTTAATTTATTAATTTAATTTAATTTGTCATTTAATAATTATTTTATACATAATTGATTAATTTTGGTGGAAAGAAATTTTTTTCAGGCCTTATTGACTCCATTTACTTATTTAACAAATGGCGAAAATCTTAATTATGGTTTCTCGGGTATCGTGCTTCTTCAGTATCTTAATTTTATTATAAGTAAGTAATCCAAATGATTCTCGTGTTTTTCTATTTTTCTGGTTTTCTCCTGTTTCGTTTACTTTAGATTTGAAGGAGAGTCTTTCTTGAGTATAGCAATTTCATCATTACTGATGGATTTACTCTCATCAAGAGAGAAATCAAACCTATGCTGTTTTCCTATAACCATAGCAATATACGACTCAGTAAACGTATTTTTATTATTCCTAGTAATTATTATTTCGTCTTTAATCTTGAAACAAGAACCATTTTTTTATTACTCACTTCATTTTTTAAACTAAGCCTTTACTGTATTTTTAATTCATTTTTATTTTTATAGATTGTTCAGAACTGTTCGGGAATGTGGCCAGTTCGAGCCAACAAGAGACAACTGAAATTTAGAATAACTTTAATTTTGGGCGATAATATTTGACAATTACAACTTAAATTATCCTCTTATCACTGTTCATTTACTGAAAAAATTATTTGAAAGTATCCACCATTGTTAGTTAGATTCGCTTTGCTCACTTTCTAGAAAAATATGGCATTGGCGATCGAAATATAGGTGACTTGTCAGTATCATCTTGATTTCTGAACAGGTTTACTCCTATCTGGAGAAGAATTCCAACATCGATTATCCGAATTGAACCATTCTACTTTGCTTTGCTTTTCTCCGTTAGGCCGAAGTGCCGCCCAGCGAAGAGTGGCGCGGCAAACGTAGGTCTCTTTTCTCGGTAGCAAATTCAATCAAAATATTGAGTTAATTAAGGAAAATGATTTGTTAGCAAAAATTGCAGTTTCGATTGGGTATATTGGCGATTAAGGCATTTCCCACCCTCTCGAGTTGAAGCCATATCTGGGATTAATTAAAACCATTTCTTTTTTCCATCGCCTAGTATTATTTGTTCTTGGGGTCTCTCTGCGTTCAGAATTTTTGATTACTGCAACTCCAGTCTTGATTGGGTTTTCTCGTCACTGACGTCATCACTGCAAAGCTTGTGGTGAAATGAGCCTAAAATCCTGCGATGGACAATGAAGAATGGCCGAAATGACCTAAACGGACTCTTTATGAGTTCTTCATTATTAAAACTGTAATGTTCGATTTTTAGATAGTACTTCATATTATTGCACATCACTGGCTGGCGGCCCATCTATACTTCGATCGCCAAGGGCATGTTTGTCCAATTCGACAAGTGAATGAAGCGATTTTAACTAGTAAGGGTTTTTAATAGTGAGGCATTTTGTTTATTAACAAATAAAACATTGTATTTTTGATTATCTTCAACTAGTATATTAATTAATGAAAAAATAGCTTAAATCTCATTAAGAGTATAGAAATTGAAAACTAATAAAGATGTAATTAATAGTTATATGTAATTGTTTTGGTAATGGCGCCATTTTTTAATTCATTTCTAATCTATATATATGTTGTATATGTGGAAAATAATTATGCGGAAATCTTTATTGCAAGAGTTATAATTGCAAGGTTCTGCGAAGAGATTTGGGAGGTCACGATAAAATAAATAATTTTCCCGCTCAAAACATCGAATATAAATATAATTTATTATTTTTGAAATAAAAATTGTGGTAGGGAAATTCAAAAACACCAACGAAAGCATTGAAAATGAACGCATAACAATTATCATATAATTTTTCTTAAGTTTAAACTCTATCACTATTAAAAAAATTTTGATATAGATTTCATTTTTAATAGTAGAAAACCGTGTGTTATCTACTATGACCGTGATTTTGTACGGTCCACTGGTCCTATTTGGTTTCTTTAATACCACCATTTCCGATTTGTTGAAGTCCACTGCGTTACAGTTTGGTTCTTCATTTGGTGAGATCCACTGACTGCAGTTTGAATTCTCCTAATATTATTCACCATTTCTGATTTGGTTCAGTCCATTGAGATTACAAATGAACCACCGTTTCGAATGAACTATGGCAATCTAATGGGTCAAAGAAATTTTAAAAAATTTGGATACTTATAAACTTTTCGGTTATGGAGACAACTATTAATTTAAAAAAATCTTGACAAAAACTCTCAAGAAAATTGCACCTCCATAATTTTAATTCCAAATGCTTCGGTGTAATAATAAATCTACGAGCAATAATAATCTTATCTTTCTCAATCAAAAAATCGATCTAATGGAAAAACCATTTGGTAGATATATTCATAGGTAAAGTTAGAGGTCAACCACGCCTTTTAATCTTGACCTTTTCCAATGAATATTTTTCATCGAGATTAGCATGTCTGCGGGTTTTTTTCCTACTGTTCACTAGTTAGTCCATTTTCTATTTTTCTATTACTTTGACATTCGTCTATTTTATGACCTTTCTGCCATCAACAATAATGACCAATGAGTGGCCAATAAGTGACCAGTTTTTTATGTTCCACCCTACACGAAACCGAAATGCAAAATATCATTCGTCAGTTGTATCCCCGACGAACGGTTGGAAGTTATTAAATGATCGAGCGGAGGAATTGTGGAAGCGGCTCGTCGTCTATTGCTCTTGGATTGTCCAAGATATTCCGGAGAATTGTGGTTATTGACGGAATGTTGTCCCAAGCAATGTTTCGTCATCCGAGATTGTTATATCAGAAAACCCCAATATTGCCATAATGCTCCATAAAAAGCAAAGTTATTCGCCTGAACAAGGAATTCGGCTTGGTTGAGGTGGCATGTTGATTTGATTCCTCACCGGGCGTGAATTTCTTGGCTTGGGCCGAATGAAATTTGCATTATTTATTTTCTGAACTCGGTATAAAGTTTGCTCGAGTAGGAAATTTACCTTAGGTGAGGTCTATGCTTGAATTCTCACCGGGCGTGAATCTCCTCACTCGCGTAGATCATTTGCTACATTTAATATCTAAAAAAGTAGAATTCCCGAAGAAAAGTATCTCCTTCCTTTGAAATAAAGTGGATCCTATTTTTGAGGTAATGAAAATGTTGATATGTTAATTCTAAAAATCATATCACAGTTTTTGTTGCCTCGAAAAAAGTTACTTTATTATCGCCAATTAGATTTCATATTTTGGAATTTCCAGTATTAATACTGATGGAGCTAGAATAGTGAGTTATGCCTCTCGATTTAGACCGCCAATGCTCGAATTCCCTTCCCTGGTGGATTGAAACAACTTCAGGAATTCGGATGGCGCTGACGACCTATCTTCTGTCACCAAATGATCCCCTCGCAAAATTCATCTGGTAGGCTAGGGGTGCGGGCCTAACAAGAAAAGGTAGAAGAATAGTCAAGCTAGAAGGTGAGTCCAGGACGAATGACGAAGTTCATTGCTCGATCTGCATTAACATGAGGACTGGATGCGTCTCGTCAGCAATATTGCCTTGTCGGCGATATATTCCTCGAATCGAAGCAATCTCTCCGATTTGACCTCTGCGAGAACTGGCTGATGAGATCGATAAATGAATTCATCATCGCTTAATATGCATAGTTTTCCCGTCACATTTTGCTCTTTTCCATTAGGACATATGTTTGGGTGGTCGATTTTACTTTGATATGGCTGATGAATTTGTGGATTAAATGGATATCAATAATTGTTGTTGGCCAGGATGCATGAAAGTGGATGACGACAAGTGATACTTCTTCCTAAGTAACTCCATTTAAATTTTTTGCAAGACAACCGAAATGCATATTTGCACATCTAATGGCGAATTTATTGGCTTTTTTACTAGAAATACACAACAAACTGGTAGAAACAAGAGAAAAAATGAGATTGGTAAGAAAGCTTATACATCCAATTTTATGAAAATATTTCATTAAAAAAGGTGGATAATTTTCCAAAAATATTTGGCAAATATTGTTAGTTGGGCCATATGACTGTTAAATATTATATATATTTTAATAGATCGCGGGAGGGAATTTTCGGATTAAAAATTTTGCCCTCGAGGGTTGCTAGGAGATTCCTAAACCGATGGGACGCTAATGGATAATTAGGGTTCACTTTTGATTTCCGATTTGATTTCCGATCCTCGACAATCGTAAAGCTGTCATTAAGAGTTTTGAAAGGTTCTTCGCCTTTCCCCATTCCACTTTTTCTTGACATTTGCTCTCACCTTTCGTCGATAAGCCTTGTATTCTATGTTTTTTCATTTATAGCAATTAATTTTTGGTTTAAGCAAATGATTCTTTCTTCAATGGTAATTGGCAAATCGGTAGAAATTTTTTATGAAATTTTACAAAATAAATTTAAATTTAAAACTTAAAAAAATAAATTTGAATTTTTATATTCGAATGATAATGATATATCACAAAATTAAAATTTGATACAATCAAGAAGACGAAGATAAATGTATTTTTCGTTTATCTCAATATTAAAAATAAAATTTCTTGAAACAAAATGCAAAAATAACAAGAAACTTTTTTCACGACGTGGTAATTTTTCGAGAAATTTTGGACATGCGATGCAATTTTTTTGGAAACAAAGTCTATTGCACATTAAAAAGGTAGGCAAAATGCACCAAATGTTTAGCAGCACACAGGTTGAGCTCCACAGGTCTTATAGTAGTACTAGCAATGGCGGAAGTTAGCACTTAATTTGGATCTTTAATATCCATATCGGATCTAGACACAATAATTAAAATCTTAATACAATAAGCCAAGTGTTTTAACGCTCACATTCACTCACTGCATTTTTCCAGAACTCCTTGATAATGTCACTGCTACCGATAATCCGACTGCCAAAATTGCAAGCGCGAGTATTCCAGTTAATGTAAAGCCAACTTTTGACATGCAAATTCCTTGATCGATTGTTCCAAGGATAATTTGTTGACCATATTCGTTATTTACATTACGATGTCGTAGAGAAAATGGCACTTCAGAAGGCTTAAAATATTCAAATAGAAAAATTTAGTTTGCTAAAATTATCTAATAAATATTATAAAAACATTCAAAAATTACTTCATCTGAAATTTCCAAGGCACTTATATCAGTGCGAACATCTAAAGTGTTCGCTTCATCGATGATGTTTCGTTTCTTCAGTACTCGGAATAAGGCATGACGTGCTATAGGAGTAGTTTGTAGTTTCCTTGCTCCGAAACCTTGAGGTTCTGTGCATTGTGGTCGTGGGCATTCACCATTCGGTTCCTTTATGCTGATGGCAATTTGACATTGATAAAATAGTTGCGGTCTGTCGGCGTATTTATAAACGTGAGCTTCTTGACCAGCCATTAGATCAGTTGGATATTCAAGATTGTTAAGAAGATATTTATCGAGAGCGCAACCATCAGCATTGAGAAGTTCCACTTTATCACCATTACCATCATCAACGACACATGAATGAACGAGGGCACAAAATGTGTCGATAGTTTCTGATTCGCATGTCCATTTATGGTAGACTTGTTGACCGATTGTAGCGAATTGGATCGGTTGGCCAGATGGTCCACCATCAAGTATCTACAATCGGCCTCATTGTTTCTTAATGCTTTAATAAAATTTTTATAAGTCCTTTTAATCTATATTTTGAACTTTAACGGTAAAATGTTTTAAGTTGTTTAGAAAAGATTCTCTAATTCCGAAATTTTCTGAATTTGATTTTTGATTTAATTTGCTTTATCGAATTGAATTCAAACAAAATTGAACACTCACCTCATATCTACAAATTGGCATGGGAACAACTTGAGTTTGGAAGGCCGTAGTGATTTCTGATACCTCAATCTGAGTGCTGACGGTCTTGTCAGCTTCCATATAGAAGCATTGTACACGGTATGCACGGTCTACTTTCGTAATAAAAAGTGGATGAAATGAAATAACTACAGTTGTGCTAACGAAAATCCCTCTTGGATTTAACGATCGAGTACGAGCAACATTGCATGAATCGAATGGTAATTCAATTCCAGCAACTTGACGTCCTCCTTCATCTGATCGACAACCCTGCTGATCATAGAGGCCTTTCACATAAACGTGGCCTTCAAATGCATTACGAGTATTAAAATTAATAGTAATAGATGTTGGACCACATTCAATTTCAGGTTCACCTTCAACGCCATTATCGATGGGAATTGAAGTTGTTAAATGAATTAAGACACCGAAGAGAACAATTGAATACATCACAATGCTGAACTGATTTCACCGGCACAAAGCCGGTCTCTTATATATGCACCGAAAACAGAGCCGGAAAATTCTCTAACCTGTATCCATTTTGCCCATTTGTTGCACTCCACTGTTATTTTTATTGTTTCATTATCATTCGCTTTTCATCATTACAGTAGCATTAAATAATTATAAGGAAGTGATTTTTCTTTGCCTTTTTTTTTAAATTCATAAATTCACATTTTAGCTGAACTGTTTGAAGAATTTATTTCTATCTTAATTTTTGATATTATATAAAAAAAAGACTATTGTTAGCCTATCAATAATTTTTCAAAATGATTAATTGTTTTTTGATAAAACCGCCGTTAGAAATCTGGAAATATCTGAAATCCGGTTTGTTGCTGGAAACCCATCGCTAAAATCTCTTGATAATTATCAGGTTAAATAATCTCATCCAAGTCAGCAATGTAGTCAGCTAAACAAGAAATCACAATTACTTATTATTATTATTTGAAAAAGAACGAATGAATGATGATAGGCATGTTAAGCAATTTTTATCAAACATGAACCAACGCTACTTTACATAATTTATAACTTAAATTACCTAAAATAAATAGTTTTAAAATAAATATAAGTATTTTATAAATTTGCATAATTTGTTCGAATAAACTATTTCTTCATTAAATCTGATAAGGATTTCTTTGTTATTTTCAATCTGATAAGGAATTCTTTGCTATTGGGGTAAATTTATTAAATTTTTGGCATTTATTATTATATTATAAAAATAAATGCTATTGCATAAATCCTTTGTTTTTTTTGAATTTTTATTAATATTTCACTGAATTTTATCATTTTTGAATTTATATTTTCACTATTTTATTTTATGTTCAAATATTCATTCTTTCATGGAAATAAATATAAATATAGTTTATATGAAAAAAAGGATGAGAAATTTCCATTCATTATACTGTATGTTTTAATATTTATTGTTAAAACTTATTGATAAAATTGCAGTTTCGCAGTTGTTATTTCGATGAAAAGATATGTGATAATTTGTGCAGAAATGAAAAGAAACATAATTTTCATGAATAATAATCAATGCGGATTTCGAAAGATCTTGTGAATTATCAGTTGGTTATGTCCAAGAAATAATCAGAATAAATATTCTTATTTCTCTATTGAAGTAATCATGTAATGATAATGGGATTATGATTGAATAGTCGAATTCTCACATGTACTGCAGCAAGAAAAATACAAACGCATCGAGTTCTTGTATATGAATCAAGTTATCAATCAACTGTCGCTTTGTTTCTTTTATGAAACGGGTACCTACGAATGGGCCTTCATCCGGGTTGAACCACATCACTCCAATTTTTCAACATATATATATATATATAATATATACGAAAGGGAATGATTTATTTATGTTTTCTTTGCCACTTTATTCTGTGAGCTTAATTTTATCCTAGCATCGAAAATAATAACTGAATTTAACTGAAATAACTGAATTTTGGCTGCCGAAAATTCAAATCGAAATTATATCAAAATTAAGTAAAATTGAAGATGGGTCGTAATTATAATAAGATTTTAATCAGACATTGCTGATGCAAATAATTTTAACTATGGGCGATGATATTTAATAAGGGTCGATGCGACGATAGGCTGTGATATTGTTGCTGCCTTTGTAACTGAAAGTCGTTGGAGAAGAGATCTGCCTTTGTTGAAAAATAAATTTTTACATTACAAAATTATAATTTTCTTTCCTCGCATGAAATAATCACATATCGAGAATCAGGTTTCAATCACTGCAAATTATCATCAGATTCACTTTCAATCTTTATAGATGATGAAAATATAATTGATTTTATGGTCACATTGTTCAATTCGCCATTTATCAAAATTCCAAACCAAGCTTTCGCTATCAGAAACGTAAAAATTCCGTTTTCTTAGAAATTTTTGACCTGTTTTTTAATGCTCTTCATAAATAAATAGGAACTAAAAGAAATCTGGTACAATATGAAAAATATTTTACAGCAAACTATCTCGTTCTTCAATATATTCAAATCGTTTTTTCGAGACTAACTTATGAGAGAAAATATTTTTTTATTTTTTCACTATATTATCAATAATTTTAGCCAAAATTTATATTTGACTACGAAAGAAAAGCAAAAAATAAATTATTTTTAAAATATTTGCAATTGTTACAAAATTTCCCGTCAACATAAAATTAAAATTTATGAAATACTTTTGTTTGATTAGATTTATCGAGAATTTCCTTAATTTTGAGAAGTTTCTTATTAAAAAATGGCCAATTTTGATAAAAAATGGTCAAAAACGCTTCCCATTAATAGATTTGTTCATAATAAGCAACTTTGCCAAGCAGCGATAAACTTTATTTCGTTTTTGTCTCACTTATCCAACTAGGGCGCTGAAAATCAATTTATCATAGTCAAATATTATCTCTCAAATCCTCTTATGACTTATTTTATATCCTCATAGCCATTTCACCCAGTCAAATTGGGAATGATGACTACAGTGCAGGTAGAAGAATTACCTTTTTCCGTGTTGGGGATAATATTGGGAATATCTGCAATCAAATAATTAAATTATAGCAAATTTTAGAACGATATCTGATAGGTGTTAGAAACGTCTGATACTTCGTACCATAAACGTTATTTTAGTACTTCGATGCAGCAACAAGTACTTTCCTCTCGCATTATGCATTAGAAGATTATAAAATCATATCAACGTTAACAATCTAGAATTATAAGTGCTCTATAATTACATTAGATTTATTATTAATATCGATTTTTTGTATTATATTATCATTGATTAAATGATAAAAATTGCAGAGAATTTTGATCGGCGCCACGATTATATTCTCAGATGAACTAAACATGAAAAATTTTTGATATGAGATTTGTGCTGATAGTTGAAAATTCGCAATATAAAAGTTTCTTTTTTCCAGCGAAATATTAGAAAAAGCGATGAATTATGTCCGTTCGGCCACAATCTGAAGAATTTAAGATAAAAAATATTTATATTTGGATAATATTTGACTCAAAATTTGATTAAGGCTTAGACATTTTAAGGATTTTTTAAATTAAATAGAAAAATAAGAATAAAAAATATGAATAAAAAAAAGAATTCGAAATCAAAAATTTTTTCACGAATCTTAAGACAATATTTTCAATTAAGGCAATATCCTTGATTCTTTCTTTTGTCAGACAGTTTTATTGCTCTATCCTGTAAATCCCAAAATTTATCTCCCATAAACTCGTAGGCGATATAATGTTTGGAATTTCATATTAAAATGGAATTTCGTCATTATCAATAATCGTTACTTTTTATTATCAAATTTGTTAAAATCCTATAAAATCATTGCAGTTCTTATAAATCTATGATATCTGACACGATAAAGTGGCTTCTGAAAATATAAACAATTTGAACTAAAAATTCCAAAACTGCGTATTATTTAAAGAATTGTAAAGTATTAAGAGCCCTCACCATTACTAGTTAAACTCGCTCCTCCGGCCTTTCGTACTAGATTAATATGCCAGAGTATGAGAATAGAAGAACAGGTCGCCAACAGGATTTTTGGTCAATTTTAGTCTCCTGCGGAAAGTAGAACCTCAGCATCGACACTCCGAAGTTGAGCTGCACTGATTCGCCATAAATACATAGCAAATATATATATATATATATATTTTTTTTATTATTTCAAATATTCATTTTTACTTACAATCAACATTTGCCAAAAAAATGGCTCATTTATTTTTATTTCAGACAAAATCAACTTCGTTTTATATTGAAATTTTTATTAAGCGATAAAGAATTATGATTTCATTGTGAAAATACAAGTTTCAAGCTCGTTAGAAGTGACAGATGATGTCGACAGATGATAATAGTTTAAATAATAAATTATGGTAAGTGTACTACGAAGCGATTGTAACACGGATTCAGCCTTTATCTTTTGATTAAATTCGTCGCTGAAAGTAAAAGTAAAATTAGAATTGAAAGTAAAAAGTGAAATTCGAGTAAGTATTAATGACCCTTTTATTTCTACGGCGATCCAATATAAGAATTTTAATGCCATAAGATTTTTTAAAAGTTGAAACGAAACGAAATCTATGAAGAAATTCACCGAGTTTTTCCTGTATCAGTACCAGCACCAGTATTTGATTTGTTCTTCGTTAGGCTTTGTTCCACTCGAATTATTTAGTTTTACAATATATAGCATTAAATCATTATAAATCATTATAAATTTATATATCTTTAGTTTTTAATATTTTAGGAAAAATGACTAAAAAGAGAATAATGTAGTTGTAACTTGTAGATTGAAGGAAGAAATTTTCGCTGTTAAAATTCTGATATTTCGATCATAAAAATCCAGATCTCCAATGTAAAATGTGTAAAGAATGCATAGAAAGTGGAGTTGGTAGTCCACTAGTGATTATTGCCATTAATTTCCACAATTTATCTTTTCTGACACTATTCGATCTCATTTTTCTGGAAAATGGGATTGTTAAATCTGTTGTTCTCATCCATATACTGTATGCAACATAAAGCAACTCAAAAAACAGCTAAAAGTCTAACTAGATTATAAAGTTCGATGGAAAATACAGCAGAATGCTTCGAATAAAATCTTTTCGAAATCTCTCGATTCGGTGCCACATTTAAATTAACGGAAGTCACCCTTTCGACTATCGTCTATTCTCAATATTACGCAGCCGATAGATTTTCACATAATTTGTGGCTTACAAATTTGCATAAAAATTTCAGATGAATGGATTTGAAATTCGACCGTGAAATTTTGTTTGCATTAAGTTTATTTCAAATTTTCCACCGAACATTATAATCGAATCGAATATGTAAATTGGCATTTCATTTTTGTTATTTCCTGGAAAAGTCCAGCAATTTTGTTTTTTTTACTACTTTCTTATTAATGATATTATTACATATTCTATAATATTTAATAATATAAGCAAATGATGCAAATAAAACAATTTTTTATTCCTTATTGCACCGTTAAAGACAACGAATAAACATGAATAATTTGGTTGTGAAATAGAAAAAAGAAGAATTATGGAAATTCGCGAAAATTTATTTTTAAAAGTGAATTATTCTTCGAAATAAGAATGGAAATCGGAAAGAGAAAACTGATAAAAAACATTCGACAAAGTCCTTGAAAAACTATAATACAGTACTGTTGAGAAATTATTCTTGCATCGCGCAATTTTACAAACCTTTTAAAAGATAGTAAACAATACTTAAAAATACTTACATTGCATATTAATAAGGAATTGTTTAATTAAAATTTCAAAAATTGCCATTTATTTAACATTTTAAATAAACTTAAGTATCTTAAAAATCGATGATTTGTTAAACCATAAGGAACGATATCGTTCATCGGACGAACAATTAATTAATTTATCAACCTATCAAAATCTCGACGAATCATTCCGGTGAAATATTTGAAATTTGCAAATCGCAAAACGAAACTTTGCCATTCTATTTATTTTATGTGAGTAAACTGGCGAAGTGTTGAATATTTGAAATTCAAATTGAGCTGAGCATATTCGCCATCAATTTATTATACACGACGGATGGACTGGATTTGTCCAAAAATATTTTGCTGAATAGGAAGAAAACGTGGATTATAATTTTGGTTGTGGTCGAAGCATATATACCACTATGATAATTGTTACCGCAGTTGCAGCAAATATCATAGAGAGGATAAGTGATAATCCGAACGGTGAGATACAAAAGCCATTATCGACTGTTGTAAGAAAGTCATTTGAGTAAGGTCGATGACGTAAGTTCATTGGTAATGATTGCTTCTAGAAAAGAATGTTAAGAGATCATAAAGAACCACAAAAATAGCTTAAATTATGAATAATAGCCTTTTTAGCCCGAAAATTTCATCGATAAGAAATGTTAAAAATCACCGAGATCACGAAGATTATTAAAAGATTACCAAGTAAATTCTCAGTTATAATCTTCCAACGTCTGTATGTCCACAAATTCTATCATTATCATTATCATTAATGCTACAAGAATTCAATTTCCTTTCCCTTGTCAGAGATTTTTATGAAAAGTGAAATCTGAACGGCTAATGATAAACCAGCTCTGACGTTTTTACGGATTTCTGAGTTATGACATTGCGATAATAGAAAAATGCTTAATTACCTGTTCGCTGATTTCCAATGCATTAAAATCTGTTTGAACATCTAAAGTATTGCCGTCGTCCACTGAACGTTTTTTAAGAAGTCGACTTCGTGATGTCAATTTTTGAGCGCCGAATCCTTGAGGTTCTGTGCATTGTGGTCGTTGACATTCGCTATTCGGTTCTTTAATAGTTATTGTAATTTGGCACTGATAAAATAATTGCGATCTGTCAGCGTATTTATAAACGTGGGCTTCTTGACCAGCCATAAGATCAGTTGGATATTCGAGATTGTTGAGAAGATACTTGTCAAGTGCACAACCATCAGCATTCAATAGTTCTACTTTGTCGCCCTTACCATCGTCTACCACACATGAATGCACAACTGCACAGAAAGTGTCGACAGTTTCTGAGTCGCAAGTCCATTTGTGGTAGACTTGTTGACCGATCGTAGCGAACTGAATTGGTTGTCCTGATGGACCACCGTCAAGAATCTAAACCAATTCAATGATTAAGTAAAAATTTTAATTTTTGCATGAAAACAATTTACAATAAAACTATAAATTTTTTTTCACCTTAATCTATTCTAAACTATTCGGCAAAAATCTGCCTCCAATTTTGTTTATAAATCAAACTAAAATATATAAAATAATTTTTATATTTTTCGTAATTTTCACATAAAATGATTTTGCGCAATTATTTAAGGAACAATTTATTTTTAAAATAATCTCAATTGAAAATAATCTCATTTTCATTCTAAACATTCCGTAATCATCTTTGCAATTTCGTAAATGCAAGATGGAAAAAAAATTTTGGAAAACACTAGTCCACTCACCTCATATCTGCAGACTGGCATTGGAACGATCTGTGTTGCGAATGCAGTTGTAATTTCTGAGACTTCTATTTGTGTGCTGACCGTCTTATCAGCCTCCATATAGAAACATTGAATTCTATAGGCACGATCGATTTTCGTCAAAAAAAGAGGATGAAAAGTAATAACAACCACCGCGGAAACGAAAATACCACGAGGATTGAGCGAACGACTCCTGGCAACATTACACGAATCGAATGGCAACTCAATTCCTGCTACTTGTCGTCCACCTTCATCCGATCGGCATCCTTGTTGATCATAAAGCCCTTTAACAAAAACATGCCCCTCGAATTGATTCCTAGTATTAAAGTTAACAGTGATAGAAGTTGGACCACATTCGATTTCAGGCTCACCTTCGACACCATTGTCAATAGGTATAGCCACAACAATCGCTAATAGAGAAATGAAAATAATTAATCGCATTTTGGGAAGTATAGAGATGGCTGTGCTGTCCATACTGGCATGCTTTAACCTTTATATAGGTGGAAAAACGCCCATACACCACAACGACCTGAATTCGATTCTACCTTTTGCCCTTTTCTCATATCCCGGTCTCCTTTGTTTTGCCATTGTTTCCTTTATTTGAGTTTTGTTATACGCCGCAAAATTTGATGCAACATGTCTTCTCGTGATCATTAATGTCAAAACCGGGATAAGATGATAGGAGCTCTTCAACTTTTTTATTATCATGATTGATATTCACAAATATGGATTATTAAAAAACCTTGATCCACACCATAACGATTTACTTAAACTTATAAAGAAAACCAAGAAAAAAAATTTTTATGTCTAAATTAAATTTAAATATAAATTTAAATTTTTACTTTTAAATAATTTAATAAAATTTAAAAAAGAAATTTGTTGAGAATTTTAGACATATTTTTCGAAATAATCAATTTTTTCCTGAAAGCATTATTTTTTAAAATATCAATCTAAATCGAAATCAGTGAAATCATCAAAAGATTTATCATTATTATTATTTCGAGTAGGTTTGAATCTCTAAAAAATTTTTATATCATTTCTAAAATTTTTAATTTTTCCTACTTCATTATTATTATTGCTTTATTATTTAGTACTTTAAAAATTCCCAAAAGATTTCGTCACATTAAATTTCTTTATTTCTTTCATTTTTATAAGAATTAAATATTAAAAAACTTTGCATGCATGCGGACGTCGCGTCAAAGAGACTTGATCCTTTTACCATAGAGCCACTTGGGCATAGAGATACAGGCGGGTCCCGAGCAGCCACCCATCATGATAGGCTTACTTCTCTTGAAGGCAGAGAATAGGCAGAGAAGGCATAGAGATAATTAAATTAACTTTAAAAAAAAGAAAAAAATGTTAAGAAAGGAAAAAAACTTGTCCGATTCGTTGATAACAAAAAGTAATAATTGTAAGTTAGTGATACATTATAATTTAATATTTGGCTTCGAAACATGGCCAATAAGAGTGGAAGATTTTAAGAAGTTATAAATCTTTGACCATTCATGTCTAAGGTGCATTTTACGGATCCGTCGAGCGGATAAAATTGCACATGATTGTATCCATCTTCGTTCAAATAACCCACGCATTAATAAAGTTATCACAGAACGTCACCTTCACTGGTTAGGGCACATCGCCCACCACAGGAATTGATGCATATTTCGTTAGTTGCTAAATTCTGTGATTTATGGAAGATTAAAAATTAAATTTTTGTTTAGTTTAGTCGTTAAATTAAAAATTTTATTACTTTTTACCTCAATTCTTGTTTTTTCTTATTCTTTTTGTATTTTATGAAACATTTTCTTAAAAAAGTTAATTTTAGTTAATATTAGTTAGTTAGTTAATATTTCATAGTTTTTAATATTGTATAATATAAATATAATAATATAATAAATATAATAATATAAAATAAAACACAAAAAATAAAATAATTTATAAAATAATATAATATAAAATAATTAATACGATAATATAAAATAATTTAAGTGCCTTTTCAATGAGAATTATAAATTTTTAGTATTTTTTTTTCAATGTTTGCATACAGGTTTTTGAAAGAATTTAATATAAATTAGAGATAAAGAATATGATATGATAAAAATAATTCAAAGTGGATTTGATAAGGAAGGAAAAAAAGAAATTTCTTTGTCTTGAGGAGTGTTTTGATCAAAAAATATTTCAGCTATATTTCTTCAATAAACTTCAAATCGATGTTTACGCTTTAATGATTTCTTATAATCGCCGAAAATTGGCGATTAATTAATTTTTCAATAGTTGACAGCTTCATTAGATCATCAAATGGACGTATGGAAAATTTATGATTTTCTGTCAATTTCCTTGTTTTTCTATTAAAAAATTTATGCTTCTGAATTCTATAGAATTTATTTCTGGCGTTAATAAATTTCTCTCCATACTGCTTTTACCGAGCAGAATTATTTCGACTTTGGCTGAACCAAGAAGTGCCAAGTCTCACACCTGCCAGCTAAAGCAGAAATGGTTGCTGGAGAAAGAAGATAAGAGCAAGCCGGCAAGAAAATAATTGTGAAGTTTATGGTTTTTGCATTGCTCAGAACCTAACTCTACTTGATAATTACAAGTAACTTAGTGCTTTCTTCTGTAACTATTAATTGTTTATTCTTTTTTGTGATTTAGACAAAAATTTAAACAAAATTTTTCTTTTGTCATCGATAATTTTCATTTTTCTTTATATAGCTTCCTGTTATAGGAGAAGGCAACGAGAAACTAGCGAGAAGATCATTAATCAGTGGCGATACTTTCACTCAAATTTTGTCGATTAGAAATGATAAGACCAGTTGAAAAAAAAAGAAAAAAAGAGAATAGCACTTCGTGCGGCTGTCGGAACGGATATTGTTCTCCCTTTCACTATCTCAAATCGAGTACATCATTTGGCCTGAAGCGAAATTCGCAAACCGATTAGTTTTTATTATATATTTCTCCGATAGAAACTCTTCAGTTCAATTCGAATTTGTCTTAATTAAACGTATTTAAACGGAAAGAGAAAGGTGGCAATATCGGATAAAATGAAAACAATAGAAATAAAGCGATTATACAAATTCCAATTTCAGAAGAGAAAATTTTATCGAAACGATTTTTTTAAAAATTGAATCGAGAAGAATATCTCAAAAAAAAAAGAAAACTGATTAATTCGATCCGTCACAAAATAATTTCTAATTTTTCCCGACTCGACTATTCAATTCATTCATTCATATATTCCTTCTTCTTTCGTTCCTTCTTTTCTTCCTTCCTTCTTTTACATTTTTATTTATTTTTATAGAAACATTTCATTTATGTTTTTAATAATTTCAAGAAATTCGATTTCGATAACAATAATGTTGAATCGATCTTAAAATTAGTTTTGAAATCAATTTTAAATCTACGAGTAATTTTTGAGGAATTTTATGAATTGTTGAAATTTCTGAAGAAAAAATTCTATTTTAAATTAAATTATAAATGAAATTCAGTTATTTTGGATTTAAATACCATTACAACTACAATTCCAGCACCTTTCTGATAACGCACAGAAGGCACTATTTTCAGTCCAATGCTTATAGTTTCGGGTTCCATCGTTGCCCTATCTTTTTTCTATATTCACTTATTAATAATTAAATTAATTTATTTATTTCCTCTAATTAATCAAAATCATGAATTAGTTGAATTGATCTATAATTTGTTAATTTCTCTTTTCAACATTGCACCAGTATATTTCTATTCCTTAGTCGTCATATTCCCTTTTTCCAGATTTTTGTAAATTATTAGCTAATTTTGATTTCCCCACTTATCGCGCAAATTCACGCATTTCGAAGGGCTATTTCATCATTTTATCATTGCATTTAAATATTAGTGGAGAAAATAAAAAAAATAAATTAAAAAGAAAAATAGCTTACCAAAATTAAATTAATTAAATAATTAAATTAAATAAATTAAAATTAAGTTGTCAAAAATTGTCCTGAAAAATAGATATGACATGGAACTTCAAATCCATGAGTTACAGGTTCGAATCTTGACAACACTCTTCACTTACTGCAGTAGAATCGAATTAATCCTTTTATGAACATTTGATTTCGATCATTTGATCGTCCTACCGCATATTATCACTATTATCACTAGATATTTATCATTATCACTATCATTGAAAATAAAAAAAAATAAAAGTGCTTCCGAAAACCGAATTGATTATTATTGTTCTTATTATTATTATTATTACCATTGCAATTATTATTATAATGAAAAAATCTGAATAATACTTTATATTATTCTAAGCATAAGCATAAACAATTTAATAAAATATCTCTTTAAACAAACAAGCAAGGCTATGGCAAAGCACAACAATGGCTTTGCTCTTGGATTGTAAGTAATAAGAAAAATAATATAAGAGCGGTGACTGCGAGGTATATTAAATTAATCATTTTAAATATTAAACTGAAACATCGAAAACAAAAGAACAAAACGAAGCATTAAAATACCAAATTATTTTGTGGAAATATTACAAAGTAACAATTTTGTTTAATACGATGTAGCGAATTTTATGAATGAAGCAATGATTTTTTTTTAGTTAAAAACGCGTTATAAATATTAGCAAAATATAAATATAAAATAATCAACCACTTCAATAAAATAGCAATAAGAAAACTTTCATTTAATTACTCGAAATACGGTTTATTTGATTCCTTGGCTCATTGGCTCACTAAACATCGTTTAGCAGAATGGATATCGAATAATCTGCAACATCTCAGCCTGAATATCGATAAATCAGTGGCATCTCAGACTGAATCGCAGGAGTAAGCCTGTATAAAAATCCGAGTGATGCTGGCGTCTCACCTGTACTTCTATCGCCAAGACTCTCTCTGGCATATTGCCCAGTGTGACAAGCCAGTGGAGCGAGCTTGACCAGTAATGGTGAGGACTCTTAAAAAAAAATCTCAGACTGAATATCAATAAATCGGTGATATGTTTGCCTGGATATCGCGCAACATCTCAGCATGCATGCATATTAAATAATTATCTTGAAAATTTTCAATTATTTTTATGGAATCTTATGATATGATAAAATAAAAACATTTTTTTCGTTAGCAGATTACGTATATAATCATTAAAAACAAAAAAAAATGCTTGAATAAATTGATTGAAAAAATTTTAGAAAAAATTCAATAAGTTTTTTCTCGACAATAACATAAAAATGGCAAAAAAACAAATAACGATGTGGTAAGAGAAAGTATTAAAAAAAATGAATAATTTTTTAATAAAATTAAACAAATATTTGTGTGAACATATGGAGTAATAAAGTACTTTTGTTGTTTTTCTGCCTGCTTTTGCCGATAATTTTGCGAAACGAATTCCTGAAAAATTTATTATTTTTGAATTTAAAAAAAAAATATTTTTTTGCATAAATAGTAGAAATCGTATTTGAACCGTTTGGAGGGAAATATACCCAAAATAATTGATAAGATTAAGCAGTAACAGTACCTGTTCATCAATATCTAACATATTTAATTCCGCCCTTACATCCAAGGTATTATCAACAAAACGCTTTCGCAATAACCGTTGCGTGAATATTCTTCGGTCAGGAGCAATTGGTGCTTCAACAGGAGCTGGAGCTGCCCCAGACTGCACCACATTAAATCCTTGTGGCTCACTACACATTGGTCGGTTGCATTCTTGACCAAGTTCCTTTGTAGAGATGGTTATCTGACATTGATAATTAAGCTGAGAACGGTCTGGAAATTTATAAGCATGCGCTTCCTGACCAGCCATTAAATCAGTGGGATATTCCAGGTTATTTAAAGCATATTTGTCCACAGCGCAGCCTATTTCATCGATTATATCAATTTTGTCATCATTATTGTCATCAACCACGCATGAATGTACCAATATGCAGAAAGTATCAGATGCGTTTGTTTCACATGTCCATTTATGATATACTTGCTGGCCTACATATGCAAATTGTAAAGGTCGTCCTGATGGTCCTCCTTCAAGAATCTGAAAAATAATCAGGAAAAAGGTGATAAAAAAGATGATAGAACTCTTTCTTCTTCCAACAGACCCTTACACTCACATTGAGACCCTTCTGCCATAAGAACTTGTGAATGTGTGGATATAGAGATAATATTAAAGGAAAAGAATTAAGCTCATATTGCTTGACTTCAGTCGAAGTAAAACTTGTATCAATCGCAGAACATAACAATTTTAGATATTAAGAAAATTTACCTCGTATTTGCAGATAGGCATATTCATCGGTTGCATGTGCAAGGCACTTGTCATTTCTGACACACTTGCATCAACACTAACTGTCTTATCAGCCTCCATATAGAAGCACTGAATTCTGTAAGCTCTATCTACCTTCGTTATAAAATATGGATGGAAAGAAATGACAACAGAAGTCGTGACGAAAATCCCACGTGGTTCCAGCGACCTTATTCGTGCTAAATTGCACCTGTTGAGCGGTATTTCAATACTTGCTTCTGTTGTATTGCTAGTATCGTTTCTACATTCATATTCTTTATATAAGCCTTTAATATAAACGCGACCTTCGATAGAATTTATAGTCCTAAATTGAACAATTAACGAAGCTGATCCACAAATAAGTTTAGGATCTCCTTCGACTCCGTTATCAATTGGGATAGCAGCACTAAATGAAATACAACAAAGAATGAATAAAAAGTATAGTTGCATGGTTCGAGTCGAAAAACTTCAGTCTACAAGCGATCTTTTCAGTTAATTGGTCGCTCAAATGAACCCAATTTTTTATTGAACATTTATTGAAATACTGTAAAGAGGAAATAAAGTGGATATCGTAAAACCGGACCCGTGGAACGAATTTAGTAATTTAGAAAAGATTCTTCACTGGCTCTGGAAGCGAATTTTCTTATATTATATATCATTATCATAATTAACCCGAAATGTCAGAATCCTTATATCATTCGTCATAATTATTAAACTCTTTAATTTCATTGTCTCTAATTGTATATTTTTACAGAATAAAAGTGAAATTTGAATGCATTATAATTCGCACTAACCTAATTCCAAATTAATTTCAACTTATAAATTTATGAAATATAATAAATTAGAATTTATTATTAAATTAAAATATCGTTTTTAAATTAAATTTGATTGTTTTCTCTTTGATGAGCATTTATCAACAGTGTAATTATCATTGATTTTTAATTTAATTCAATTTTTATATATGAAATTTCTCAATTATAAACCTATGCTAAAAAATTTTAAGGGTTATATGAGAGTTGGAAAATCATTTTTTTCCATCATTAGTCGTACAGCTTTTTTAAAATTTGAAATTTATTGTACTGAAAGAAGAATATTGAGAAATTTAAGAAAACATTTGATTTATTTAAATAAAGTGATATTTATTTTAATAGAGAATTTTTCCTAAGATTTTGTTTCAGAAATAAGAGCGGAAACAGCGCAAAAGAACATGCAAAATGAATGATTTCTTATTAGCGCTGCCCACATAAACGAAATGTAACAATACATGGACCTCTAAAATTCGAATAATAACGAATCATATGGTAGGCAGCAATGGCAAATGATGAACGGTTGATCCGATCGATAAAAGGTGAAATTATATCGAAAGGTCAATGACCTCCTGCAGTATTCATTAGCCAGCGTGTTCATTTTTAGAACCAAATGAGAGGAATATTCCCTAAGGGCGTTTAGCATGTAGTTTATATTAATCTAATTCTTCAATGAAAACTGTTGAATTCATTGAGCGTAAATTTGTACTATTTCATCAAACGATTATTTATACTTTTAAATTGCTTAAGAAGTGCAATTAAATAAAAAATTTTAAAATTTCCTTAAGAAATTTTCAAAAAATGAAAGAAATCAAACAAAAAAACGTATTATTTTCTGGATTTGGAAATTTGATTGTAAATGTAAATTTATTTCTCTTTAATTTCTAAAAATTATGCATTTTTTAACGAAAATTAATTTGCAGTTTCTTACATTTCATTTTAGTTTTTTAAATTATTTTTATAAGTCGATTCATTTTGTATTTTGCATGATGAAATTTTAAAAATAAATAAAAAATTTTTAAAAATTTTTAATTTTAAATTTTAAATTCTGTTGGATATATTTTCCCTCCTTCTTTTACAATACTGGATGAGCAATATTCTCTATATTACTCTATTATGGTAATAATTGAAGTGGGACGCTTTTGCCGACATCTAGAAAGTAAAGAAGCTACCCATAAATACCCATTGATTAAGCAGACTAACCAAACCTAACGTTTAACTAAAAGTGGACACATGTCAAGAGAGTAGAATCAAACTATGTTATATTAGAAGTTGAAATTTCAGGCTAGCCTCTAACATTTTTAGGCCAAACCAGAAAATATGGATATTAGTAATTCAAGTTAAAGTCAAAAAATTCGATTATATAATATTTTTCTTCTAATAGCTCTTATCATTTTGGCTGGCAAATAGGATAATTTCGCCAAGGTATCATTCAGTGAAAAAATTACGCATTAATTAGAAAAAGGATTTCCCTTTCAGTGTCAGTTTTAGAACGCTCAACTAAAACCCATAAATACTTAACCTTAGTGGAAATATTTTATTATTCGGCTGTTTCCTCTTAAATTTCTTTATATTCCTATTCATTTATGTAGTGTTTCTTGAACTACATACATTAATATTTATACGCTTTTTATAGCCCTTTCATGAAATGGTTTTCCCTAGTTTTTTATTTTAACTGCTCCCTTTATCATTTCAAATAATTTGACTAATCTTTAACCCGCTATTGCCTTAAAACTCATCGAAAATCACCATATCTCCTTAATTATTTTCATTTAAAGGTAAAATGGAATTGTTGCTCTTAGTTTGGAGCGCAAGACTTCCACTCCTGGCATAAGTTGCTTTCCTTGGTACTACTGACCATATATGTTTATATATCTTTCAATTCGTTGGCACTTTCAATTGCCTACGAATGCTTTGTCAAAACCCTTTGTACTATTTTGTCATATTTCGTTATCACCAGAAACTCCAGTTCGAGTGAGCAAAAGATAAAATGTAAAAGGAAAATCTTTGATTTTGTGACTTTTCTAAATTGGCCACAAGCTCACTTCCATGTGAGATGTCGGCACTTTTTGTTGTTATTGTTGTAACTTATCGTCTATAAGCCAAATTAAATTTGGATTTGGCTAATAGCACAATAGTTGTAAAAACAGAAAAACAGAAATTCCTTCAGCCGAGCCTTATTCCATAATTCTCTTCCTTCCTCTATTCGGCCCTTCCTCAATCGGAGCATTGACAATAGCGTTTTCTAAATTCGGAGAAGATATTAATTAACCGTATCTGTCAACGCTCATTCATTATCAATCAAAATTCCCATTGTGGGAATTGCCACAATGCCATCCTTTTCGCTTATTGCTTTCAATTTCCTTGGCAATTACATTAAATATCCTTATAATTAGTCATTTAGAGATATATCTTAAGACCCCTTTAAGTTCCTTAAATTCATTCAAGGCATCTTCCTTCCTCTCCTTCAATATTCCCAAAAATCCTTGTAATCACCTTTAATATTCTATTAAATCATTCCCCATTGCTCCTTTTTTAAGGGCATTTAGTGATACTTCTTTTCTTATAATATATTAGCCTAGCGAAATCTCCTGAAAGCCCGTCGTTTTCTTTTATTATACGCAAGCTGTAATTGAAATCTGATGTGTGAAAATTCCGATATCTTCCAATGTTTGCAAAAAATGTAAAATGCCGCCAGATGTCCCTTAGTATTTTCCGAAGCTATCAGTATTATTTTGCCTGTTTAAAGTGAAATCACTTTAAATTCCTTTCCACCGCTTTAACTCTTCTCAGGCCCAATTACTTAGTAATCTATTGGGAATTGGAGGATGATAGAGGTGAGAATTATAACGAGAACTATAGAGGAATTTTTAGCAGGTAAGATTGGAAATGAATTTTGCCTGCTCCTTAGGTCGATTATATTTTTCAATGAACTATTATTAAGCCATTTCTAATATATTTTGGTGTTACAAAAATTATATTATACAAAATGTTTCAAAGAAAATATTTGCAAAATTTGAAAAAATTAGAAAAATAAAACTTCTGTTAGAATCTTAGAAATAAAGTTGGCTGATCTAACACATATTTTTCTTATCGAATGATCATAAATACAGTTAGTTATTAGTTCGATTAACTATTTTTACCGTTACATGTTTCATCGATTTTGCAGCTGCCTTCGATTTAATTGATAAAGCAGCGCTTTGGAGGCTGATGAAATGTAACGGTGTTCAAGAGAAGTTCATTCACCTCATAAAGGCGTTTTATTAGCATACATCGGCACAGGTCTGTGTATATGAGAAATGAGGAATTAATAGACCCTTTCGAAATAAAGACTGGTGTCTGTCAAAGCTGCTTTCCCCTACAATATTCAACTATACGATAAACTGGACAATGAACATCGTTTGTCGCACAGCGCATTCAAGAGGTGCACAAGAGCACAAATCCATTCCAGAGCATAGTGTGTCTTGAATACGTAATCTTTTTGGCTGACAATTATAATGGAATGCAAATAATGCTAAACAATGCATAGACAATCGCACCGTCGGACACCAGTGTAAATAAAACGAAAATCTTTTTGTCTCCTTTACAAGAAGCTGATAAAATACTTATTTTTATCAGCGCATTGCAGGTTGAGGAAATGCCTTTAAATGTCTAATCATTCTATTCTATTCCATTCTAATCACAAACGGCCAAGCGAAATTAAAATTGCAATTCGGATAATGGCAACTAGTTTTTTGCTGGTTGACGAAACCTTTATAGAGCCGTCGCGAAATTACTATAAAAACGAAAGTATCCGCATCTCTATGATAGCATTTCGCTCGATATTAAGTCATCTGCCTTTAATCACTCATGTCTAAGATATATTTTACGGGTTCGCTGGGGTGATAAAATCTCATGTTTGCATCCACTTTCGCTCAAATGCCGTTTGCACTAATAGTACCACCACAGAGTGTGGCTTTCGGTGGTGTGGTACCTCCGTTATCTACCACAGGAATTGGCATATATTTCATTACTTGCAAAACTTTGTAATAAATGGCGTCAATAGCGAGATGAGCCAGTCAAAACCTGGACTGATCTGAACTATCAGGAAAGACTTTGAATGTATAGGGGGATTAGCTATATATGGACTTAGACGATGAAAAAGGTTTCTATCACTGTCAACGATGACATCAGATCGCGCAGCTTGGAGATATCTTACCCTTAGCCAATGAAGCCAGTCTAATCGGTGGAAAAATGACTAAATTTGTTGGAAAAAGAACTAAATTTTTTGTAAAAAGGTAATTCTAAATTTTGTAAAGTAATTCTTTCTTATTAATTATTATTTAGTATCATTAAAAAAAAGTTTATGGTGTTGACGACCCATTTATAGTCCTTGACCGGTATCTGTAATCTGATTGCATTCCTTGGCTATAGTTGCTAATTTTACTAACAGAAGCTAATTTGAGCAGAAATTTTAATTTGAATTTTAATTTTAATGCCAAATTTTAATTTCTTAAGTATTCTTATTTTTTATGTCAATCGAATGGATTATTTCATTATTAACAACATTTTTACAAATACTTATTGACAATATGAAAAGCAATAATGAGAAAGGTAGTGGTTGGGAAATTGTTTTGGATAATACTTATTGACTGATAAATTTAT